ACTTCTAAACATCTTCCCTGACCTGAAATTTTTTAAATCACATATAATAAGCTAAATAACCCATCAATTCATTAAAATTCTATAATTGAATAGAAAGCAAGGTCAAAAAGTAATATGCATGTAATTAGTCAATTCATAATAGTAATAACCATATGATAAAAATTTGTTTAGGAATAGTAAAACTAACTTGTAGTAGTAGAAGAATTTATAAATAGTAAAATAGTACATTATGGAAGCAGTAAAATAATACAGTGGAGAAATCAATAAACCATCACAAATATTTAATCAATAAAATAGTCATCGTATCGACATTATCAATCAATAGTGATATCATATAAAGCGATAAAATCATATCAATGCAATAAAATGATATAAGAGTATACACATATTATCCAAGTGTTCTATATCAATATTAAATAAATATATTATGTGCTCAATATATCACATGTTTAATATCATTTCAATGAATCAGTAATATTAAATAATATCGATGTTTATATTGGTAATAATAATAATTCGATGACAGTAGTAAAATAATACATAAATAGTAAATTCATGTAATAATAATAAATTCATACATTAATAAGAACAATATCTCAATAACATGCATTTTAGTATTCACACTAAACAAGTAAGAAGTCTTGGCTTAATTAAAAAAAAAAAGTCTTGACTTAATTAATATTTTTCCAGCAACATATATATCAGTATCAATAATTTGTTGGCTAAGTAAATAGAGTCGTTATTGTAATAAGAACAATATCTCAATAACATGCATTTTAGTATTCACACTAAACAAGTAAGAAGTCTTGGCTTAATTAAAAAAAAAAAAGTCTTGACTTAATTAATATTTTTCCAGCAACATATATATCAGTATCAATAATTTGTTGGCTAAGTAAATAGAGTCGTTATTGTTTACCCTCTGACATAATAATAACTCCTTATAACTATTTATTAATGTATCGATCTATTAATATAGGATAATACATAACCATAGTATTTAAAGGAAAGGCCGTTGGCCCATCTTCCTGCACATGTCAATTAATCTCCAATCAAACAAGTTTTTACTTGTCTTTTATGCACATATTATTATCACAGTACTCTAACAGTAATAATGAACAACTATTACTCAATCACATGTCCACATTCATTTAACAGTAAATAACATAAAATCCTATTGAACAAAAATTCATATTTTTAAAATCTAATTAATCAAACTACCAGAAATCATATATAATAATATTTTGAAGTTTTAATTGAACTAAAACACAATTTTTTATATGAAAATAAAAATTTAAATTGGTAAAAATTGTTGTTAATTTAAAATCATTTTGTTAAAAATCTTAAATAAATATTCTAAATATTCATAATCTCAACCTCTACAACATATAAAATTTACACGATAAATTTTTTACCAATACAAAACTATTATCATTTTTAAGTAATGAAACTAAAATTTGATCGAAAAATATCAAATATTGAAATAAAAATAAGATCATGATTTCTTACAATGTGACAAGTAAATCTTTCAATAGGGTCAACGGATGAAAATCATTCCACAGCCTCAAAATTCAAAAAAAAAAAAAAAAAAAAAAAAAAAAAAAAAAAAAAAAAAATCTCTCTCCTAAAATTCTTTTTAATTTTTCTATTTCCTTCTTAATCTTTTTGTTTTTAATTCATTGTTCAGCCGATGAGAAGGGGAAATAGGCTTTATAGATTTGTGAGTGGTTCATGATATTTTGAAATAAAATAATAAAATAATAATTATATAATTTAATCCATTTTCAATATAAAATTCATAAAAAAATTTTATATCTAAAAAATTATCAAAAAATATCTATAAAATAGCTTATTTTATTTAAATTTTTAAGTGAAATCAATTCCACATAACAAACACCTAATGATCCTAAAACGCTTACTTGTACCGATGTGTTTTAATTTTTTAAGGATTTACCTTATGAAAAAATTATGAAAAAAGTTACACAATAAAAAATTTGTAAAATCCAAAAAATGTATATATTTTAATTCATAGCTTTTTATAAAGTAATGGGATGAAAGTCAAATAAAGTGATTCATAAGCCTACCTTGAGCTCACAATTTCTCTAACAGGCCTGACGGTCAGAATATGAACTTTAACCTTCAAAATCTCTCTCTTTCTTTCTCTTTCATATTCTTTCTTTTCCTTTTCCTCTCTTCTTCAACAAGGTGGTTGAGAAAATGATTTCACTATTTTGACCCAACATTGCCACACTCATTTTCTTAGCATCACAATGCTTCAAGAAAATATTTGAGATGCTACTAAAATGATTTCACTATTTTTTTCACTTGGAGCACTACGGTGTTGGGTTTGGTAGCGCCACGACTTTGTGCTCTCTATCTTTTGGCCAATTTAATTCATGTGTTGAAGCACAATGCTCTATTAGGGGGAGACTGGGGTGTGCTGCTATGATGCTCTTGGATCTAATGAAAAGATTGGCTTATCTAAACCTAAGTTTTATCATCAATAATTACAATCAAAGCCACATACACTTCAAATTAAAAAGGAAATATCAATAAATTTAAATTTCTCAAAACATAAATATAATAATCCAGATTAAATAAGTTTATATATCATATAAGTAAAAGTCAAATTATAAAATATACATTGCTAACCCATATCCAATGTCATGCCTCTACAACTGATCTACTTAACAGTATCATTACATTTTATTTTCAATAAGAAGAACCCCCCCACCCCCCCTAGATCTTAATATTCAAATTAAAAGATATAATTATAATGATAAAATAAAATATAATAAATAACTTTAAAGTACAAGCATAAACGGTGAAATACTTTTATAATATACTTAATATTTTAACTTATTTGCAACTCACTTACACAAATATTTTCATATTCTTCACATAATATTTGTCCTAGGAGATTTATTTGCACATGACACTCATATTTCATCAGAATTGAGATAAATATTCATAATTCTCTATATTTATTTCAAATACTTTACTTGATTCATTAATACAAACATAATACAATTATCAACATGCACAAGTCATGATACGTGATTATAACTCCACTTTTACTTATATATCCCTTTTTAACTCCTATCATATTCTTTCTTTTCCTTTTCCTCTCTTCTTCAACAAGGTGGTTGAGAAAATGATTTCACTATTTTTACCCAACGTTGCCACACTCACTTTCTTAGCATCGCAATGCTTCAAGAAAATATTTGAGATGCTACTATATATTTTCATCTGAGACCCGATGTTGTGGCGTATATACGTTCAAACCTGTTTTTTTGTCCAGAAACCCGAGAGCTCATTATCGCGGCATTGCCAACCCATGTGCTACGCCACATAGAGAAATTTCCAATTTTCAGATTTTCACTTCTTAAAACTCAAACCTTGGTTACTTTCTATCCATTCAACCTTTTAAGACTCATAATTACTAATTAATTTAAAATTAATGATCATTGATAGAAAATTACTTGAATTTTAGTAACAAATATTGTAGCTACTATGCGCAGGATTGGGTAATGCGACAATCCGACGCATTTATTAAACGAGTGAACTCAAGTCTGAGTTTTTGGGTTGGGTCCAAGTTAGGTTGGTGGCTCAAGTCATTTATGGACACCCCTACTATATTTAATAGACAATTATGAACAATTAAGGGTGTTAATAAAATAACCCGACTCACCTGCCTGACTCGAACTCGATTTGAGAAATTAGGGTTCTGGTTGACTCACTTAATCAATGGATCGGCTTCGGTTGACCCACCAACATATTTTGACCCAAAAATATTATTTTTAATAAACTATTTTTACTTGTAGTTATAACTTTTTTATTTTTTAATTATCAAATATTTTAAACTTTAGGGTTAATAAGTTATATAAAAAATTTAAAGTTGTAACAACATTTTTTTTTTAATAAAAAATGGTCAACGAATCTGGTTCGAGTCAATTGGATTGTGAGCATGTAGAGTTTTGGTTGGAGCTTTTTACTCACTTATTAAACATGTTGGATCTTAATTGACTAGATTTGGGTCAGGTCAATTTCGAGTTGAACCTAAACCTAATCCGTTAACCGATTTTGAAACCACCATGAGCAATACAAAGAAGTCTCACAAAAATTGAAATAAAAAATCCCAAAAACTACAGAAGTTTAAATCGTTTATAAAAAAATTTAATATATAATTTTAGAAAAGAGTAATTATTAATTATTTAATTTTAATATCCGTAGCATCCGGCCACTTATTCCGGTTCAATCGTGCTGTCGGTCCGATCCTCGAGGATCGGTTCGGTTGAGCATCTCAACAGTTATAATGTATTTAAATCAACGCGTGGAATCCGTTTCGTTCTTTCAACGGCAAGCAGCTTAATCCTGTCCGTCACAAATACAATGAATGGACGTGATCGATTTTAAATTTTGTTACAGGTCCTCCGTTACAAATTTATACCTGGCAAGCCAGTTTTAGAAGAAGGTAATTTTAGTAATTTCTTGGAAATTTAAAGGGCATATCGGGCTTACAGTTCTTCATCGTTATTATCTTTGAAGCTTCTCTGGATCTCCCTCGGCTACTTCGTCGAGCTCTGTCTTATATTAACCTATCTACTGCAGAAGTTAGGATTGTCTGTTCGAGTAGAGAGGGAAATCTCATTGTGAGAATATTGGAAGTCGATCGGATCGAGGTCTGATCGGTTATTGCTCGTGATTCCCTTATCTACGGAGGTCAGGCCGAGGCGCGCCGGTGTCGCTCGCCAGATCTGCTTCTGTCTCAGGTCTGGATCGGTGATTGTCTTGATTTCGTCATTATCATTATCTTCTTCTACGAAATTTATCATATGTTGTTACCGATCCGTGCAAATTTGCTTGTTTTGGTGATTGTATTATGGATTCATCGATTTTGGCTGATTTTTTCATCTTTATGTAGATCTACAATTTTGGATTTTTTTGTTCTGTTTTATAATTCTTGCTTCAGATCCGTGAGGATGGTTATCCTTTTTTTGTAATTACGAAATCGGCAACCTCAGGCAGTCTGAACGTGGTGTGATAAATTTCGTAGAGATAACGTCGCTTTGCTCCTATTTTTTTTTTCTTTTCTCATTTTAGTTTTGGGTAGTTTCCGCTACAGCTGTGTTACCCAGCCTTTTTATGGTTTGCTTTTGATTTCGATTTGTCGTTATCTTTTTTTCCACCCGAAAACTATTCTGATTGCTTTTGAGTTATTTTAAGCAATGCAGAGAGCTTTAACCCCGTGCAGGTTTCTGGTTGGCTAAGGAATCTGAACTTGTTTTTTCTTTTCGATTTACATTTCCGTGGCATCACAATCATAATCTATTGTTGGATTGTAGGCGCTACTTATCAGCATGGCAACGGCTCCTGTGGCAAGTGGATGGCTGAGGGGAAGAGTGAAGGCTGTTCCGTCAGGGGATACTCTGGTGATTATGGGAAGTACAAAAGCAGAAATACCTCCAGAGAAGACCATAACATTGTCTCACGTCATAACACCTAGGCTGGTATGGTTCAGCTCATCAGCAATGTCGTCATCTTTAACTGCATCAAATATCTTTCCAAACGATGAGTTCCATTTTTGTAATCGTTACACTTTTTGACTGGATCTTCTTTATTATTATGTGACTGTGTTGCCATTCGTCTAACCAAAGCTTCTTTATGAAGAATATATATTTTCATTGTCTTAGCATATAACTGCCGATCTTGGTTTCCTTCTTCTTACTTATATGAAAGACCCAATTTAATTAGAAGGATTAAAGTGTTTATAATTTTCTCATTTGAAATTGTTACATTGGTCATTATTAATTTGAAATGTTTTTGTTTTTACACTGACATGACTTTGACTAACCGCATATTACATCTATATCAGCTTCACGCTTGTATATTGATGCATGCACTGTTATTTCTTTTCTCATTTTTCCAATGCAAATTAGAAAGTAGATTTTCATAATCATTTGCAAATGTTGTTCTTACAATGGAAATCTATTTTTATGTTCTCCAATGTAATAGGCCCGCCGAGGCACAATAGATGAGCCATTTGCATGGGACAGCAGAGAATTTTTGAGAAAGCTCTGCATAGGAAAGGTACTTTTACTTCAAAGTATCTTAATAGATACAAAATGTTTCAAAATATATTTTCAATTTCTACAAAAGATTACATTTTTAGGCTACTCTCTTGGTTTGAATAGGAGGTAGTATTCAGAGTGGATTACTCTGTTGCAAACATAAACAGAGAGTTCGGTACAGTTTTCCTTGCGGAAAAGAATGTAGCACATTTGGTTGTTTCTCAAGGATGGGCAAAGGTAGCACATATTGTTTAAGGATATCCCGTGTTACCACTCTGTCATAAATAACAGTCCTGAATGTCCAATTTCATGCACTTATCAATATATTTATGAATCAGGTTAAGGAGCAGGGTCCACAAAAAGGAGAACCCAGCCCAGGCTTAGCTGAACTGCTGCATTTGGAGGAGCAAGCTAAACAACAAGAGCTAGGTCGCTGGAGCAAGGTTTTCTCGCTTTACCTTTGTGATTTGATTAGCCTGCGACTTTTTTTGATATGGTTGTTTCTGTTCTAGACATTTTCACTATATTAAGTTATTGTCACTTTTTATCTTTTTGTCTAGACTATTTAAATTATCATTTCCATGGATAATTATGGCATTGCTTTTTTTCTACTCTTCTCACCTTAAAAATGGTTAATGAATTAGCATCTTCATGCAAGCGTTTTGGTTGACATCTAGATCATGCACTTCATCTTTTATCTGATAGGCTATCCTAAAATTTTCTGCTCAGGGCTTGCACAAGCAGCATAATCAGTTATATGATTTCTTTTAACAAATGATTTAGGTACCTGGTGCTTCTGAGGCATCAATCAGAAACCTCCCTCCCTCAGCCATAGGTGATCCCAGCAATTTGGACGCAATGGAACTTTTGGCTGCAAACAAGGGAAAACCCATGCAAGCCATTGTTGAGCAAGTTCGTGATGGCAGTACAGTTCGTGTGTATCTGCTTCCAGAATTTCTGTTTGTTCAAGTTTTTATCGCTGGGATCCAGGTAAGAGCCATCATCAACGGGTGACATTTTTTTTATTTAGATGATATTTATCAATTTAAGTAATAACATCCTTGTCATATTGAGTAAACTTATGTGACATTAATAAGGCACCATCTATGGGAAGAAGGGCTGTGGTAGAAGCTACTCCAGTGCCTGAAGTGATAGCTGATGATGCAGATGGAGAAGTATCTTCTGAAATTAGAACCCAACCAACATCAGCGCAGAGACTTATATCACAAGCATCAGCCACTGAAGTTTTGTCTGACCCATTTGGGAGAGAAGCCAAGCACTTCACAGAGATTCGGACATTAAATCGAGATGTTAGTAACTCTAAATCTGTCTTTACTTCTGAAAATTCTTCTTTCAATTTGGCTGTTCTTGAAGCTGTAATGGCAGGTTCGTATTGTATTGGAAGGGGTCGATAAATTCAGCAATTTGATTGGCTCCTTGTATTATCCTGATGGCGACACTGCAAAAGATCTTGCTTTGGAGCTTGTTCAAAATGTGAGTTGCTTTTCTTCCCTGTTTATGCCCAAAATTTTTCATGCCTTAGCCCTTACAACAACAACATCATCATCAAGCCATCATATTACTATGCAGGGTCAGCTACATGAATCCTTATAAAAAATTATATAAATAACAATGTAAGAATGTAAAAGTTGAAAAAAAAAATAATGACAGCATGTTCATTATATTGGGAAATCAAGACGTTTAGTTAGGATGGATGTGGTTACTTATTTTTCTAGTTTCCCAGTTTTCTAACTTGGATTATCACCTCTAGCCATCAAAATGGACTTTTTTTTGCATGGATCAAGTGGACCTTTCAGTTCCGACTAGAAGCCTGATTCTTTTCATTGTAATTTTATAAATGGCACTCTATATTTTGCTATTTTTTTAACCATGTTGATATTTTTTCCATGACATCATCATCATCATTGCACTTTTACCAACTATTTTGAGCGAAGTTTATGAAGTTTCTCTGTCCGTTATTCTAGTTAAGTGCTATATTAAGTGGTTAATTTATTCTCTGGAAACATTTTCAAGCCATGTTATATACCCATTCCAAATACTATCTTTAGTCCTATCTCTCGATAATGCATCATTTGTAAAAACTTGGAAGTGAAATGTTTTCATGTAAATTACCTTTTTGTATTTGATTTGAAAGTTGTGTTACTAAATAATATATGTTCTTGAAAAAATACGTTGCAAATTAAAGATAGTCAGATCTGTTCCATTTACTTTACATTACATTTGTTTTCGCTAACAAAAGAACTCCTAAATAGAGTTTTCACTAATGCAATTAATTTTTACTGTTTCCTTTTCGTTTTACACAGTTTTTACTATTTTCAAAACTTAGCTAACAATAATACTTTTTTTCCGAGGGCTAGGATCCTATTTTGCATTGTCTGCCTCCTTAAATTTAAATATAAATTTTCTTCATAGTATGTGACCATATTTTTGTGCATTTGCTTGCTTTTTCGAGCAACTTAAGCATAAATTTGCACCTATATTTCTAAGGCCAACATTTACAGCAAATATCCGTTGGCTGGTGTGCTTCCTCCTTTTCCTTGTAATTGTTCACGTGGTCAGGATGGTTTGTGCCTGGCCTGCTGAAATCTATCATTGGAGATTCTAATCATGTTGATGTACTAATGAGGAGCATCTGCTATGAAAACAGTAGTCACTGGAATAGACTATCTGAATTACTATTTCAAATTATGACATTGAAATAACTGGATTTCAACGCACCTCGGACAATAAATCCTCCACCTACAATAAATCGTGAATGATGCTTATCAAAAGTTTTAGTTAGTTGCTTCTTGGTGAAATAATTACTCTAAGCATTTCGAAGGGTATGGAACTTTTGGATGAATTTGGATAAACTCCTTTGAAGTTGAGCAAGATTTGTTTTGTATTTCTATCTCTTGGACGACCATGAATCCCTTGTGGTTCATTCCTCTGTTTAAAAGCTTATTGAGAGTTTATTTATTTTTTGCCTTGCATGTTTATTAAATATTTGTTAACATCAGTTTGATTTATCTATAGGGATTTGCTAAGTATGTTGAATGGAGTGCGAACATGATGGAAGATGAAGCAAAGCGGCGGCTGAAGACTGCTGATCTTCAAGCGAAGAAAGACCGCTTGAGAATCTGGACAAACTATGTACCTCCACAAACAAATTCAAAAGCAATTCATGATCAGAACTTCTCAGGAACGGTAATTTGATTTCCTTCTTGATATATATATATATATATATATATATATATATAGTTCAAATTGTCTGACTGTTCCTTTTTTGTGTGGATTTGACTATTTTTCAAATTTTCTGATTGGTTTTTTTTGGGGCTTTGACTTTTGATAGGTTGTTGAGGTTGTTAGTGGGGATTGCATCATCGTTGCTGATGACTCCATACCATATGGAAGTCCATTGGCAGAACGCAGAGTTAATCTCTCCAGTATTAGATGCCCTAAGATGGGAAATCCTCGTAGAGATGAAAAGCCAGCAGCATATGCCCGTGAGGCTAGGGAATTCCTGCGTACACGCCTTGTTGGCCGTCCGGTAAGCATTTGTACTGCTCATTTCATAATGAGATTAGCCATTATGCTAAAAGAATTCTTGTATGATCAGGTCAAAGTTGCCATGGAATATTCTAGGAAGGTAAGCATGGCTGATGGGCCATACACAACAGGTGTACCTGGTTCTGCTGATTCTAGAGTAATGGATTTTGGATCAGTTTTTTTATTATCTCCATCAAAGGCTGATGGTGATGATAGCACCCCCGCCCCTCCTTCTGTCAGTGGTCAGGCAGAAGGAATTAATGTTGCTGAGCTGGTTGTTTCACGGGGTTTTGGGACAGTTATAAGGCACCGAGATTTTGAGGAAAGGTCCAATTTTTATGATGCTTTACTCGCGGCTGAATCACGGGCTATCAGTGGGAAGAAAGGAATTCATTCTTCTAAGGATTCGCCAGTTATGCACATCACTGATCTTACAATGGTAAGGGCACTAACCCTTATATGTCCTGTGAAAAATAGTTGTAAAGTTGTCTATTAAACATACTAGTTTGTCTCAGGCGTCGGTTAAAAAGGCCAAAGACTTCTTGCCATTTCTACAACGCAGTAGAAGGCTTCCTGCTATTGTAGAATATGTTCTTAGTGGCCACCGATTCAAATTGATGATCCCCAAGGAAACTTGCAGTATTGCTTTCTCATTGTCCGGTGTCAGGTGCCCAGGACGTGATGAGCCCTTTTCAAATGAAGCGATTTCCTTGATGAGGAGGAAGATACTGCAAAGGGATGTGGAGGTGCTGAATTATTTCTGTTAATTCTACATATAATTCTTTTTATGATTCTTTGTTTCTTTCTCTAATGTAATTAATTACACAGATTGAGGTAGAGACGGTAGATCGAACTGGAACTTTTTTGGGTTCTTTATGGGAATCTACGACTAATATGGGTGCAGTACTTCTTGGAGCTGGGCTTGCTAAGCTTCAGACAAACTTTGGTGCAGATAGGATTCCAGATTCTCAGATTCTTGCTCAGGCAGAACAGTCTGCCAAGCTACAGAAGCTAAAGGTATGTCATTGTGCCAGGCATCTTGTTTCATTTTAGCTATTTTGGTTACTAATCATTCTCATTGCTTTCTTTTCTTTCTTCACTCCTTAAGATTTGGGAGAACTATGTTGAGGGACAAGAGAATACCAATGGTCCTTCAGCAGAATCAAAAGAGAAGGAAGTGCTTAAGGTATGTTTTTAAATGGGGAATGATAGATTATAATAATGAAAGATTCAATTTTGTCTCTGACAATTTTGCTTTAGGTTGTGGTCACTGAAGTCCTTGGTGGTGGACAATTCTATGTTCAAAAAGTTAGTGATCAGAACGTGGCTGCCATCCAGAATCAGCTCGCTTCATTGAACCTTGGAGAAGCTCCATTACTTGGTTCTTTCAATCCCAAAAAAGGAGATATTGTCCTTGCTCAGTTCAGTTTGGATAAATCTTGGAACCGAGCTTTGGTAATCTTGAAAAGTTTCTTTGTCAGTTCAGTTTAGAAGAAATGAGCTTGAAATTTTTTGCTTTTCACCTCTACATTTACTTGCCTTTTGAATGATTTTTTTTAGACTTTGCTAAGTGTCTTTTTTTTATTTATTTAAAAGTTTAGGGGCTGTTTAGTAAGAGGAATTTGGAATTCAGGGGAATTTTAATATAATGTAAAATAATTTTATGCATTTTAAAAATTCGTAGGTTGTTTGTTGGATGCAAATCAAATGAAACGAATATTTTTTTGTTACATTTCATTTCAAATACACACATTTTAATAATATGGTAAGCAAGCTTGATGATAGTAATTTGTTAGACTTGTCCCCATTGGATCGGCCCAACCGGTCCTTGGCAAGAGGCAGGTTAGGGTTAGGGAGGTTGTTATGCTATAAATAGGTGGATAATTGGAGGATTAGGGCATGCAAAATCATTGTGGCTTTCTTGTTCTTGAAGTTAGTGCTTTGGGCTCTAGCGGCATTTAGAGATTGGGAGAGAAGGATCCTCCTCTCGAATTGAGGATCAATTGTATCTTGCAATTTATTTTCCGTTGGTTTGATTTCTATAATAAAAACTACTATTTTTGTTTGTTTTCCATTGGATTTGTGGAGTTTTCCCATTGTTTTTATCAATCTTGTTAGGGTTTACTTGACATTTTCAAATATTTCCTATCATAATTATGCTTCATTGTCAACATTTTAGTACTATGAAGAATACATATGGTTACTTGATCTGCAAAATTTCTTACGTAGTTTAATTGTATTGCATGTTAAAAAGATCGTCAATGGACCAAGAGGACCCGTTGAATCTCTCAACGACAATTTCGAGGTCTTCTACATTGACTATGGTAATCAGGAGACTGTTCCATACAGTCGACTTAGACATCTTGATGCCTCAGTCTCATCTTCACCCGGGCTGGCTCAGCTATGCAAGCTTGCATATATCAAAGTACCGGAGTTGGATGATGATTTTGGACATGAAGCGGCTGAATATCTTAGTGAATGCACCCTTAACAGTTCCAAGGAGTTCAGGGCCATGATTGAAGATAGAGACACTTCGGGTGGTAAAGTTAAAGGTCAGGGAACTGGAACGGTTTTCATTGTTACTCTGGTTGATGTGGAAGCTGAAACTAGTGTCAATGCTGCCATGCTGCAGGTTTGTTCTTCTTTCACCATATTCTTCCCCATATTCTTATTTACTTCAATGCCATTTGGTTTTGTTAATCAGACGTGTGAATTTAATGTTGTCAAATATTTATTTTTGGGCCACATATACGTGAAAAGGTTGGAGTAGCTTCAGTGGAAAATAAGGTTAGAGAGAGTTGCCTTAGATGGTTTGGTCACATTAAACGGAGGCCTTTCGTGAAAAGGAAAGTTTAGGTATTAGATTTTACGTGAGTTAAGAAAGGCAGAGGTAAGCCTAAAAAGACTTGGTTAGAAAATATTAGAAGTGATCTTTCTTTATTAGATTTAAATGAGAATTTGACTTTTAACAGGATACAATGATGAAAAAGGATTCATGTAGTGACCCCTCGTAGTGGGACAAAGACTTGATGTTGTTGTTGTTGTTGGGCCCACATATATTCTACTACCTTCTTAATTCCCATTTTGCTTTTATTTTTGGCTTAATCACTAAGATACAAAATCCTGAGGGAAGTAGGATTAAAGAGATTTGCATTATTTCTCCTCGTTTTATATCTTATTCTCCTTCATTCGAATCCTAATTCTTGAAAATCACCAAGTATTTATTAGAATTTAATCAGATTTAACAATTATCATGCCAATTAGTTATAGATTTTACTAAATATGGATTTTCAGGATAGGGGGATAACTTCTAGCATATAGAATCTGTTTGGGATAGTTTTTTCACTGCTTTGATTTTCAAACAACTGCCATAATTTTGTTTCGCCACACTTCTTGTTTTTCATAAATATTTGTCATATTATAATATTTGCTTTAGTGTTATTTATAAAAAGTCGTTTGATTTTTTTTTTTTCAAAAAAGTAAAATATTTATATTACTCATAATAATTTTCCACAACATATTTACAGCTATTTTTATAGATAATCGCAGCCACCCCAAACGGCGGATGCTTAGGCTTCGTTTTAGACGACTTTCTTACTGCTTCTATCTCAAATGAAGCTTTAATGTGCCATAACTTAATAAAAATTTTGAGAGAAAAAAAAATAAAGGCATTATAGTCTGCATACGCTGTTTCATTGATTATACTCACATTGCTGGCTTTCAGGAAGGACTTGGCCGACTGGAAAGGAGGAGGAGGTGGGACAAGAAGGAAAGGCAGGCCGCATTGGACAACCTCGAAGAGTTCCAAGCTAAGGCAAAGCGCGACAGGCTTAAGATATGGCAATATGGAGATATTCAATCTGATGAAGACGAAGACTCCGCTCCGGCTGCCAGGAAAGCAGGAGGCCGTCGCTAGATAGTGACGCTCGCCTTCTACAGTGAAAGGGGGATAGAAAAAAAACAGGTTAGATTAACTGGAATACAGTAGATAGTTGAGGCACTTTAGTTCCTACTTCGAGTTTTTTTTTTTTTTTTTAAATTTATAAGTCGAACCATTGAAATATGTTCCACTATTTTCTTTATTTAAGTTTGCCAGTACATTATTTTCCCCTCTTAAATAAGTCATCCCCCCCTGTGTTGTTCCAGAAATTGTTGTAGGTTGCCTAATGAACGATTGTTGTAACTTATTTTTGGATCTTCAAGAAGTACATTGGAAAGCATGAAACTCTTGAAAAGAGTTCTTCAACTATTTAAAGGTCCTTTTTTTATGCAATTTGGTTTGGAATATGGATTCTGATACTTCTTTCCCATCCCATAAAACACTCGGGCAAATGATAGACGACGATTGTATGGGTAGTAAATGTGGAACTTTGTTCTTTTTGGTGAGCAATGATGTCTTTCCTTGTTATTTGCCTAAGGGCCGCAATTTAATCAAACTTCTGCTGGAACATTGGGATACTGATCAGCCTTCGGACTGTTATAAATCTTCTTTCGGTATCCCCCCATCCAGAGTTGTTCCTCGATTATCTTGTTGGTCATTAATACAAGTACTTGGGGGACCTCTCAGTGCAAATCAAAGGGGCCTTTGTTCTTTGTTTTCTTTACTTTTTGTTATTTTCTTGTATGGATTTTCATAGATAGAAGCAATACTCTTCTCACTTTTGATTGTTTTTTTGTATGGGATACTAATATCTACTATTTGTACTTTTTCTTTATCTTTAATTAATGCAAGCTGCACTTTCAAGGATACAAATATCAACGAAACTCTTATCATTCAATTCAAATTTGTTCGTGAGTGATACCGAAATAATGTTACTACTAACTACACAATAAGTTTAATAGAGATCGATGAGAGAAATAAGCGGACAACTCATCTTAATCTATTGGTTGGGAGTTTAGGCTATCAACTAAGAGGTCTTGGATTCGAGCCTTTTGGATGTGATATGCGTGTGAGTCTGGCTTAACTGACCTAACCTGTCCCGAGAGAGAGAGAAGCTTTGTGACTTCACACAATTGATGATTTTAGATCATAGTGCAATTAGATTAGCTTAGTTTAGCACTATTTTGATCATCATTAGATGATCTCCTTTGCAATAACCAATTCTACCATTGGTTCAACCACTAAATAACTACTAGAACAAATTATTTCCTCGTGCCCAAAATTGTCAAAGGCCGGTGAGGCGCCCTCCTCCAGCTTGCGGACCACATGCCTTTGAGGGTACATAGAATCCAAGTAGATCAGGAAAACTGAGCTTTTGTTGTTGCTCTGTCAAATCGCACAGCTTATACAATATCTATCTTACATTATTAGCTTGATTGCCTACTGATCATTCATGATCATAATAATAATATATTAAATAAGATAATGATAATGAAATAATATAAAAATAATTTTTAATTTTGATTAGTTTTATTATGATTTATATCATTTATTTATTTTCTTACATAATAACAAAATTTAGTATTAAATGAATTGCATTTATGTATCATTAAATGAATTTATTAAATTATTAATAAAGTTTCATTGCTTTAACTTTGAGACCGCAATCATAATTTCTATTTTATCATTGTTTTAAAAAAAAATTATTTTAATAATTAGATTTCTACAATAGTTTTAAAAAATTACTTAGATTTTGTTTGGGACGGCTTTCTTGTTAAGAAGCAGTAACAAAGACGTACCAAACGAAATCTTATTCTTCAATAACTTTATGAAACAATAAGAAAACCGACTCAACCAAAGTTTTAATTTTCCCAATTTATATAACACTATTTTTTTATTTTTTACAATTTTAAAATAAGATTTTTAAAAAATTTAATGACATATATTTATATATACCATTTCATTTAAACCTCAAGACAACAACACGTAAAACATATGGTTGGCCCCATTTGGGCCTTTTTTGTCAATATATATATATATATATAATATTTTTTTTTTTTTTTTTTTGGACATTTAGGTCATTATAAGGCAAACTCACAACACACAACGCATACACAGAGACTCGAACCTTAGAACCTCTTAGTTGGAAGCTTAGCTCTCAACCAATAGGCAAACAGAGTTGTGTGTCAATATATATTTCATAATTTATCGTACAAACTTTAATTAAATAAATAAAACAATATATATATATATATGAAATAATTAAAGTATTGATATCTTCGAATCAATTCCAGCTGCTGCTTCACGTGGGAGGTTTGGGCGTGGACTAAAAGTGCCAGAAAGAGAGATAAAATAACAAATAAAGAAGATTGCGTATGAATTACGCAGCCCACGTCAAATGTTTGATTCTGCTTGCTTGCAAATGACAAAAACTTTTGAAAATTAAAATATTTATCTCTGTTTAAAAAATAAATAAACAAATTAGGCCTCTCATGCTTTTTTTTTTTTTTTTTTCTTTTAAATTTATTAAAAACTACCTTGACATGAAACATTCGGTGGTTCGTGTACCTCTGATTAGTTGGAAGAGAAGTTCGTGACACTTACCTAAAATGATGTTAGGATAGTTCGGGTATATGCTCGCATTAATGCACATCTATGGATCCAAACTTTGTTAGTGGATGGACGAAGAAACACGGATGTTGATTGGGTACCTTATCATCACTCACATATTATTTTGTTGGAAAATAGAAGAGCTTTTCTTCTTATTGGCATTCATGGTGGGGAGAGCATGGACCACATTTTGAACATTTACATGAGGATGATGTGGTACAAAATCATGGGGGACACTTTGCTTAGTGATAGCACCCGTTGAACTGTCATACATATATTACCGAAAAGCAAGTGAAAGCGACATTTGGTAATGTATTATTGATACGGCATAACATGCTAGTAACATTTGCCCATATATATGAAGTGGCTTATCTCAACAGTATGATCGAAACGTTTCAATGATGCATACCTACTATTAGCAATATCATATATAGTGAAGATATGAATATGTCCTGATGAGTTCATAAATTGAGAGCCCATACTTTCCATTATTAGTTTCTTCTATCACCATCATCACTATTATCCTTTGACCACTGTCGTTTAACCATGATCTCCCAAAAACCATCGAATGACTTCGATCATCTGACCATCATCACTACACTACGATCCCCAAACCACAGTCACCCAATTACTATCCTTCAATCAAGGGGCGGAACCAACCTTAATGTTTAAGGGGGGTAAACTTGTAAGTAATTGTTGATGTTGCCTTGAATTTGGCTCCACCTTTCACTACAAGAAAATGCATCAATATCGATCCCTATTTGTTCAAATCATTGATCATCGTATACTTCACAGATAGATCATCGTATACTTCACAGATATAACACAGCTTAGAGTTCACACACTTAGCTTCTAAGAGAGATCCACTTGTCACATCCACAATAAGCCAACTCGTCTCCTGAAAACCATCAAGGAGAAGCAGACAAATGTGGACCATAAAAAAATGCTATAATATTCTTACATACCAATGTTATATAAACATATTTTCTTTAAAAATACATGTATATATTTTTGTAAATTATCATAATAATTTTTTTATTACAAATTTGTATATAATTTACATAAAATGTCCCCTCTGCAATTAGTAATTTTATGGGATGTGGGCTCCTCAGGCAGAAAAAGCCGGCCGGCAAGAACAAGATTCCAATCAAAGAAAGTACAGTGTAAATAGAAAAAAAGACAAATAACGTGCGTGCACCCAATTGGAGATAACTCAGTCAAAGGGTCATATTCTGTCCAATCCAACTCAATCCAATTTTTTCCTCTATTTTTTAAATATTTTATACTTATCCACTAATCATTTTTTATTAACAAATAATTTTCAGGGAATTAAAGGATTTATGCATGATTGTTTGATAAATTTTGTGCTAACTGTCGACTACCTGACTGGAGATCCCAGAAAGTGTTGTTGTTATTATTGTCATATTCGCTTAGGTTTCTTTTGAGGAGAAATTATTCAGTGTAGTCACCGGATGGTCTACATATGAGTTAGGTAGATCCGCGTCATATGATACACAGCAAAAAAATGACATAGCGTATTCTGATTCGCCTCTGAACGTCTTCCAGTAACTGCATAGAATAATTTTTCTCATTTGAGACAGATTTTTATTACTTTCTAAAGTAATTTTTAAGTTCAAAAATTTAAAAGCTACTTTATAAAGTAGTAAAAAAATTTTCTCAAACAAAACCTTAGAGAAATAATTAAGTAAAAATTATATATTAGAAGATACTAATAATTTGTAAATTCAATATATAATTTTTTATTTTTATTTATATAATATTTAATATTTAAACACATGTATAAAATATCACTAGCAAATATTTATTAAAATTGTAAAAAAATTTCAATATAAATATTTTAACTTGATAGATATTTAGATTTTATACAAATAAATATAAAAATATAAATGTGGCATTTATAAATACCTCAGAGTTTTACAGCATATAAATAAATCCTTTTAATTTTTCTGAAACTTTTATATTACACTAATCTTAAAACAACTCTAATGAAATTTTAACTTTTTTTATTGATTTTTAAAGTAATTTTCTATTATAAAAAAAATCATAGTTCATTATACTAAATGCTGGTTTACAAAGCAATAAAAAAGTTATCCAAAAGAAAGCCTAAGGTTTCGTTTGGGACGGCTTTTTTACTTTTTTCTAAACAGAATTTTAGTACAAAATTCTTCGTTTGAGATGACTTTCTTAATGCTTCTTAAAACAACTTTTAATAAAAAAAATTAAAATTTTTATACTAAAAAATTATTTAAGAATCAATAAGAAAATCATCACAAACAAAATTAAACTTTAAACTCCTAATAATCATATTATAAATTACAAGATAGTATTCTCATGTAATATTTTTTCCACCAAGTTGCTCAAATAGTTGAAAATCTCCCCTTTTCTAAAGGAAAACAAATTCAAAAATCATATCATTATAATTTTTTTTTCTCCATTTATATATATAAGAAGTTTGATCTCCTCATAGAGCTCTTGCCCACCTTCATCAATCATCATCTTCTTCATCTCTGCTCCTCTCAGATCAGCTTCTTCAGCTCACATACATGAACAAGATATAAATTTATCTGTATCATCAATGGGCTTCAAGTCTCTAACTCTTCAAATGGTTCCCATGTGCCTGCACGTCTCCATCCGGCCGGAGGAGGACCTTCCCACGGCGAAGCCGACCTCTCCTGCCACCGTCCGCCTCATCCTCTCCAACGGTCGAGTCCGAGTATTCCGGAGATCTTTGCCGGCGGAGGAGCTCATGGCCTCCAATCCCCTGCATCTCGTCTGCCGCTCCGACTGTTTCTTCATCGGACAGAAGGTTCCGCCGCTGGCCGCCGGGGACCTACTCATACCAGGCCAAAGTTACTTCCTTTTACCTTCTGACTTCTTCTCCTCTGCCCTTTCCTTCGTCTCTCTCGTCTCCTCCTTCTCTTCCTCCGGCGCCTCCCCCAGCAAGCTTCTTCTTCTCCGGCCCTTCGAGATCCAGAAAACGGCCGAAGGAAAGCTTCAGTTGAGAGTCTCCGATGAGTTCGTCGAGCGGTTGGGGGAAGAGGAGGATGGGGAGGAGAAGAAGAAAGAAGGAATGGTTTGTACTACAGAGGAGATGGAGAGAGAGTATAGAGAGCTGGTCGTGAGAGCCAAGCTTTGGAAGCCGAAGCTGGAGACGATAAGTGAGTCGGAGAGGAAGAGAAGAGGTGGCGGTGGAGTTGGGTTTACAGGGATTAGGAGGAAGGAGAAGAAGAACCACAGTAAGGAACAGAGAAGTTAATTAATTAATTAATTAATCTTTGTGATTGATTAGCTTGTTAATTATCTTTGTTAGTTGCTGATAATTGAGGCTTGTAAGAATATATGTTACAATTTAGAAATTTAGAAGAAAATTGTTCTAACAAATATGCTTTTTTTTCCTTTTTTTTTTAATTGAAATTACTCAAATTAGTCAACTTTCAATATCATGAGACAATTATTGATAAAAATTTATGGTATTTCTTTCAAGTATTTGAATTTTTAATAAAAGAGATTTTATATAAAATAAATTATATATATAAATCCTTAAAAATTAAGTTAAATAAAATCTTTATATTTGAACTACCATTAATTTTAATATTCATGCAAAACATTTAATATTTCCACTATTTTATTTGTACATCCTAATGACAATTCAGTTTTGTTAAAGCTTTTTTTTTTCTCATTATTTTTTGGCTCATTTTAAAAATATTTTTTTGCTAAAAATTTGTCATTAGAAAAAGTAAGAAAACTATTATAAATAAGATATATTATTATGTGCGGTCATCAGATGACGTCCTAAAGTGAACCAGGAAACATCACATCATTTTTTCATTGTGTACTGGAGCTGTGTATCGGATGACTTGGCTCGTCTGGATCGTAAAGTGAACGCACAGAATAATTTCTCCCCCAACAAAGATAACAACTTAAAAAAAAACAACTTTAACACCATTATAAAACTCAAATGAGCTCATTCATTTTATTTTTTTTTCTAATTTAAATTAAATTTCAACAAAAATTTGAGATTTAAAATTTCATTCAAATTTATTTTAATTATGTTATTAACTTCCCTAACAAAATTTTCCAAAAAAGAATTCTCTAATTAAATATATATTTTGGAGCTAACAAATTCTTTTAAATTCTCCCACAGCCAATAATCGAGCCTTGAAAATAGCACATTGAAATTGAAGAAAGCGAGGAGGAGGCGAAGTTTGACTTAGTCAACGTAGAAACAAAGCTTATTTTTCATTTTTCGAAAACTCTTCGGCGGACGTAAGAAACAAAGCCGACAAAATAGCCGTCAAAGTCGGACCTTTTTTTTTTTTTGGGAATAAAGTCGGACCTTTTTCAAAGTAGCTTTCCCTATTCCCACGTGGGAACCTACAATAAATATTATTGATATTATTTTATTTTGGCATCAATTTATATTTTTAATCCTTTTATATAGGCTACATTTTGCCTTTTATGTAGGTTGAATCTTGTGGATCCAAATTTATACCCGGGCGACACGTTATCGTGATGAAGTTTTGTTTGGGATAGTATTTTTACTGTTTTTTTACGGTAGCTTTTCAGCACAAAAATTTCTTAAAAGAAGCAAAAAATAATGATCAAAAGCTGTCCCAAACGAAGTCTAAAAAGTTTAGCGTATTAGAGTTGGAGAACAGAATGAGTAAATAAGTATGGAGAGTAAGAAACTATAATATCTTCATGAATAGTACCGTCAATCTGAAGTCCAAAACACGCATATTTGCATTTTATTTACGATGTTAAGTGGACTATATATAGAGAAGGTTGCACCTAAAGTAAAATTAAAATAACAAGGCTTGAAGTGATAAGCATAGATTGAAATGTTATGTGGGTTTAGATGGCCGTGGTGTACACGTGGCCCTCTGACTTTAATGTAGTCCTTTGATAGGTATATATTATGGGCGAGTTTTTAGGGTTGAGTGCTTTGCAAAAGTTTGATAGAACTAACATGTAAGGCATGCCCCTAGAAATGATTGTCGAGTTCCATAGCCAGAAGTGATTGTGGTTCTAGAACGAGTTCAGTCAATGAAATCGTGATTGTAGGCTTTATGAGTGTCCTTCTTGTAGTTTTATCTGGGATATTTACGAAAGGTTATCAACCTTGATTAGGAACAAATATTATGTGAGTGCAGATAAAAATATAAATGAGCATAATATGAACAATCACCCAGCTCCCTAAAAGTGTATGCTTTAGGATTAATTATTTCGTGTAGACGCCGAATGCCGTTCGGATACCAACCAAAATGCGTCACGTCATCTATTCGCTTGGTACCGCAGCTTGGTACTGCTTGATACCTTGGCTTGGTACCACTAATGTGCACATTCTGGTTGGTCTCCAGAGGACGTTCTGCATCCGATCTCCGAACATAATAATTTCTCCTTTTTACACCCCTATCCATTATCCTCTTAGAAGTGTGCTCTCGACCAAAAGTTCTATAACCGGACGAAGAAAGTTGAAAATAGGAGAAATTTAAAAACAACGGCCCATGCATCAATTCCTGAAATGGGCCGTCGGCACCAGACCGTCCATTTATTCATAACAGGGAAAATCCCACTGAGCTCTTCTTCTCCATGGAGAAACCAACGAAGCTACAGGCAAACAGAAGGAATCAATTGACTCAAAGAGAGCTCGCAGCAGCAATGGAGGTCCATAGCTCTTTCATCCAATCACGTCAGGTCACCCCCGAAAATCCCAACAGCAAATTACCAATCTTTCGTTCTCATCATACCCAGGATTTCAAGCCACCGACCGCCCACCAACCGTTCGATAGAATTCCCCTGACAACGAGCACCTTCGCTTGGAATGCCTTACTGCAGTCCCATATCAATGCCGGCCATCCCCGCCTCGCCGTGCTCGCCTACCGAGATATGCTTCTTGCTGGCGTTCTCCCCGACCGCCACTCCCTCCCTCGTGCCCTCGACGCCTCTCGCCTCTCCTCCGTTTTTTTTACTGGCAAACAGCTCCATTCTCACGTCCTAAAGCTCCGCCTTTTGGGCGACTCCTACGTCCTCTCCGCCCTAATGGAGCTGTACTCCCAGTTCAGCGGCGTGGACTCCGCCTCGTCCCTTCTCTTCCATTCCAATCCGCAAAACCCCATCGCCTATACCCTTCTTGCCAGATTATACCTAATGGAAAACAATCCTGATTCAGCTCTCCATGTTTTCTACCAACTGGCCGCTTCTGGCGTAAAGCTCGACCCCATTGCTGTAGCCACCGCCGCGAAAGCCTGCCGAGAGATGAAGTCAACCCGAGACGGGAAGAAGATTCATGATTTGGCAAAAGAGAGTAAATTGGATTGCGATGTCTTGGTGGCGAACTCGCTTCTGAAGATGTACGTTGAGTGCGGAAGAACGGAAGAAATACTGGCTCTGTTCGACTCAATGCCGCACAAAGACGCGGTTTCGTGGACAACAATCATCAACAACAATGTGCAGAACGGTGGTTTCAATGAAGGATTGAAGCTTTTTCGGGCAATGGTGGTTGACGGAATAAAGCCCGACGAGTTCTCGGTGTCCGCCGTGCTCCCCGCTTGTGCTAGGATGGCGGCTCGGAAGCACGGGATGGAGATTCATGGCTTCATTATCAGGCAACACATTGATATGAACTCTGCTGTCCAGAATGCCCTCATAGACATGTACGCAAAATCCGGGAGCATTGAGAATGCTTCAAAGGTGTTTGATAGAATGACTGAGAGGGATGCAATCTCATGGACTGTGATGATACTAGGCTACAGTTTGCATGGCCATGGAGATCTTGGAGTTGCTTTGTTCCTTGAGATTGAGAATAATACAGGAACTGAACCTGATGGAGCTGCCTATTCAGCAGCTCTCCATGCCTGCGGCACTAACTGCATTGTAGATCAAGGGGAGAAAATTTTCAAACTCATCTGGTTAAAACATTCAGAGCCTGACCATTGCATTCTGATTCTAATGGCTAGGATTCTGGCCAGAACCGGGAGATTCGTAAAAGTTCGAGCATTCTTGAAGGAGCACTACATCGAGCAGGATCTTGATGCATTGCGAGCGGTTCTTGATGGCTGCAGGATTCATTCCAACAGGAGGATTGGGAGGCAAGTGGCAGAGCAGTTGATAGAGCTGAATCCTCTGAATGCAGAGAATTATGTGCTGCTATCAAATATACATGCAGCAAATGGGAATTGCATAAAGGTGAAGGAGGTGAGGGAGATGATGGTGGACATGGGGTTGAAGCCGAAGAAAGCTTGCAGCTGGATCGAATTCAGAGGCAAGATTCATTCTTTCGGCACCGGAGATGTCTCGCATCCAAGATCAGAAAGGATCTACTGGGAGCTGAAGAGATTGATGGAAATAATGGAAGCGGAAGGCTATGTGTCTGTGGAGGATTTTAGCCTGCATGATGTGGAGGAAGAGAGGGAATGTATTCCTTTGGGGCACAGTGAGATGCTTGCTATGGCTTTTGGGTTGATCAGCACTCAATTGAGCACTGTTATAAGGGTAACTAAGAACATGAGAGTTTGCAGGAATTGCCATGAATCAGCTAAGATGATCAGTAGAATTTCTGAAAGGGAGATCATGTTGAGGGATCCTGATAGATTCCATCGTTTTGTTGATGGTTCTTGTTCTTGCCAAGACATTTGGTGATTGGTTGTTTGTCTTTGCATTGTCTATGCCAAAGGCCTCAAGCTCAATCCACCTTGAGGCGAGGAAGGTTAAAGGTGCACTCGGCGAATGTCATCGGCAAAATTCAAGGATCACTCAGTCACTCGGTCGGCCTACACTCACCACTTGTAACTTGGCGGGACTACAGTTGCTGCTTGTAAGTCGGCATGACTACACACTCCTCTCGTCACTAGACGTGAATACACTCGCCACTCGTAACTCGGCATGGCTAGACTCGCCACCCGTGACTGTGCTTATGAATTTCGTCACTCAGGTGCCACTTGATTAGTGACAATTATAGTATCAATTGCCCATGTATATTTTTATATATTCCAATGGACATACTTTTTGGCTCTTTTTTTTTTGTTTGAATGATTGATCTCTAAGGCTTGTGATGAATTGTTGACTCCACAAGCCAATGTTATTCTTGTAGGACTTGCAATTTATTTAATGTTAACAAATCTTGTATGATTTCATCTTATAATTTTTTAATTGTTTCTTTTAATATATTCATATCCTAACAACTATGAAGATGAAGGGTAGTTTATTAATTTGGATAATTGGATGTGCAATAAGGCATTTTGATATTTTTTTTCTTCAAATTCCTATAAATAATTATTTTATTATTTAAATCGTTGCTCACCGTTCATAAAGTGTAAAAATTAAAATTAAGTAATAGTTAACTGATAATGAAAAAAATGTATAATCTAAATTAAATGTATGTTTATAAAATTATTATATGAAGTTTATTTTTTTAGGAGAAAAGAATATCCCATAATTGAAGGAGCATCACGGCGCGGCAGAGCAGAGAGCCGCAACGTTGGAGTGAGAGCGAGATCCAAACCAAAAGGCTTGTGATAACTTGAAATTCAAAAATAAAATTTTTAATTGAAAGTTTTAAATTTCAACGTCATTGTTGACCTCTGTATAAAGCACAAAGGAAAAAAAAAAAAAAAAAAAATCAGACTAACCTCGTATCCATCGAGAAGTCGTCGAATCCAGCAAATCCCGCGCGTCTCAGTCCGTAAATCCCGCAAAATCTTCGTCGTTTTTTGTGGAACTTGCTCAGATTTTGGTAGGTGACTCTGATCCTACTTCTCTTTCAAAGATTTTTGATTTCAACCATTTGATTCTCCCCATAATTGATTTTTATTTTTATTTTTTGGCATTTTTCTTGGATTTATTGGAATTTTATTGCGTAATTTTTTAATATGATATTTTTTTTTCATTAATTTTTTATATGATAAGGTAATGATTATTCTAGAGATTTAGGGTTTAACATTTTTGAATTTCATTTGATAAAATATAAGTTATTGAATGTTGTATGATTTTATCATAATAAAAATGAGTATTTTTATTTAAGAACATTATTAATACAAGCATTATGATATTGATATTGATACGGATATCGATATTGTCATTGATACAAATATTGATCCTACTACTAGTATACTGTTATTATTGCTGCTACTCTTATTGATTCTCGGTATTGTTTGCCGATTAACTGATTATGTGACATACTAAGCATGTGATTACGATATTGCACTGATAATGATATAGAATGTGATTAATGTTATTAGTTTACTAAATTGATATTACTGCTCTCGATTTACTGTATTGATATGATTTATGATAGCCTTTGTTGATGTTTTGATTTAACTAATCTATATGATTCTTCTATTGATTGTCACTGATTGCAGGACAAAGTATTTGTGATATGAATATATAGATCTTAAGTAGCATACAAGATTTTTTTGGGGGAAATGAATACAAACGTATGCTTTAATATTTTGATTGATAGTTTAATTTTATTGATAAAAAAAATTGGTAGCTCTGTTGTTGTCTAATAAAAGATAAAAGAAAAAAATTCTTCTAAATTATATTCCAAGGTGTCATAGAGCAAGGCACCAAGTAAGGAGCCATAGAGCCAAGTTGCTAATCAAAAATTATTGACAATTGAACTGATGCAAGGGTTGATGAACTGATGCATTGGTATAACAACTTAATAGTGCAACCTAGATTAGGGGTGCAGCCGAGTCAAGCCGACTTGCGAGTCAGCTCGAGTTCAACTCGTTAATTGGGTTGACGAGTTGAGCTTATTGAGCTTCAAAGTTGAGCTCGTACACGATTTCAAGCTCATTGGGCTTATTGAGCTCAAGTTTGATCCAATGAAATCTTGACTTAATTGATCGCGAGCCAGCTCGGAGGCGGGATTGCAGCACGAAATCGGAGTGCGGGATTTTTTGAGGAGTCATTATAAGTACAATTTTTAATATATATATATATATATAGCTTTAAATTATAATATTTTTTTTCTTAATTTTAGGGCATTGTATAAATTGACACATGTCAAACATGTGAGATTTTTGTAATCTTTAGCTCCGTTTTGCAAACCGATTTCACCATACATGCTAAGTTATTTTATGAATATTTTTAATATAATTTTTACAACTCCATATTTGAAAATATAAAAGAATTTATGATGAATTTTATGATGAAAACTAAATAATTGGCAAATTATCAATGTGTTTGTTATAAATATAATATATCCATATATCGTTTTCCTTTCTTATTTCATTAACCCTAAGAATGAAACATCAAATTTTGAGAAGAAAATAGAGGGAGTGGAGAGGGAAACCCTTGGTTTTGGTGTCCGTATAGCCGATTATGCATTGGGCGCCACTCCAATTGCTACATAAATACTCTTCTCATTTGTAAAGCTATCATTATCATACCTTTAATTTCAAATAATACTTCTATATTTATATTTTATTGAATTTTAATTTTGGAAAAAATTGGGTAAAAGTTACGTTATCTTAAATTTTAGGCGCGAACTTTCACTGCATAGTTTTTGAATTGTGATAGATGTCGTCAATATGAGCATTTTGACAAGAACATATTAAATTTTCAATCGTAAAGTGGAAGCTATGATTTTTTGAGGTAAATGCACAATTTTGTTTATTTTCTTATATTTTTATGAGTTACTGCATTTCATACATAATATTGACTTATATTATACAAAATAATATAGTATTTGTATATAAGCAAAGGAAGGTTGACTGTTAACATATAATTATTACGGGGGCTGACTCTTAAATTAAACAAGTATCCTATGGAAGTAGGTGTGACGATGGATTTTCCTTTAAATAGAAGGTTGGTGGTGTGATACTAATAGTTGCTTATAACTTATTTGCTGGAATTATGCCTACAGATAGAGGGTGACTGCAATAACTCGTATTTTAATCCAATCAAATATTTTAGGAGTTATTATAAGTCTAAATCACAAATCATCTTCATATAATATATATATAGAATTTCAATTACACTATTTTTTTTGTAATTTTTGGGCAATGTGCAAATCCGTGATAAATTGATATATATATATATATATAATAGTAGGGGTTTGGGATCATTAGGTGTCCATTTTGTACTAATTTTATTAATTTTTTTTAAATATGATTGGGTATTTTGTTGATATTTTTAATAATTTTTGGAGCTTCGAATTTAAAGATATAAGATAATTTATGAATTTAGACTAAAAGCTGAATATTAATATAATAATTATATTATATTATTATTTATATAAATATCTCTAGTCACTAAACAACCATTTCAAGCCACTTTATTTTATGAATTTGACTAATAGAGAAGAAAAAGAAAAATAATGAGAGAAAAAGTGAGAAGAGAGAAAATGAAGGTTTGTTTTATTTACTACTTTTAAATTCTTTTATTATTGTTATCACTATTCACGGGCGAACCCACAGCATATTCAGGGTGGGCAATTGCCATTTTTAAGGGATATGTTTCGGTAATTTGCCCACCCTCAAAATACTGCTTTGCCCTAATCTTATTAGCTCCTGCCCACCGTCGCTCCTTTTCAGCCGCTCTAATATTCGTAAAATCCCGCTGCATAACACTCGTCTCCGCTCGGCATGTCGGGCTTCTTCTTCGGCAAATCGCAAGCATTCGCATTTCGCCTCGACGTCTCCGCAGGCTTCGTCTTTCCCGGCTTCGTCGCCTCTTATTGAGTTCTTCGCCCTCTTCAAGTTCGCACTTCGGAGACGACAGTCAGGCATACGGCAGTCACCGCAAGCGCAGCACATCCAGCGGACCAGCACTCTCCTCTTTCGGTTCTTTCTGATTTTAGTCGATTTAAAACAGATCTCACTTGGCCCCGCTCGCCGTCGCTCACTCTTCGTGCTCACGACGTCAAGGTAACTCGCCAAGTCGTCGCATTTCCTCTTTTTTGGGTGGATTTGATTAGAATGGAACATAGTTAAAATTTTTTCCTGTTCTTGAGTTTATTTTATGCTAGATTTTAATTTCAGTTATTTAGGAAGTTTAATTGAGTGAGGTTTTAATTCAGTCATTTTTCTTGTTGTTGAGTGTTTATACATGATCAACAATTAGTTGAAGCTGGTGTTTTAATAAATTTCATGTAATCTTTTGACTTTGTCTTGACACTGCATTTGATGATTGACATTTTAGGGATTACAAATGAATTATCTCAAGCATTACAAAGAAAGGATCAAGATATATATAATGCAATAAAGTGGTACAAGTGTCTAAACAACGATTGCAAATGATGAGGGAAAATGGATGGGTGCTCTTACTTGAAAAAGTGTCACGTTTTTGCAATGTTTTGAATATGAAGTTCCAAATATGGATTCTAAAATTCAAGGCTCGTGGACGTCTGTAAGAAAATGTGAAGAATTTACAAACTTTCACTCATTACGGGTAGATTTATTCTACGCGGTTATTGATATGCAACTTCAGGAATTGAATAACCGATTCTCAGAAAGTAGCACCGAGTTACTTCTTTGTGTGACATGTCTAAATCCGAGTAATATGTTTCTACTTATGATAAGGAAAAATTAATTCGTCTTGCAGAATTATATCCAGCAGACTTCTCTATTATTGATCTTGTGTCTCTTGAGCATCACTATCAACTTATATAGTTGATAGTCGTATTAGCAAGGAGTTTACTTCTTTAACTAGCAATTGCTTCTCTAGCAAAACAGATGGTAAAGGAGATAAAAAATGCTGTGTATTTATAAACTTATTGTTTTTGCACTGACGTTACCAGTTGCTACTGCTACGGTGGAGAGTGGAGAGAGCATTTTCTGCAATGAAGATCATTAAGCATCGACTTCGTAGCAAAATGGGTGATGCCTGGCTTAATGACTGTCTAGTGCCATATATTAAAAAAGAAGTATTTGATTCTGTACCGAATGAAGTCATTATGCAATATTATCAGAAAATGCAAAGTAGAATGCAAAGTCTGTAATTTTCTTTTTAATTTCAAAAATTATGATGAAATATAATGCTTTGTTTTGAATTTTGTTAGTGAAATATATCTATATTTATTTATTTATATTTTTAAATATATTGAGTTTGCCCACCCTAAAAAAAGGGCTGGATCCGCCACTATCACTATTTGCTCTTATTGTGTTGTAAAAGTTCTCCTTTGGAGATTCATATCCCTATTAATTTGTTTGGTTTTGTCTCTAAGTTCTATTTATTTTGCATTTACTTTAAAGCAAAGTTTTCTCAATAAAAATTTAAAACCTAATGTCCACTACATAATAAAACATACTGAAATACATGATCCATGACAGTGATCCATAATAAAAGTATAATGAAATACATGATTCATAATAAAAGCATAATAAAATAAATCATATGTAGTATAATCACAGGCTCAGCTAACGTCGCCTTAGCCTCTAGGGTAATGCATCACTACTAGGAATGTATGCTACAGCAGTCGGAGAGGCCTTTCATGTAACACATGATGTTCCTCTGTAATAATGTCAACTTGAGGTACGTCAGCTGTATGAATGGTGCTTGGTACAAAGTCTGGGGTGAGGTATACATATAAATCCCTTGGCATCTCGTAACTAAAGTTATCCTCAAAGGGCATATAATCATGATACGAAGAGGGTCCAACAAATCTAGTGTAAAGCTGAGGAGCATCCTACATCATGGAGAGTGGTGTATCATATCCAGCTATATCATCAAAGTATTATTGGTCCTCAATATGCATCTCTCGGTGTAAGCCACATCAAAGCTTCGTCATCGTGTTTATTTCATGTTGCTTTTGTTTATCCTCAATGCCATTGAAGTGGTGTTGCAAAGTGCATTCCGTACCAATAAAGAAATCCCTTTGAAATGATAACATAACTTATTCAAATAATTTTGCAAATAAGGGTAAATTGATGATTTGTTTCATATTTACATACCATAAGGCGTCCTAAGGGAGCTCTATGATATGACGTGGTGGGAGGCTCGACATGTGACTTTAGCACGTATAGTGTGGCACATGACTTATACCATTGTAGGTATTGAAACTTTTATATTGAACTTTGCTTCAATGCGATTAATTATCTCCCTCGGCTTCAAGTCCATCTATTTTCTAATTGTGGGCAGTACGTAGAAACTTATAAATTGCGAGTTACATTGACGTTGGCCACTTTCAAGAATTGGAGTGGCACATGTATGTTGGTACTTTATAGATGAGATTTTTCATATAACGCCTAAGTGTTTGATCTAAGCAAAATGTAGCCGCCATAGGTAAGGAGACACCGGGCAATCATTCTTTGCACATGCAACCATAAATTTCTTAGTATTTAATGCAATGATAATATATTGAACATTATTTTGGTTTAACCATCCTTGTATTGCAAATTGCAAATCATCCTTTCTTGTGAAGCATATTCCTTCAAGTAATTCGGTAGGAATCGAGAAGTCATCCTCACCTGTCACCTCCTCATGGGCATCATCAAACTCAACTTTATGATCCCATTATTGTATAGTCCTATAAGTGTAACATAGTCATTATTTGCCACCATTGCATCCTTAGTACAAATTAATCTAAAGTAGTTATCTTGGGTGACATTTCGAATATCTTCATTAACAAATGCAACTCCATCATTCAACATTGGTAAAAGATCATCAACATCCTCATCAGAACAATGCTCGCTAGAGCCACTACTCGTAGTCTCATAACCGTAATGATCACAAGGGATCGATTGTGTCGAAGGGATTGGAGGTTCCTGTGTCTATTGGTTCTTTATATCACCATATTTAAAACAATCAACTTTATTTATTATTCAATAGAAAAATATAATATTGGACAATTAATAATATGCGATATAAGAAACTCACTAATCAATAGGCTCTTCTACTTATTCTATCCTTAGAGGACTATCAAGCACATCAAGCCGTCCACCTTGGGTCGAAGATTCATATCTTTGTGAATTTGGAGACTCAGTATTACCTCGCAACAAACTAATCTCTTTGACTTCAGCGTACATGATGAGAAATTCAATACTAATTTGGCATAATATAACTTCACAAACCTCGTCATCCTCAACATGTGAAGCGACAAACTCATTGCTCACAAGTACTCGACAGATTAAGTTCATATAAAACTTTGAATTATCGTACTTCAGGGCTCTAAGAAGCCTTAACTTAAGTTGCACTAAGTTGATACTTCATGGCACTTACATGGGACGATTCCTACCCCCATAATAAGTTGGCGCGAAATCAGCATCCACTTGTAACTTACCTCCATACATTAGCATGAACGTTGTACATCGTCCACTCATAAGTCATAATTGAACTCTTACGTTTTTCTATGAAAGATCAACAAATTCCATATATTTAATACACATTATTATTAATTTACATGATCATATTTCTAGTCATTATACATAACTTATAATTACAATATGTACTATTACTATGAAAATAACTTTACAATTTGCCAAAATAATTCACTTAATGCATTATAAAAGTTAGCCCTTGAATATAATATATAACTTCAAAATACCAATAAATTACTTCTAATTAACTCATTACCAAAAAAATTACTTCAAACCAAAAAATTAATAAATCATTACCAAAAAATTACAAACTCACAAATTTGTATAACATTACCAAAAAATTACATCAAATCAAATTTAGTCTAGGCAAATTAACTTATACATTCAACATTGCTTAATAAATTGAAGAGGGAAAAAATTTAAGAAATTTTCCTTTAGTAAAGAAATTTAAAAATTCCTTACCTCAACACTTCAACCAGCAAGGAATGGCAGATCGGCGACGTAAGGGAACACGAAGAGGAAAGGGTGCAACATGTGAGGAAGAAAATCTGAAGGGAAAATATTTCTTTTAGCAAGACAAAGTCGTCCGTTTAACTGACGACTTAAGTGCCAAGTCAACAAGCCACGTATATGTTTGACTAATACAATTAGGGGTTAATCACTGTTTAAACTGATGATTTTCTCTATTTTTAAGTTTTTTAAAAAATATGCTTAGACGCTTTATAAAATTTTAATTATGGTTAGTACTTAGTCTTAAAATTTTCCATTGTTCTTATGCGAGTCAAACGGGTCAAGCGGGCGGAGCTGAAGCTGGGCCGGACGGATTTAGCTGGACGAAGAAAAAACCAGGCCGGATGACGTGGCATAATGGCATTGGCTCCATGGACGTGGAGGAATCCCATGCACCCTGACCAGCTGCCAGGTTGAGCTTTCCCATTTTATAATCGGGCCTCGATGGATTCGTAGCGAGCACAACTGGTGGAGACGTAGTCATCTTGGCCGTCGATCTTCTCCCTTGATTCCTTGCTCCCAGGCTACTCCGGATCGGGCTAGGGCACAGCTTCCAGATCTTACAATTTAGTGTTTTCTTTTCCTATTTGGGGTTTGGAGAGTGCGATGATGGAAAGGCCGCGATCGACGTTACAGATCCTTCTCGCACTACTTGCGCTTCAGTTGTGCGCTTCCAATCCGGTAAATTTTGAATTTTGTTTTTGAAGGTGTCTCCAATTTGCTAAATTGTGGCGGCATTTTTGGGCTAATTGGATTAATTTTGGCTTCAGATATTTTATGAATCCTTTGACGAGCCGTTCGAGAAGCGGTGGATCGTATCTGTGAATGAGGATTACAAAGGTATTGCATACCGATCCGTGTTTGTTAGATCCGTCAGTTCGTTTTTTTTTTGTGTATGTTTATTTACGATTCGAATGACTTGTTTATTCCCTTGCTAAATTTTCACCGTTTTGGGATTAGGAAATCTTAGTAGTGTGTTATGTTCTTGAAGAGATCTGTTTTCTGCTTATCAAAAAGATAAAAAATTGCTTTTTTAGCATTACATTGCATCTTTCATTACACTTTAAAATGGTTAACTTGGTTTATTGGTGTGGAAAGATAGCGTGGTAAAGGTTTATATACGGAGAATATTATAATTTGATCAATCCATCTGGATTGGAAAACAATAAATTGATAAATAGTTTATTGTTGTGCTTCCTTTTGGTTGTTTAAGTCGTCTTTGTCGAATAGAAGGAAGGGTTTGTAATTTCAATCAAATTCATATACAGCGAGGCATTGATTGGACTTTATCGTTAGAATTGATATTGTAAACTACTAGCAGCTAGAACTGTTCTATCTTTAAGTCTCTTGTTGCCTGCCACAAGGTAAATGAAGCATTTTTATGGAATGACGAGGGAGCTGATTGTTGAATCATTTATTGTTTCTTTTGTTATCAGAACAAGGTTTGTTAACTGTAAAAGTGGATACTATACTGAAAGTTCCATTTAGATTCAGATTCCTTTCATTAAGCAATTCTGGGCAGTTACCCAACCCAAGCCACGCAATTCATTAATCATAGTAGTTTTAAAAATGTTTGATTGAATCAATCCCAGCCATTCAAATTGGATTGCATGGATTTGATTGGGTAATTTCCCATTACTATTGTAATTGGACAAAATATGAATTCAGTTCCATCTTTCTCGACGATTCATTAAATTGGAGTTATTGTATCATTTACTGATGTCCTCCTTTAGAACGCAATTTGTTCAACTTCTATATAATTGAGGAAGCTTTTCTGATTATATTCGTAATGAAAGCTAGATTTTGATGTTTAAAACTATCGAACTTTTTCAGTGAATTTATTGTAAACAGCTGATATCAATTGAACCGTTTGTCATCTTTCTAGCAAACTGTTATAAACTGCATTTGCCTGTTTATATCTTTATGAGTTTATTTTAATGAGCTATACCTCGTAATAACGAAGCTTGTAGCTAACAATTAAAATTTTTCTCATTGCATAAGAAGAAATTAAAAATATTTTTAATTAGAAGAAAATATCTAATTAGATCCGGTAAATTGTTATTTTTTTCTTAGTCATGCAATTAATACTAGGGATTACAATGATTTCATGAATTTATAAATCATCGATGAGAATACATTAGGCTCGGAACAAATCCATTTTTTTTGTCCTTGAAGTGAATCTATCAAAAGGATAAAGATAATGATAAGATTTGTTTTAGATAGGTGGATTCCATAATTCATTTAAGATCTAAGCTCCAACTTATACGAAGGCTACAACGAGTTCACGAAAGGCTATATAGGAGTTATAAGGCAATCTAATTGAGACATCAACACATCATCCATAGTGCGGCATGTATATGACAGGCAAACACCCCATACCCATCTAGAAGGATTTGAGGCACTTAGTGGAGAGGATTGGTATCAAGGTTGGCTATTAATTTACCTGTTTTTATAATGAAATTCCTAGTTTCATGATAAATGATCAAGCCTATTGTTACCTATAAGTAGGAGGCCCCTGGATTGTCTAACATGAAACGAAAAGGCTAATGAACTGTTAATTTAGTGGCCAAACTTGTTTCTTTCTATCTCTTCTAATCAAATTAATTCCCCCTCTCCCACTCATATATTTAGGCCTAAAGGCTTCAACTGAAAAACATTTGAGAGTCAATCAAGGAAGTCTACAAGATATAATCCACATCAACAATATAATAATTTATCTAATTTTTATTTTTCTTATGTTCTAAAGGGTTATTTCTCATGCAAAGAAATAAAACCTAGATCAACTTGGCAAAAGCCCACAGAAATGTGGCTTGATTCTATGAAAATTCTACACCCATCATAACCAAAGTAGATCAGGTATTGCATCACAACTTAATCTGCAAGCCTCTTAAAATAGTATTTCTTTCATATATGATAATTAAGTAAGGTGAGTACTTCATCTCTTTTGACTTTAGATTATTTGGATTAACTAGTTTCTAATCATAATAGAATTATGTTAATGATTAGCATTAAATTCATATGTTTTTATACATTAGTTTTGGCAATCTTTGTTAAACTTATTTAAGGTACCTTTGTGTATGCTATTTACATATGATAATTCTAATCTATATGACCTCTACTCTTATAAGTGAGATGTTTTAGTACTTAGTAGTGGATGAAATGTTTAGAAATTAAGAAACTTATAGTAAATAAATAGAATGGGTGTGAAATCGATAAATATTAATCAATATTATCTGAAGATCATGAAATATCTTGATATGATTAATATTAAGTATTTTGGATATCTTATATAGCAGTATGTGAATATAAATGAGGATGTAACTACTAGGATTATGTTAGATAGAATGGAGATTTAATTGAGGTACTCAACAATAAGGAAATTTAATGGTGTGTATAATTGAATTTTATTAAATTTTATTAAAGAATGTTCTACAAAATTGAGCGTTAGGTTAAATAATTCATTGATAATGAAACTCAACAAGACAAAAAAGAGAATGTTAAGATGCATGTGTAGTAAAACTAGAAGGATGGGTTGAGAGATCTCTTTATTGAAGTGATAGTGAGAGTAATGCTTATTGAATATGGTTTTTGGAAAGTTGAATTTTGATGATTTGGTCATGTACAATGGAGGGTCGAAGATGGACCATATCACGAGTAGGTGGATTTAATGTGGGAGAATTTGGAAGGAAAATAGGATACCAAAGGTAACATGAATGGTAGTTTTGTAAAAAGATTTGTGTAAAATCGATATCTTTCAGCACTTTGCATTTATTGCAGAATAAGGAATCATAAAGCCCAACCACAGAAGTTGAACTAACGCTACAGAGGATGATTATTAGCTCATTGGACTTACCATTTTGCATCACTTTTGGAATTTTTTTTGACATAAATAATTCATCAATATTTTGATATCAGCTGGCATTTTTAATTTTCCATTTTATGATCTGTTGTATTTTCATGGACTATTAGGAGTATGGAAACACTCAAAGAGTGAGGGCCATGAAGATTATGGGCTTCTTGTAAGTGAGAAGGCAAGGAAGTATGGCATAGTTAAACAACTTGATGAACCAGTTAATCTCAAGGATGGAACCATTGTTCTACAATATGAAGCTAGGTTCCAGAATGGTCTTGAATGTGGGGGTGCTTATCTCAAGTATCTCAGACCACAAGACGCTAAATGGGCTCCTAAGGACTTTGACAGTGATTCCCCTTACTCCATCATGTTTGGGCCTGACAAGTGTGGATCTACCAACAAGGTACATTTCATTCTAAAGCACAAGAACCCAAAAACCGCGGAGTATGTGGAGCATCATCTCAAGTATCCGCCATCCGTACCGTATGATAAACTGACTCATGTCTATACTGCTGTTATTGAACCTAATAATGAACTACGGATTTTGATTGATGGGGAGGAAAAGAAGAAGGCAAATTTTCTTAGTGGTGATGATTTTGAGCCAGCAATAGTCCCACCAAAGACTATTCCTGATCCAGATGATAAGAAGCCTGAGGACTGGGATGAGAGAGAAAAAATCCCTGATCCAGATGCTCGGAAGCCGGATGACTGGGATGAAGATGCTCCAATGGAGATAGAGGATGCTGATGCTGTCAAGCCTGAAGGATGGTTGGATGATGAGCCAGAGGAAGTAGATGACCCTGAAGCATCAAAACCAGAAGACTGGGATGATGAAGAGGATGGAGAGTGGGAGGCACCAAAGATTGATAACCCAAAATGTACCACAGCTCCTGGATGTGGTGAATGGAGGAAACCAGTGAAGAGGAATCCAGCTTACAAGGGAAAATGGCATGCTCCATTGATTGACAATCCCAACTACAAGGGCATCTGGAAACCTCGGGAGATTCCAAATCCTAATTATTTTGATCTTGACAAGCCTGAATTTGAGCCTATTGCTGCCATTGGCATCGAAATATGGACCATGCAAGATGGAATATTATTTGATAATATTCTGATAGTTAATGATGAGAAAGTTGCAGAGTCATACAGAGAAAAGGCATCAAAACCAAAGTATGAACTAGAAAAAGCAAAGGAGAAGGTTCAAGATACTCCAGCTGGGCTTTCAAGCTTCCAAGTGATTTTCCTATGCTCTTTTCCTTACACAATACTCTTCATATTATTCATCTTTTTAACTTCTTCCTTTTTATTTTAAATATGCAGAAGAAGATCTTTGATGTGCTTTACCAGGTTGCCGATGTTCCTTTACTGAAATCTTACAGGGCAAAGATCATTGTAAGCAATTTATTGATGTCTGGCTTTCTTCATATTTCTTGATTTCTGTATTTGCATTGGAGTTTTTTTCTTATATCCTTAAAAGTTTATTACTCTTTGAAAGAGACTACGATCCTTCAAACTTAAATCACTGTCAAGTGGTCATCCATTCCTTTTTCTTTTCACAAACCATTTGAAGTGCTTATAAAAAGGGTAGCTTCCATATCCTTTCCAATCGTAAACCTACACCTAAACACATCTAGCTCTTTTACATTAGTACTAGTAAATTATTCTTGCATTAGCACAAGAAACAATTTAATTTAAATTTGTACTAAAGCATAGGAGCACAATCAACATATAAAAACTTAGAATTATATTAAATAAACACCAAAAGAATTTATTATTAAATAAAATACTATATCAAGTCCAATCAATTGCCCACTGCCTTTATAAGTCTAATAGATAAGAAAAAAATTGATTATAATATGATGTAGTTAATTAATGAGCAAAGAAAAAAACTTTCTTCATATGGTTCCAAGTGCTTTTTTTCTTTTAATTTCAGTTTCTCATACTTATGGAGAAAGAGAACAACCAATATTTGTGTGGAATTAACTTGCTTAAAGATGGTAGGGTTATGATCTTGTACAATATGTTGGGAAGGCTAAATGCTCAACGTCCCTCTACCTTTCTATATTTAATTATATATAGAAGCTAATACCAATTTCCCAGCAAAGTACCCAGCAATTTTTCAGTGCATCTTCTAGTGTGACCAGAGGAGATAAGTTTGAGAGTCATTCTGTCAATACTTGAAGCTAAGTTATACTTATTAGTCAATCTAGTTGCAATGTTTCACCCTGTTCTTATTTTGTCAATTAAGGGCTTCTCCCATGTGTGCAGGTATGTTTATATTTAGATGTTTATGTTATGATTCTATCATATATATATATGAGTCAGACTTTTCTGCTCCTAGGAGAAGAATCTACATTATTTTACTATTTGGATTTTATGTTATCACAAGATCATTAGATGAATGAATAATTTTTCAATGGATGACTTTGATTGCTGGAGAAGATTGCAACTTCAAAGCAAAATAGATATTTTATGTTGTTTTGACAAAAATATATGATTTGGGTCGATGTTAAGAGTGGATTTGATGATTTTGATTGAGGAAATAGATGAGCAAAACTAGACTTTTTAGATGGTGTCTTTCAATCACCTTGATATTTTTCACATTCATCACAGTGATTAACTTGTTATTAAAATTAAAGAAACTGAAGCTTTGTTTGGGACAGTTTTTTTTGTGCTTTCTAAAACAGCTTTTTAGTTAAAAAATTTATAGTTCAAAAAATTTTTTACTGAAAAATTGATTTATAAAGAAACAAAAAAACCGCCCCAAACAAAGCCTGAATCTATAAGCAATTTCCATCTTATGGATCACAATAAATGGTACGTCTTGCTCTTGAGTACTATGCCAGCAGTACATATAATTAGTAGGAAGATCTTTCTTTTTTCTAGGATGAGAGAATCCCCCTCTCTCTCTCTCTCTCCTCCCCCCACCCCCCCCCCCCCGCTCTTTCCCCTGGATATTCTGCGTTTACATTAACTTTTTATTTATTCACTCTTATATACTACCTTTTTGTGGTTTTAAATATATATATATATTTTCTCACATGATTGCTTCATTGTTTTAGGATGTAATTGAGAAGGGGGAGAAACAACCAAATATTACCATTGGAATCCTAGTATCAATTGTTGTGGTTTTCACCACACTAATCTTCAGGATTATTTTTGGTGGGAAGAAAGCTGTGGTAAGTTTTCCAACTTCTTATTTACCCTAAATATGGACATAAATGTAGATCTCTCTTTGAAAATTTTCTCCACACAGCACCCCCCAAAAGCCACCACAACCTCATCCCACACTGCAAGTGCTGAAAAGCAAGAAGATGAAGCAGGAAGCAGCAATGTTGAAAGAGAAGAAGATGAGAAAGAGAAAGAAGATGCAGGCACAGCAAAGCCTAGGAGATCCAGAAGGGAGACATAACATCTCCTGTGTTCAAAATTTTGCTTTCCTGCTACTTATCTAGCAGGTCTTCGTTCTGAAATTAGAATGATTTGGTTCTATCTTACCTCGGAGACTTAGAAAATGAATTTCTGTTGTAGGTTTGTTTCATTTGGAGTCAAAACTGGTTTAATGTTTTGTTTTGATGAGATGAACTGTGCCGTTCGGAAAAGAAATGGATTGCAGATATGGCTAATTATGGACATCCAATCTGTTGTTGTTGTTGTTGTTCAAAATTGCAAATCAGAATAAAACAATGTATTTTTTTTCCTATTTGATTAATTTTCTTTGATTTACAGATTGAACTCATCTACTTCTAATTCATGAATAGAAGTAATTATATGGTTAGGCTCTCTCCTTCCTCTAGAACAAATTTGATTGTCTATCAATGGAGTCTTTGATGCAGCTTTAACTAAAAAAGAGAAGGTTGTTGGGGCTCTTCACACGAGTGAAATATAATATTGGCATTTTGTGTAGCTCAAACATTAAGGTTTTATTTGAGACAATTTTCGTACTATTTTATACAGCATGTTCTATATTATATATATATATACTAATATAATAATAGAATATATATTAATATATATAGTATATATATATTAAATACTAATATACTATATAATATATACTATATATATATAGTATATATATTTAATTTTGATTAAAAATGATCTATAAATATATATATATATTTCTTTGAAGAAAGAAATAAGTAGTGGTCGAATAAAAAATCTTTTGGTTATTTCTTCATATATCTATATTGCTATTAATTCTATTTATTTATATATATTTACTCATAATTGTATCAAATTTCATGCTTAAATTATTTTGGAGGTTTCTTAAAAACACATTAGTGGTCCTTATTTTTTAGTACTGAAATCCTTCATTCTAAAATAATTTAGATTTTTAAAATTAATATAAAATGAAATCAAAATTAACGAAAAATTTTCCACACAGCAACTACATTATATTTATTCCTTTTCAAAGTAACTCATTATGAAAAACAGAATAAAAATAAAATTCAGGTTAAAAAATCGCTTCCTATCTGCCTATGCAAATTAGGTTTAGGACTTCATGAACATTTTCTATTATGATCCAACAACCATAAAATGATAAAAAGAACGGATATATTGCTTTACTTATACTTATTTCATTATTTTTTCTTTTTATTTGGATAATATTTTTTTGAATTTTAATATTAAAAAAATCCAAAATTACTATTATTTTTTTACTTTTAATTGTATAAATCTGTTTGAGTATTTTTTTTTAAGTATATTTGTTTTAAGAAATTAGAAATAAATATGAAAAATATCAATTAATCATCAAGCTTTTTTGTCTAAAAAACATTTACTTCACTTTTTTTTTATTTGGCATAACTATCTAATTATTTTTTCTTAGAAAAATTTGGAAGTAACAATTATAAGGGAATTTTGTGTAGTGCAATCTTCATAAAAAAATCTATAACTTGATTAAACATATATACTTTTATTAGAAAAAGAACTTCATATATTTTTTTTAGAAATTTATAATTAGTCATTTTTCTTGTAACTTTATTGTGAGGCATTGAGGTATATCAAAAGTATTCTTTAAGATGCCTAAGAGGGAGAAGTCAATATAAATTAGTTGTGTAAGCTAGCACATGTAGTGCATGTAATGATGGCATAAGAGGTGAAGATGTGTGAAATCTCCTAAAGAAACTAAACGGTTAAATATTGAGAAGCCTTTTTATGTAATGTTAAGAATTTTATTAAGAAACTCTAAAGTTAAGCATGCTCGTGCATGAGAAATCCTGAGATTGGTGACCTCTTAGAAAGTTACACCAACGGGATAAAATCATGAGGCCGTTAGGTCAAGGTTCAGACAATACTTCGATAGTTAAGAGTTTGAGCTTTTACAAAATGATGTTAGAGTAACACACAACTGGAAGATGAAAGCTAAGTGTCAAGTAAGATAAATTGCTACAATGTCATGGGAGTCACCTCTTGAATCTTATATGTGATAAAGTGTTACATGATGAGAGCTATCACTTGAACTTGTAGGAATCTTCTCTAGAATTTTATCTGTATGGTGGATGATTCTAGGATAAGGTTACTAACATGGATGTCAGATACTTAAGTATGAAAGACTGTGAAACCCCTTAAGTTAAAAAAAAAAAAAATTAAACTAAATTAAACTTTTAAACATCGAGGTTTCTTTTGGTTTAATTATTGTAAGTTCATTAAGAAACTTCAAAGTAAAGCATGCTCGTGTGGGATAAATCCTAGGATAGATGAGCTCACACCCACGGGACAAAACTGTGAAGCCATTAACCCAAAGTGGCAATATCTTGATAGCTAAGAATTTGGGCTATTACAAAATGTATAAATGTGGGCAACAAAGTAATTTTTCTCATGAAGTTTTTATAAATGCCAATCCTTCAAAGTATAATTTTTATAATTGGCCATCCATGAAAAGATGTAATGCTTTCCATATTGATAAATCATTGTAAAGCATTTGGCTCTTACATAATTTTTTCGAATCAAAATAATGATATTTTCTCTGTATCATATTGTAGAGGTTTCTTAAATTGCATCAACCAATGGAAGTCTTTGTTTTACCCCTAATTTAAGATATGTTATTTAGGATCGTAACAACCACTTCTATAGTTCTGAGTGTATCATACTACGATGTTGAAGTCTCTATTTAGTATTGAAATTTTTCTTAGGAGAGCTGTGGTGGTTGGAAGGAGTTGTTGCGACACTAGGTTCTCTGTTTGAATATCTTAAAAAATCCATTGGTAGTATTACAACATTGTCGATTGTAGTGCTACGGTATTGGTTCTATAAATATCAAATTTTAATTATGAAAATTCATTCCTCATTTAGGAGCAACTAGTTTAAGAGAAAAAAGAGAGATATTCTAGCGAGAGAAAGTTGCATTTGGAGGTCTTAAAGCAGATTTCATCTGTGGGCCAATCAAGAAAATCATCCAGCTAAGGGCAGGTTACACATACCCTACTTTAGAATTTAGTTTCACCGCTTTCTAGGCATTTTTGTTTTTTATTTGACTTGGGTTTTTATCTGAGGAGGTAATATGCTAACTTTATATTTTTAAAATCTTCTGCATGTGCTTGAAAATGTTCTTGATGCTTGTAAGAGTCTTTATATATTCTAAAGTGGGTCCTAGGGTTCTTTTGCTGATGGGGGGCTGTGAGTAAATGTAAATTTAAATTATAACAATGAATGATTAAGGCTCTATCTCCCCTAAACAATGCTTAGATTTTTTTTTATATAAATTAGTAAATCATACTTAGTATATATAAGTATAAGTCCCAAATCAAGTAATAAAGTGATAGAGTGGAGTGTTGAACCCATAAGAAAGTATGTTTTTTAACAATCAACTACTACTGTTTATTCTAATTACAATAATTATCCTACTTAATAAAAATAGATGTTGTGGAGATTCAATCGCTTAAATAAAATTCTATAAAGATAATGAATACACTATATGGATATAATATTTTGGATTGATGAATATAAATAATATATTTTTCCTAATAAATATCTTTTAATGGTGATGATATTCATAGCATGTGCATTCCTAGATCTATGTCGAGCTTGTAGTATAAAATAAAATTATATAAAGATATTGAATACAATATATTGATATAATATTTTGGATTGATGAATATAAATAACACATTTTTCCTAATAAATATCTTTTAATTGTGATGATATACAAAGCATGTGCATCTCTAGATCGATGTCGAGCTTGTAAGAACAAAGGATGTCCATCAATTTCCTACGGTTATATCATCTCCTTAAGAATTTAATACATTTAATACCTTATGTATATTGCATACTTATTCACTATTCTTGGTTATGTCTGTTTTCCTCTGTCGAGGCTCTACATTACACATAATTTTAACTACACATATAACCACTATGTGTATTAAATTAAGATATTGTAATATTAAAAATATCATTTTAATTATTTAAAGAATAAGAGAATTCATTAGTATTACATATGATATTTACATCATCAATCTAAAACTAGAGAATTTAGCTAGACATTGAGTAGAATTGAAATAACCTCATTTTCATTAATAACATGATAGAAAAAAAATACAAGAGATAGATATCACCAGAATGGTTCAATGGATATCATTTACACTCCTCTTTACTTACAGATTAGCTTTCACAAATATAAGTCAAATACTCTAATGATGTTATTAAGTACTTCTCTAAATTTCCTTAGTTGTCACCCTAAGGGAAATTCAAAAAAGCTATCTGAATTGTACTGAAATTATCTAAGTAATTAAACTCCCTTTCAAACATAACACAATGATTATTTATAGGAAAACACAAATTAAGAAACAGGTGCTGCGACGCTTGAAAGATCAGCGTTGATGTGCCCAACAATTGAACTAATGCCACTGCGCTACTGCTTTGGCTCGGCTGCGACTCTTACTGACGTGGATCAGTTACTTAGTAAACCATTGCATTGTTTCCCTGACAGTTTGTCTTTAGAAGTTACAATTGCTATGCCGTTGCACTGCTGACTTTCAAATGCTGCAACGTTAGAAGAGCATTTTTGGTGCCAAGACATTATAAAGTGTGCTGCTCTGAGGGAACATGGTGCTGCAAAGTTGAATTTTTGACATTGTGATGCTATTCGATAGAGAAGTTGGTGCTGCAATGTTGATATTCTGATGCTCCAGCAATATCTTTGATGGCGCTGTGACTTTGTTTGTTTCGACGTCCTGGTGTTGTATGAAACTTAAAATTTATACCTTTTATGTAATTTTTTTGCACAATACAAAAAAAAAAAAAAAGAATATATTTTCACTAAAAATATAACACATAAAATAGCACGTTATTTACACTTTTTGCATGTTAAAAAATTTTAGACTTTTTTTCCTGGGCAGACATGACGTTGGGGTTAGCGGCACCGCAATGTTGAGCTCTCAAGATAATCTGCAACTAATTCAGCATTTCGGCATGATGGCGTCGTTGGCTCCTGAGGGAGTGCTGGGGCAAAATTTTAATTTTTAAAATATCCAAATCTACCAATCCACTTCATTTTGATGTAAATAGGGACAGCTGGCTAGTGACAAAGAAAGGACGATGAAATTTAGAGAGAGCCAAATTTGGATGAATTTGGTCTACTTTCTACTAATGATTGAGTTTTGAAAGTTATCCTGATCGAGGTAGGTTGCATTTTGCCAATCTCAATTTTAAAAACCATAGAAATTTTTGAAATTTTCTGATTTAAATTATATTTTAATATTCTAAAAATAAAAATATCTTTGCACATGTAAACCTTTTGCTGCGTTATTTTTTATATGCTATAGAGATAATAGTTCTGGATATTTAGGTATTTCTCTACAAATTTTATAATTAGGGTTTTGAAAAGTATGCTATTTTAATTATCTAAAAATAATTCCTACCTGTAAAAATATCATTGTTATAGAATTATAGCTTCAAAGCGATGTTTTGAACAAACTATGGTAATTTGATTATTTTTTTAAATAGTGAATTTATGCTTAGTAGGGTTTTATAATGCCTACTGTTAAGGCATTTTAACAAATTCTGAAATGAGTTTAGTTATATTTTTTAATGCAATGCAATAAATTATATGCTTATTTGATTAAAATGAGTGATTTTGAAGAGATCTGACGAGTGTAGAGGAAGTTCTGTTATTCTGCTACATGCACATTCTTTTCCTGGTGCTAGGCATTAAGAATCATAAGGACCTATTTTCTAATATGTCAATATGAGAGTCATAAGGGTCAGAATTCTTTGAATTATATTTTGATGGGAGGTATAAAGGTTCGAGGGGAATCTATTATTTTTTTCTCTAACATATAAAGTATTGTTTATTTACTTTTATGCAATGCTATTTAAGTTTTCTAACAAGTGCAACTAAAATTATGTTAAGTGCAATGATTATTATGAACTACTTTTAAAACTCATCTAAATGCTTAATAATTATTATTTATAAATTTAGTCCGGCAAGTGCGACATGCTGAGCTGTGTTAGCTCACAATTTTATCTGCATTTTGTTTCGAGGCTTAGAAAAGGGAAAGAGTCAATGAGTAGCTGATGATTTAGGAATTTGACATGTATCTATTTTCATATTTCTTTTTCTAATTTTGTACAATCATGACTAATTATTTAAATCAATCTGATTGTGTATTTCAATTTATAGTTATGTAATATAGTATAAATGTTGTATACACATTTTGATGAAGAAATGAAAAGAGATTTTGTGGACTAGTTTATCTTCAGTATAATAGATGTTATTAATAACTATGTAGTATGCTGTTTATTTTTCATTTGATATTGAAAAATAAATTCTAAAAGTTTCCCAAAATTGAGATCTTAGGTTGGCATGTTGTAAGCCAACACAATAGGACCTATTCTGTAGGTCTTATTGGATTGAGTTGTGATATGTGAAATAATAAAGAGAAAGAAGAAAGTGCATATAATGATTAACAATCATATACATTCATGTGCAATACAAAGTGAAGTTATAAGGATCTCTGCATGCATATAATTCTTTCATATGTCAAATGATCAAATAAAAATATAAGTGAAATTAAAATTATAAAAGGCTTCAAGATATATAAAAGTGAAAGTATAAGAGGAAGCAAATGTATAAGGAGACATAAAAACTAAGAGGCATAATAAAGAGGCATCATGAAATGTTCACGTGCTTTGCATCAATTGCTAAATTCAGTGGCATAATTTTCATTAAATCTAGGCTTCATTTGGGACGGTTTTCTTACTGGTTCTTAAAACAGCTTTCTAATATAAATTTTTTAAATTTTATACTAAAAAGCTGCTTTAAGAAGCATTAAGAAAGCCGCCCCAAACAAAGCCTTAGTGTCATTGTAATTATCACATGAAGGCAATATTTTTTATTATAAAATTTCACCGTTCTCAAAAATAATTTTGAAGTTTTAATTTGTGTTTAATCAATCAACTAAGTACTTTAATATATATATTTTGAATTAAATTTTTTGCTATTTTGTATTAAATTTTATGCTAGACAAGTCAAAGATTATTTGCAACCCATCAATATCACATTCAGGAGTAAATGTTTAGTATATATCATACATAACAAGGAAAAAAAAAAAGGATATGTAGAAAAAAAAGGCAATTGAGACATCAAATCATTCCTTCCATGGCTTAAGTTTCTCATTATTTCAGTTTTTTTTAAAAGAAAATCTAATACTACAAAATGATTTTTTTTTTCCACCGCCAAACAAAGCTTCGGAAGCAGATCCTCTTCGGTTCCGGAGTTTCCAAGCCGGCGTTGTAGGATGCAAACCCTCGTCAAAAGGACTGCCAGTTCGTTTCAGACGTGATATCGTTTGGTTTGTGCTTCGCTAAATTATGCCATCTTGCTCAGTTACGATGCTTCAGAGCTGAGGGAAGAAGACAAAGATGGAGGCGTCCGAAATCGCCAAATTTGCTCGAAATTTCTCGGTGATGGTCAGGGTTCAGGGGCCTGTATGTACTACGAATCATCTAATTCCTCTTCGTTTCCTCATATAATCTTCTTATAGTCTAAAGTTTTTTTTTCGGCTAAACTGGGTTTCTTTGAATTTAGGATCCAAAGGGACTGAAAATGCGAAGAGATGCTTTTCATCTTCATCGGTAAGATGGTAACTAGATAACGATCTACGGTAACTGCATAGATGAATAAACTACAGTATAGAAAGTAAGAGTGAACTAATTCATGAAGAAGCTCTATTGAGTATTTTCTCATCTACCAAATACATCTCACTGTATAGTATTAAATACAAGAGTATTCATTAGTTTGTTACAAATCAATGGTTGTGATGAAATCTTAATATAGAGTATGAAGCCATTCTGTAAGAGGCAAAACCTATAGCATGAGAGTGGAGCAGAGCACTTTATAGCACATAGAACTTATCACTTATCACCGCTCCTCAAGTTAGCAATGGGCTCTTGAATTTTTAACTTACCCCTAAGTTGAATAAAACTGGTAGAAGTGAGAGGCTTGGTGAAGATATCAACAGGTTGATTCTCAGAGGAAATATGATGAAATGAGATGTGGTTAGATTTATACAGTCCCTGATAAGTGATAGTCAACCTCGATATGCTTTGTGCGTGCATGAAATACAGGATTATTAGCTAAAGAAAGTGCCGAAGCATTGTCACGAAACAATGGAGTAGGTTGTATGATCGGAATCTGAAAATCAGCAAAGCGTCTTAGCCACATAATAGCACAAGGAGTAGCGGCTAGAGCTCTATATTCAGCTTCGGTAGAGGAGCGAGCAACAATAGGTTGCTTCTTAACATACCATGAAATCAGGTTTGCCAAAGATACGCACAGAAGCCTATAAGGTGTACGGAACAAACTTCATTGCACTCACTCACTTGCCCTAGCGGACAAAAGAGAACGCTCCCTTCCTCTCTCTTCAATTAATTACAAGCTCTCTACATTTACTTGCAATGAAAATTATGGAGAGCATTTGAGTTGGGTTTGAAGCAAATTATTATTTTTTTCTTTTTTCTCTCGTTTATTTTCGTTGTTCCTGTCCATTTTGATCTTAACTTGTATGGTGTTTACTTTCTTAGTTGTCAGAAAATTTCACGGGATTTTCTATCTGACGTTAGTTTCTATTCAAAGCTCAAACCCTTTTCCGTGCCTTCAAAATTCATATTTTGTATAGATCTGGATTAAACTTTCCTAGAAAAAAGTTGAATCGTATATCAAAATCAAAATTATGAATGGTATAAGAGAAAAAATTAGGATCTTGTTGTGGCAAATGGAAAATGACAGGTGTGGAAGCCAATAGGTGGATGACTTTATGTTATGTTCATTCATCTATTTATTGGTTATTCCTTTAAATTGAACAAAAAAATGTAAAATACTTCTTCACATTATTTCTTCCTGGCTAAACATACAACTATAGAATTCTAAGAAAATAATCATACAACTAATCGTATGCTAATTGTTAGATCTCACTAAATTAAAGCATAGAATCTCCATTTAAAACCTTTTAACAACAACAACAATAAGCCTTTATCCACTATGTGAGGTCAGTTACATGAATCTTTTTTCTCCATTGAGTCCGGTTAAAAGTCAAATTCTCATCTAAATCCAAAAAAGAAAGGTCATTTCTAATATTTTCTAACCAAGTCTTTTTAGGTTTACCTCTACCTTTCTTAACGTAAGTAAAATCTAATACATCTACTTTCTTAATCAGGTCATCGGAGGGCTGCCGTTTTATGTGGCCATTTCTAATACTTCTAAAAAAGAAAGGTCATTTAAAACTTTTTAACCAAAAAAAAATCTCATTATATCTAAATGTATTTTTTTTTTTTCATTTCTTCTAAGCACATGACCTCCAAGAAAGCTAGCTGAGCATTACATCTCCATATAAGCATACAAATTACCTTATTGGCTTCCAACCTTGTCATTTTCCCTTTGCCATAGCAAGATCCCAATTTTTTTGTTCTATCGTCCATAATTTTGATTTTGATATATAATTCAGTTTTTTCTTATGAAAGCCTAATCCAAATCCTTACAAAATATGGAGTTTTAGGGCAAAGAAAAGGGTTTGAACTTCGAATACAAATTAACGCTAGATGGGAATTCCCGTGAAATTTTTTGACAACCGAGAAATGAAACAACATACAAGTTAACATAAAATCAAAATAAACAAAAACAATGGAAATGAACAGGTAAAAAGCGATAAAATTTTGAATATGCTTCAAACCTAACTCAAAGCTTCAAACTCTCTCCAAAATTTCCACGATAAGAAAAAGTAGATGGCTAGTAATTAATCAAAGAGACAAAAAGGGAGCATACTAAATCGAGATCTTTCAACGAGTATGGGCGAACATGTCATTTGCGCTGGGCATGGGAGGTGAGGATGAATACACCATAATAGTTGGAAATGAGATTCTTCCCCTCTCGCGCCACAAATGACATTAAATCCGCCGAACAATAGGATTTGGTAAATTCAGGATTTACCACGAAATGGAGAATTTCCTGTCAACTACAGCTTGCATTTATTGTGAGATTTAATATTGCTTTTTCTATCATTTGGCTAGATTTAGCTCAAATTCGGCCTAAATCTTGCATCTAAATAGGCACTAAATCTATTTAGTGGATTTGTTGAACCTTGACTGCATACTCCTATATGGATTGTTTTCATGTAGGAAGTTACCAGTCATTTCATTGGTAGAAAAGTGAGAAATAGATGTTTCTATGATTTGGATATTTCTTTGAGGTGTATTTGGGATAACCTGAAATAGTTTGCTAAATGATTAAGAACAAATCACCCTCAAAATGAAACCGCTGTAATATACAAACAACAAATTATGAAAGTTACCTTTTAGAAGTTGTCTATGAATTTTAGTGTAAAGATCAGAGAATGGATGGAAGAAGATGGAATTTTGTTCATATAAATTTCTTCAATATCTTCAACTGTGAGAGAACATTGTAGTACATTTTTTCTATTGGTTGTGACCTACATCTTTTTGGGAGACGGAAGAAGGTTATCCTCGTTTAGCATAACCATCTTCCCCATGTTTTGGTAGATGAATGCTTGTTTTGTCGAGGAGTTAGATCTTGTCCACTCATTGGTTGAACTTTTCCAACTTCATTTGATCTTGATTACTTGAACGAAGAAAAACTCTTAAAATCTACTCCCTTGAGTCTTGACATTCTCAGAGGATTGAATCACAGCTTTGGAATCACTTCTAATTTCTAAACTTTAAGCTTCTCATTTTTAATGTGAATGAGGCTCATACTTGCTTCATCGGAATTACTTGTTTTCTTTTGATGTGTTATGTGTAATGTCTCAGAACTAATTTGTAAGAATTATTTTTTTATCTTTTAATAAACAACAATCAGAGCTACCTAATTTCATTTATCAGAAATAAACATAAAAAATAATTCTAGAATTAAAAAAATATATATATATATACACACACACACACACACACACATACATACACATGCATTCATTTCTCAGGATCTATACAATCATATCACATCTACTTTTTACGAGTACAAAAGAATAATTAAAACAAAAAGAAACAGAATCTGAAAAATCTTGACTAGCCTCACACTCCTGATCCTATGCCCTAAATTGAAATTATTTAATCACATATAATGAGCTAAAAAGTCCAGCAGGTCACCAAAACACACAACTGAATGCAAAGCACGATAAATAAATAATATATATGTCATGAATTGAATTATAGCAGTGGTATTCATATGATCATTGAATCAATATAGAAATAGTAAAACTCATACACAGTAATAGTAAAATCTATAAATGGTAAAATAGTACAATAAAAAAGCCAATAAATTAGAACGAGCATCAAATCTATAAAACAATATTCATATTACTATTATTAATCAATAGAGAAATCCTAGAAAGTATCGAATCAAAACATCAATAAAGACTATCAAAATCATGTTAATGCAGAACAATCATATAAAAATGATTCTATTCATGCATGCTTAGAAATATCATATCAATGTCCAGTGCATATGCTCAATATATGTCACGTGATCAACATATTAATAACAATAGAATAATAGTAATATCAACATTATGGGTGAAAGTAACAATAAAGCCGTACAATAACTGTGTTTCAGTAGCATGCATTCTAATAATCATATTAAACAAGTAAAAGTCTTGACTATAGCGGTGGTTTTTCAGTATTAGTGTCAATATCAGTAACCATTGGCTCAGTACATAGAGTCACCACTCTTTGCCCGTATGCACAATAATCATCTACTTATAACTCTCAATCAGTGTATCACGTGAATCGGGCGAGGGTAACACCAAACCATAATATTTAAAGGAAGGCCTGTCGGCCCATCATCATATACAGGTCAATCAATCTCCAACCAACGAGTAAACCAATATTTATTTATCTTTTACACACACGTTATTATTACAATATTATAACAATAATAACGACCAACTATTAATCAATCCTATATCTACAATACATTGCAGTAAATAATATATAATTGAGCTTAATTCAAAAAGTGTCAAAATTTTTCAACGGTAGACAACATAAATTATACTAAGCAAAGATTAGCATTTTTAGAATTTAACAAAATTATCAAATATTGCATAAAATAATATTTTGCAACTTTATTTGAACTAAATCACTATTTTTAGACGTCAAAATAAATTTTTGATTAGGCAAAAATCGTTGTATTTTTAAAATCATATGGTGAAAAATCTTAAATAAATACTAAAAACGTTCATAATCTCAATCTCTATAACATAAAAAAGTTATGCGATGAAAGTTTTACCAATACAAAATTATTTTTATTTTTCAGTAACGGAAACACAAATTTGATCGGAAAAATATCAAAAAACACAATATTCTAGAAATCAGAAATAGAGTAAATGTTTCTTACAACGAAACGTGTAAATTTTTCAACAGGTTCGACTGCCAAAAATCACTCCGTGATCTCCAAATCTGAGCTCCGCTTTTCTCTCCCCTCTATTTTTCTCACTTTTTATTGTAATATTAATATAACTATTTAATTTAATCAATTTTTCAATATAAAATTCATAGAAAATATTTTAGGGCTTCAAAAATTATAGAAAACATATTAATAAAATAAATCATTTTATTTAAAAAATATTGGTGAAATTGATTTGCAAACAGACACCTATCGGTTTTCAAATCCTCACTTGTATCGACAGGTGTTAATTTCTTAAAGATTTTTCTTAGTGCCCAAAAATTATGAAAAAATTCGTGTAATTAAAGCATTACAATATCAATGCTATGATGAAGACGGTTTGTGATTTAGACTTATAATGATTTCAGAAAAAAATTATTTACCTGAGTTAAAATACGAGCTATTACATTATGTATCTGTGACAACACCATGTGGTAGGACTATAGGGCATGTCTTATAATCTTCTCCATCTTTTTTAGAGTGTTATTTCGGGGATATTGTTCGGACTATCTTCAAATGGTGATATTTTTGTAGATGTATCACCATACAAAGATGGTGATTTATTGAGGGATTTTGCTATAATCATAGAAGTCCTTGTTCCATTTAAAGGGTGTAAGATATGTTGAGAGCTCTATTTCAATAAATTGACATACTTGGGTTTTGATATACCCTTAGTTTAAGAACAACATTGGCCAAATATTTCCATTAAGCATTAGGAACACCCCCAAGCTTTTATAAAAGTTTCTTTGTTTTCTTGAGATGATGACCTTCCATTCCTTATCTTAGGCTAGGTTTTTCTACATCGTTTGTTTTGATACTATCTTTTAGAGTGTAATTGTCACGACCCAACCCAACATATCCCATATAAGTTATATTAGAACAAGTATGAGATAGAGATTTTGCCCAAAATCTATTTGGAATGAATTTCTTTTTATTAATCAAATTCACAACACTGAGCCAATAAGCTATCAATATATGAAGATAAAAGAAAAGCCATCATCCAACACATGCATACATATATCAGAACTATTTACATCCAAAATATCCATATACAATTACCTTGAATTTTCAATAATTCTAATAAAATAGATTTTGCTTCATGATTATAAAATAATCAATCTATAGTTAAAAGAGTGCCTCTAATAGCATACCATGATCTCGTTCCATTGAAGTCTTATCCTTCCCTGAAACATGTAAATAATAAAAAATGAGCAAACACCTCAGCAGGTTACAGAAAACCTACAACTATATTCAATTAAAAGGAAATAAATCAATATGCATGTATCAACCAATTAATCATAAGAACTAAACATATGCTTATAATTATGATTATGGATATCATTGTATATGTCACTATGTCATATCAGAAGATTATAACAATTGCATTTATTACATAAAGCAACATCTCATATTCATATATATCAAGAAGACAAGAATCCTGCTAATCATATCAAATCATGTGGTATTAGCTTGACAAACTTAGTCACTTGGTTCGATAGCTTCTTTGAAGTCATAATCGAGCCATACAAAGGTAAAGGGCCATGCAATTATCAATATGTGTGAAACCCCTTAAGTAAAAAGAAAACTATCTCGTAAACATCGAGGCGTGTATAATGGCTGGACTTTTTGTATGAATCCACAGTTAAGCGTGCTCATCCTATAGCAATTCTGAGATGGGTGACCTACTGGGAAGTTACAGAAACATGACAAACCGTGAGACTCTTATGACAAAGCGGACAATATCTCGATAGTTAAGAGTTTACTTTCTTTTTACTTAAGGAGTTTCACAATCTTCCCAACTTAAGTAACTAACGTCTTCGTCAGCATCTGTATCCTAAAATCATCCATAAGGCAGATAGGACTATAGAGGTAGCCCCTACAAGTTCAAGAGGTGGCTCCAATCATGTAGCACTTTGTCCCATACAGGGTTCAAGAGGTGGCTCCCATGGCATAGTACTTTGTCTTGTATGACACTTAGCTCCCATCTTTCGGCTGGTGTATTGCTCTTATACCATTTGTAATAGCATAAATTCTTAACTATCGAGATATTGTTCGCTTTTGTCCTAAGAGCCTCACGGTTTTGCTCTTATTCCTACCTTTTGTATTTTTATATTGCATGGTTGGCGATAATAGGTTTCTCTGTTGCACTAGATAATCACTTACAAACATCCCCCATTGTTGCTACAAGTAACCCAACAAATAATTTGACCGAGTTGTTGAAGAGCTCAACATATCTTTTGAAAGCAACCCGATGAGGCTATTATTAAATTGTCATAATAATTGAGCACCTACTCCCCCATTTTTGCCACAACTTACCTTATGCTGGGTCAAGTGTTATCTTGGATCGTCATTCCCACTGAATGTATCGAATTTTTGCATTGAACCCACCAACTTCGTTGCTTGCTTTGAGGTTATGGCTGTTTTGATTTTCTCACTAATGAGTGTTCGGCTTTAGTTATTGGTTCTGAGGCAGATTGATTCTTTTGGGAGTAGGATGAGATGCCTCCATATTGATTTTGATTTTGTCCCCAAGGATTGCTTGAATTCTATAAGTCTGGGGAACATGGTTGACTTGCATGCTGCTAACCATTCTAGGAGGTTTGTTGGTGGATGAGAGATTTGCTAGATTTTCTTGTTTAATATTCTACCATGCTTGCATCATTATGATCATCTATTCCATCACTTCATTAATCTTAATGCTGAGAAGGGAAATTTCTTTATTTTTTGCATTCATTTGTCCTTGTGTGTTCAAGCTAAGGAAATAATGATAACAACATTCTCTTTCTTTCTTTTGTTTTCTTCATCACCAAACGAAGAGGTATCAAGTTGTTCACCTTGAGCTCATAGCTATTGAGGAGCTTGATCTCCTAAGAGATAGGCAGATGTTGCTGCGCATGTTTTGGAATGTATAGTGCACGTACTAGAATGGTCGCCATCATGCTTAACTATATATATATATACCTTAAATATCCATGGCCAACTCTTCTTTTTTTGGTATCTTGAACCTCAATGACACCTCCAAGACACTTTCAGATATTGATGGAGGTGTTAATTTTAGTGGCTACATAAGCTTGACTGGACCTGTTTCATCCTTCATGCCAATATGCAGCTCATAATGGGATGATTCCCTAGAAGGGGTCGCTCCCATATTTTTAGGAGAAGAGGACTCTCGAGACCGTCTGTCATCATGATAGTCCACAAATGGATTGTTGCTTTTTGGGACCCATACTTGGTGGGTCTTTTCAGTGCCGGATGTTCCATAGCCACCTAGATGGCATACCTTGATGCTCTGCAGTCTGCAATAAGTTATTTTTTTTATGATTCTTTGCCTTGCCTTTTGCTAGGAACTTTTGAGAATGGATATCCTTAGGCATGCGGCCTAAGTGCCACACCCATTTTTCCACCATACAGGGCTGAGTCAGTCACCCCTATGTTTGGCTTTATAAAGATCTATATCAGCTGGGTTTTGGTACTTCTTCATGAGTTCTTTTTCCTTGACCATCTTATGGATATTGCTTGCCTTTGGAGGATAAAGGCTTGGCTTCTTCTTTTGAGGTTTCAAAGCTTGGCGGTTATAAGGGAGTTGTGGGAAGGGGGTGGGAGGCATGAACCCTTTGAGCATTATTGAAAGCACTTCAGAAAACTAAAAAAAACAAGATATAGAAACAGTGAAGAGAAGCTCTCTCTTACACAATTTCTTCATCTCTCACCGTAACACTTGAAGTGATCCTTGGATCTTTCTCTAAAGGACACCTAGATTGCGAACTCTAAACTTAATTTTTTGTTGTGATCAAAGTTGCTTGGAAAGTGGTCTTTTAGCATTTAAAGGTGAAAATAATCTACAAAAGTAATCTGTCCTTGAGCTGATTCCATATTTGTTTGAGAATGTTTTGTTTCTATCTATGATTCTTAATATTGGCAGTCTTCTGGAATAATGTCTTTTAAAACGGTCATTTATTTGCTCTCCCTCTTTTTTTTTTTGCATTTTGTTTTTGAACATGGACTTTTTCTTTTATGTGCTGACAGCTTTTGTGTGTATATGCGCATAAAAACATATAAGCTGGTATTTTTCTGAAGTTAATATGGATTAACTTTGAACTTGCACTGAACCAAGAACTAAAAAGAAATAGGAGAAAGTTTGCGCCTTTTTTTAAGTTATTTTTCAATTAAATGTTTTGGTGCTGGAGCTGAATTCAAAGCGCTGAGATAAGTTTCAGATAGGTAATCTATGAACATATTCGGTATTCATGAGCTTTTAGATGATGGATATTGATTTTCCGTTGAAAATAGCTTCAACTTGTTCTGATACTGTCTGAAGCTTAGGTCAAAACATTGATCTGTGTAATTATATAAGAATCATGGAAGGATTTTGTAGATGATGGATTTTAATGATTTTCCATTGCATATATGCAGTCAAACTGGATAATTCTGATTGGCTTTTCAGGTCAGGAAAGACAACAATTTCGGCATCAGGCCTTCTACTTCGTTCCAGTTCACTTAGTCACATCCCAAGGGTCATAGAACACATTTTGAATATTCATCAATTTTCAGGTGCTGTAGTTGTCACAGTTGCATCAGTTGTTCAGCCGTTCCTCATTGCTGAACATAGATACAAACTTACCCAGGTTAACAAGAAATTTGGCTTGTTCTGTGATTTGCATACTGTCATTGTATTAATTATTGAAGGTTCTATATTCAAATTTTCTTTGCAAGCCTCATGCTGGATATGTGCTGGAGTTTTCCCCTCGGTTGATTCATGATGCATGTATAGATGTTCTTGTGGAGGTTTGTATTTCCTCAGAAAATATTTAAAGAAGAGACAAGTGAAATTTATATTATGAAGGTATGCCTTTGGATTTCTTCTGATACATTCCATTCGTTTTTAGGGAAATAAGACAGATAATGGCCATCAAGAACCTGATGCAACTCCTGAATGGGTTCCAGCTAAACTGTTGGCGCTGGTATTTTCCATCAAAATTGTAGTGTACATATACATTATTAGATTTCTTGAGCTACATTTTACATTTTAAGGTTAATTTGGCTGTTTTTGAATTTCTTGGCTTGTTCAATCAATCTAGGCTCTAATCCTCGTCCGGTTTAGATGACCTGTTATACTACTTATTGATTTTGATCCAAACTCATTCCAAGCCAAAGTCTAATCAAATTCTGTGGTTTCTTATGCTCGAATAAAATTCTCAGCCCCAAGTGCAGCTGCACACACAATCTGGAACCAACTCTAAATCTTATCATTGAATCATGCTCTTTGTTATTATAATTTTTGAGGTCATATTCAACTCCTCTTATGCATGTACAATCATTGATTCCGATCCGCCAGAAGTGTTAGCTCCTTATCTTCATCTTATTGTTGACGATGGCAATGACCGTAATTCTAAGCAGCTCTATGAATTTGATGGTAGTATTTCGAGTATTGAAGCTCGGGTAGATATGAGGTTACAAATTCTGTTTATCAAGTGGGGTAAAAATTAAAAATATATATCCATCTTCACTCCCCAAGAATTCTCCAGGTTACAAGCAAGATGCTATAAATAACTCTTTGAGGATCTCCTCCTGTAGCAAGAGAATACTTTCTCCTATTTTATCATATCATCTTTAATTTTGATTTTTTATTTATTTTTACATTCATCTAACACCGATGAGGACATCCGACCTTGGAGAGTCTACTAGAGGCGTGACCGTCGATCTACGACCACGATTGCACCGCTTTACTTTTGATATTCATTGCATTAGATTTATTATGGATGTATTAGTTTATTATGTTTATGAGATTTATTGTACTTTTCCTTTTATGCCCTCACTTAAGGGCCTAGTCATGTGTATGCCCTAGGGGCAAGTTTATCTTTTGTATTTTCTTCATTGTACTGGCTATTTAAAGCCCCCTCCTTTGAGGACTAAGGAGTGATATTTTAAAAATTTTTAGCAACTTGTCTCTTGTGAGACTCTTGTGAGATTTGAGAGAGTGTTTTGGTGAGAACCCTAGGTGAGGGAATCAAATCACCCACTTGCCGCAGGAAGCGTCCGGGCTCGTGGTTAACCTTCTTGCTTTCTTCCTCCTCCCCTCTTCAACCCCAAACCACTAGCCTCCTCCACATCCCCACTTCAAACCGATGACCTCTACCATCCCACCCACAAACCCTTCGACTCATGCCTTAACTGCCGCATCCTTCCCCTCTTCATCCAAGCCGCCGACTTTCCCCACCACCCTCCTCCCGCACCACCGACCACGCCTTTCCAAGCCTAGCTGCCGGCCTTACCCATCTCCACCTCCCCTTGGTTCCAATTCAATAGCCTTTTATTACTTTCTTAATATAGCCCTCATCTAATTTGGAAAATTTCTTAATTCAAATTCATTTGAATTTGAATTTAAAAATCTTTCATAATTAGTCTACACCTATTTTGGAAGCTTTCCCTAATTGCTTCAAATATGAAATTAATTTGGATTTAATTCCAAATTCCACATTCATTGAATGTAGACATATTCATTGAATGTGGACGCCCCCTTCTCCCTCCTCTCTCTCTAGGCAGGCCCCCCTCCTCCCTCTCCCACATTAATTTCCTTCCCTCTTGGAGCCTTAATCAACCCTTAATTAAAGAAGTATCTTTCCTTTCCCTCTCCCTGTTTGAAATTCAAAATTCAAAACCCCTAATCCCTCCCAATCTAATTTGAAATTAAACTTCAGATTTTTGGAAATAATTCCTTCCCTTTCTCTTTTGCCGCCGGCCTCCCCTCTCTCTCTTTCTCCTTCCTCGTTGCTCTTTCACATTAGTTTCCCTCCCAACTATCCTCCCTTTGTCAACTACTTGGTTCTTCTCAATCTAGAACCATCTAGTTGAAGATCGGAAGCCTACGCCATTGCTGCCCAGATTTCTGGTCATCTTTAAGGGTGTTGTCCCGAATTTCCAGCCAACGTAAACCTGCTGACCCGCTGTGCTGATCGTCGTAGTTACTGTCCAGAAGTTCCTAGCTGCTGTCCAGTAATTTTAGCAAACTCCTATTGCTGTCCCGCTGTCCGGAAAGTCCCTGACTGTTGTCCAGAAGCTCTAGTATCTTGCTATTAATCATTCCCACAAACTGACGAAGGTAAACCTTCTTTCAAGTCTTATATTTTCTAAGTTTATCCTTAATTGTGGCATCATAATGATCTTGGAAACTCTCTCCGTAAGCCAACTTTACTAAGAGTTGAGTGAGGGATCTATTTTTATAGTGACTAGTCTCATTGTTAACTTAGGGATTTATCGTTGAAAATCTTCAATGTATGCTATGCTTGAGTAATTGATTATTTTGTGACCTTAACTTCTAGTTGTGTGACTTGGCCTAAACTAGTTTCACCCCTTTCTTGTTTTATTTTGTTGTTTAAATCACTACAATTCTTTTAGTTAATATTGCTATCTAAATTAAAGCGTGCAAAATTCTTAATTAACATCGCCTAGACATTTAAGTCCTGCATCAAACACATTCATAATAATTGCTTCATGTTGTATGCATCTCATTCATAATAATTGCTTCATGTTGTATGCATCTCATTGAATGGTTATAAAAAAATTGCTTCAAATGAAATGTTGGCATCATGTTGTAACTAACATTGCCAATGCTAATGTTTTCGCTTAGTTCCTTCTCTATCTCCTCTCCCGTCTCTCGGGAGATCTAAGATCATTTCATGACATAGAGTTAGGTAAGATCATTTAATTGATCCACAAAATGTTTAAAGTATAGCAACACTACTTCTACTGCATATTTTTGCAGACAAGATGTCACTTTCCATCTCGACCACACTCCTAGCAGTCGATGAGGGATGTAACAGATGAATTCATACCCTTTATTTATATTTCATATTGCATCAACTATTCATAACATTCATGAAAAACATAAACCATTATCAATAAATTGGAATCTAAAATTGTATTGCTAGTTTATATCTATAGAACAACTAATAACCCCAAACATTCATAAACAAAAATATCTTACATACCTCCCATCAACTTTTATTTTGATGTTGTATGTAACAAAACATAAGACATAAATTAAACCTGTTTCTACTTAGCCTCAATCTTTTACTTCATCTTTACTGTAAAAATAGCCAGAATGAAAGTTTGGCGAGCTATTAGTCTCAGAAAGACATGCAGCTTTAATATAAGATTTAAGTCTATAAAAGTTGTAACTAACATATAGGTGTAATGGTTGTATGTAATTAAGTCATACCTGTTTTATAATACATCATTAATACATATAAATTGCATAAATGAGCTGTATCTAAAGACTATGTAACATTAATATGCTCACCTGAATAAAAAAGACAAAATATCAATCATGATACTATAGAGCAAAGCAACGTCATGTCAGTTGTTTTAAATTTTTAATCCTAATTTAATCACATGTGTTTTATTTAATTGCACATATTTTCTTTCAAATTTAATGTCACTCTAGCCTAAGAGTGTGTCATGTCAAGATGTCTAGCTCTAGGTTATCCCTAGCTTGTAGGCTTCATCATACCGAGTTCGCATTGCCTCTATAGCCCGTAGGCTTCTTCATACCGAGTTCGCATTGCCTCCTAACGTCGCATCGCCTCCATAGCCTATAGGCTTCATCATACCATGGTCGTATTGCCTATCAGGGTTGCACTGTCTCACTTGCCTATCGCGTAACATGACATTTTCTTAGGTTTATCAGATTCTAATTATTGCATTTACTTTATCAATTACACATTATATGTCAATATAAAATAAATGTGTATACAATGCATGTATAAAAGAAAGTCTGCATGGATCTCATGTCTTTCATTTAACAATGTAACATCTAGGATTTTTCCAACACATTCAGCAATATGTGATTCCATTCAAATGTTGAATTGTTAATGAATAACACACTAAATTGGTTCCATTGTAAGGGTACATGAAAGAGGCTAAAGTACTTGTTTTATGAATTAGAAATTATATATCTTACCTTTGCAACGAGCTTCTTCCTTAATGAGGACATCTTGTAATCTTTTACATTTGTATTCACCTACATCAACCCAAATTCCTTAATTTGACAATTTATATGAATTTCTACCTGCATCAAATAAAGATATTAAGTTATTCCCCAAAGTAACATTCCTCACAATGTCCTTTCTTCATACACCGTTTGAAATTCTCAAATTTCTCCTTATGGTATACTGCGGGATTCCTAATTAACAATTGAATATTATTTAAATTATGAACTTTGCAAAGAAAAGTCAAATATTATTAAAAAAAAAAATTCTTAACCTCCCCCCCAAACCTTCCTGAGAGCTACTGTTGACCTTGATTTTGCCCAGACTCTTGGTCAAAGGGTTTGACTTTGTCAAATTGACCAAGTCAGAGCCCAAGACCACTCCCAATCAATTCAATGAGTCGAGCTGAGTCTGTTGAGCCCAGACCTAGGCCCTGTGTCAACTTGGTTGACCAGGTCAAACCGGGTTGACTCAATTGGCCTTAATGGGCCTAATTTAATTTCTAATCAAATCCAAGCCCATTCATGGCCCAATCCCTTCTCTGACCTAATTGACTGGTTTGACCAAGTCAAACTTTGACTTGGTCAAATTAGCCTTTGATGGGTTAAATTAACCTATTAAGGCTCATTAAGAGCCTATTAATTGCATTTAAAGCTCCGTGAGCATTTTGAAATTCAAACCACGACCTAAATAGCCTGGTTTCCCTCCTAATTAGCTAGAGATCGAATCTTGGCCGTCCCTTTTTGGATCCATGCATTTAAATAGCAAAAAATAGTTTAATTGGAGGATCTTTTTCCAAATTCTTGAGCCCTAGCCCCCTTGAGCCCGAGAACTTTCGTTTGAGAGCTCTTGGGACTTCTCCACACCTTCCCCAACCAAAATCCAACGATCTCGAGCCGCCGCCGGCAATCCTCCGGCGAACCCGAGACTCAAGAAGTTTCAGGACGAATCTCGATTGATCCAAGCCGTTTCAGAGCTCGAGTTCAAGAGGAAACTTGTTCGTGGGGATCCTACGAGTCCAACGAGACCAAGAACTCCCGAATCCACCGTGTGGATTGAGGTAAAACCTAAACCCTAGGTTAGGGCACTTAGAGCTAAATAACTCATTGCATAATGCGCATATTGTCGCATTTTTTAGCCCCCATGAATGCTCTTCATGTGCATATTGTAAGTCTAAAATTTCGTTTGATTTGATTCACCCTACTGAGAGAACGAGTCAAAAACTTGTTCCAGGGCATGGGTTCGGTGTAACGGACGTCTAGGGTTCATCCCAACCGTTGATCGCGCGATCAACGGTTGGGATTCAGTCTTTCCGCGGCCTGGAACGACCGCGCCTTCTGACCCCGCGGTTCTACATCTCGTCCGGCCGCATCTAGAGCGTCGATTCGGAAAGGCACTGGATCGGACGACGCTCAACCACGCTGACGTGGTTAAGTGATTGCCGCGTGGATGGCAATGATCGCAGCTTGATTAGGCAATGATTGCTGGCGGCGCAATCATCAGCCGCGGATCGCGGGACCAGTCAAGTCGATTTAGAAGTTTCATTTGAACTGATGATTTAGAAGTATATATATTTTTATATATTTTTCAAAATACTGTATACTTGCCTCATTCTTCATGTCTTTTCTTAGAGTGGAGTTAAGGGTATTGATGAATCTTGCTTCTAGTAGGGTTGTAAAAAATTTGACCCAACTCGTCAACCCGACCTGAACAATTCGGGTTGACCCACAAATTCATTTTTTACTTGAAAATGACCTATTTAACATATTTTTTTTCTTAATTTTCTTACATGTGAGTTTATTCTTATTATTTTTTATTAAATATCATAAATTCTATAGTTAATAAGTTATACTTTTTTTTTAATGAAAACGGATTAACAGGTTTGGTTTGGGTCATTCAGGTTGCTAGCGGGTCGGTGTTGGGTTGTTTTTTTTGACCCATTTAATAAATAGGCAGGGTCCTGATTGACTCGATTCTAATTTGGTCAATTTTGGGTTGGAACCCAACCTGACCCTTCGACCCGTTTTGACACCCCTGTCTTCTAGCTTGATCTTGTTATAACAATTTCTTAAATTGCTCCTCTTTGGTTTTTTTAAATCTTTTTTTTTTTCATGATTGTTTAGCATATATAGTTTTATTCTTCGTCAATTAGAAATATCTTCATTATTTATTTATCCTTTATAGGTTGATGTCCCGGCTGCTTCTGATGCCCTCCTGTCACTTGTTGGAGGCCAATCTATATTCGAAGCTTTGTGGTCATTGGCTCCCTTCAGTAGTCCGCATACTTCAGAGTTAGATGGTTCTGAAAGAAAGGTTAATTATCATCATTTTTTTTCCTTTGTTGGTGATTTCTTTTCGGTTTAGATCATATTTTCTAATAGCATTTGTTTTATTTTAAAAGTGAAATGTAGCATAGTTAAGCTTAGGCCTGTTTTATTTTTACTTACTGAGCATTACTATATGATGATATGGGGCAATTTATTGAGACTTTTCAGTTAATATGTTTCCGACATTTTACACCTTGAGAAGACTGCTTTTATCTTAAGCAATTATTGTTCCTGCTGTTTTTGGAAATCTCATCTCCTTTGCTAATTTTTTCTATTTCTGTTTCTATTTCGACAGTTTTTTAATTTGTTGAAATGTCATTTCCAAGCTGTTTAAACTTTTAATTGACCAATTAATTTGTTTGGATCAACCTGCCATGCATCTTCCTTGGCAAGCTATTCAAAGCTTTTTGTATTATGTATCTTAGCAGCAGTCTCCAATATTTATTCAGAATCAAATTGTCAAACATTCATGATTTTGGCTGTATTGCATGTTATTTGGATCAGCCTGATGTGTTTTGGAAGTAAAAACAGCAAGGTAATAAGTAGAAAGCTATAGGAATTTGAAGATAGAGATTGATTTTTTATTAATACTTCAACAATACGGAAAGATACAATTGATTTAATATTCAATAGGTAGATCGGCTCTCCCACAAACCTTAGACGCCACTAGGAAAATCACAAAGAAAAAGTTACAGTAAATTTACTATTTGATAGGTAGATTAACTCTCCCACAAATCTTAGACGCCGCTAGAAAAGCCACAAAGAAAAAGCTACAGTAAAAACAAATTGCATAATCCTGAATTAGCAATATAGTTAGGTCTAAATAGGTTCCCCTAATTCCCTCCTAAATCAATCTCATTCCCTAAATGGTTCCCTCTCCAATTTGAATTCAATTTGGATATCTTTCTTTAAATAATTCCCTCTCAATTTTAATTATAACTTTCCTAAATATATCTCCCTTTATTCCTCCTCCTCACATATTTAATTATGGGCCCCACAAGGGTGACTGAAACCTCCCCTAGTTTCGCCAAGAACTTAGGCTGGTCCTGTTCTTGCTGAACAGGGCTGCTCCCCTCTCCGCCCCCTCCTGCCATAACACTGCCATTTGATGGTTTAGAATTTATAAGCCTAATTAATGGCTAGTCTTTGCACTATCTTACTTCCTGTTATTCAAATTGTAAGCTTCTTTCTTTATGCTCGAGTTTTCTAGTTGTTATTGATGTCAATGCATTATAGTGAAATTAAACGTTCACATACTAAATTAACATTTTTGTAATTATTGTTTTTTGTATGATATCCTTATATAATTCTGACAGGAGCGAAGGGATGCCTAACTTCAGAATGTTAAATAACTTCATGATGATTGTATAAAAAGACGCTGACCTATTATACTTGTTCTACGATTCTGTGCAGTGTAGTAATAACGTTCGTTAAAAAGTTTTTCTGTCTTCTTTTTATATTTTTATTAGAAAATTTAAGTTCAGCTGCAATTGTCAAGCATAGTTATTCCGTCAACTCTTTACAGGCATCTTGGTGAGTTTGCCGACCAGAATTAACAAAACTATTTTGGGCTGGCCCTCAGTCTTTTCTGTTGATTTGTTTATCATGTCTCACATTTGATATGCTTGTTTAGTTTCTTCGTCTTAGTTCACTTTTTCAAGTTAATGTAAATATACAATTTTGTAGAATTATTTTTGCAAGAAATCACCATTTGATTTATTTTAGGGAAGAAATGATGAGTCTAGAGAAGGCGTTGCATTGGAAGAGTCGAATAGTCCTATTCTGCTGGCTAAGTCAATCACAAGGATTGCTTTCCTTGGCATTCCAATTTCAGATAATAAGGTAGTTCATTTCTGTATTAGTCTGTCACTTGCAAATATGCTGACCATTTAGTTTTTCTTGGATCAATAAATGGTTGAAAACGTGTAATTCCTTTCTCCTTATAAATCATTTATGCTCAAGTTTACAGCAAGGCAACTCCATTTGCATGTAACTTTCTCGCATGGTTTTCAGGATGGTCTGTGTATAAATATATCGCAGCATCAAAATAGAGGTGATCTGATTATAGTTATGGGTTCTCCTTTTGGAGTACTCTCACCAATGCATTTTTACAATAGGTAATGATCTTGCACATTACGTTTTCTAAACAATCTACCATTTTTATGTTGAAATTAGGCATGAAGATAAATGCCTTCATGATAAACAATCTTCCCCATACTCCCTTACATTATTTGTAATTGCTTGGCTGAATTCTGTGCATCATCTGAAATCAGATAGAGGGATGAAGATGTTGGATGGGTATTGAAAATTTGGAAGTTATTGTTCATTTGAAATACAAATTGTGCGTATTATTGTTGTTTTATTTCTTAGTTTTTTTTCCTTCTTCATTTTAATATAAAACATGCCTATGATGATTGGCCTACTAATAATGGGTTGTGTTCTCCATTGTTTTGATTACTTCGTTAGGTTGATTAACTGGTGTTAGCCTTTTCGATTTAGCTCTTGGATTTTGTAGTTTGGTTGTGTCCAATGATCCATTTCGTCATATATCTGGTTCTCTATTTTGATGTAAATTTAATGGCTGGTATACTGTTTAACTGCTATTTGGCTTCGGACTTGGTGCTATTCTTGATTACCATTAATTTGGAGCCCTATATTCAGTTGTGGGTTATTTCCTTCCATGGAGTTACTCTATTCTCTTATGTTCTTGGCAAATCATTGTAGTGGGGTTCGCTCTGTTTTGATGCATGGCTGATCTTGGACTAATGCACTATGGCTGTTTTGGGCTTTCTCAATTATGTGACTGTAGTTTCTTCTTGTTGCCTGCCTTTTTTTTTTTCTCCTTTCGTGAGACTTCCCATTTACTGGATTTCCATATGCAGACTCTGTAGGTCACTGCGACAATTCTAGTGTTTCATCTAAAGTTGTTTCTTGCCAACTGCAACTTTTCTTTTCGAGACTGTAGTATTCTTTATTTAGAGAAAAAAATCTAAATAGTCTTCCACCACTCCGACTATTAGCAACTGTCCAATTTAGTTCTACAATTTTGCGATGCCCCCAATGTAGTCCCTTGTATATTGAAATTTGATCTGATCTGATATTTGACCTGAAAATAGCTGTTAAAGTTTACACCAAAGTTAAATGTGAGGTTATTGTAGATAGTGTAAGTATATGCGCGATAACATTTCTTATGTTGCTCTATTTTGTCATTTAATAAATTATAATAAATATAAAGTTAGAATAAAAATTAGCCTACTTAATAATAAGGATGAATAATTAGTAAAAGAATATTATCTTTTAAGAAACATAGAAGTGGAACATCATAATAAACTCCAAAACCCACTGATGTGAAACAAAGAATTGTTTTCTTAGTGATTAATAAAGTTTGTTGGAGCAATGATAAAAATAATTTTAAAGCTTCTCAAAATTGAAAACTCAAGAAAGATCTTAGAAGTAAACAATGCTTAGGCAATCCATCACAACTAAATTTGTAAGTTCTTTAAAATAACAACTTAAACAAAAGTAATGAAATGATTAGTCAACTAGAATCCGACGGTTAACAAAGTGATCGTCTCACCTTGAGGCTCAAAGTCACTCTTCTACATCTAGGGTTGTCGGAGGAAGAAGAACCATACAAGAAACGAAATCACTCCAAGATAGACGGCGCCAACGATCCATAGTGATGGCGAGGGAGGCGGCGGAGGAGGAGGTGGGGAAGCGGGTGGATGTCCGTTGATGGTCCAATCGTAGTCTTGGAATTGCTCGTCTATGACGTCTACGAGAGTGGGAAGGATGCTGTTCAAATAGTCTTCAACAGTGTTGTCGAATCCAAACCCGACGTCGAAGAACGGTGAACGGGTGATGTGGATGTCTCCGTAGACGTCGAATACCAATCCGCCTTCAATCTCAGGATCCGCCATGCATAATCATCGGAGAATTTGGCGTCGAGGTGGTGTAAAGGCGGAGGAGAAGTCACCTTGGAGAGGTGCGGCCAAGAGAAAGGGTGGGGAAGGGGGAGGAGCTCGGGTGGGAGGAAGGAGGGAGGTCGGCTATGATGGAAGATCCCCAAGGTAATTCAGGAAATCTGAAATTCTTTCAGATTTTGGTGGATTGTGGAGGGATTTAATTTGAAAATCAAATTAATCCACAAGGGGAATAGGGGCGGTAATGGGAGAGGGATTTGGGGCTGATTTTTTGGGGAATTGGAATTAATTAGGGAGAGAGAAGGAGCCCATGAAGGGGCCGGCCAAATTAGAGAGGAGGGAGGGGAATAGGATTTAATTAAGTGGGGCCCACATATTTAATTGACAGTAATTTCAGATTTTAACAAAAGGAAAATTTTCTTACTTGAATGTAGACAATAGGCAACGTTTTGAATTTCAAATTGGATTTGAAATTCAATTATGACAATTGCCTAAATTCTAGGATTCATTTTAGGAAAGTAATCAAAGTCTCATGAGAATTTTTTGAATTTCAAATTCAAATTCCCAAGAGGGGCCGGCGGGTGGAGAGGTGGGGAAGGGAAATTGAGGGAAGGAGGCCGGCGGCAAGGGGATTTTGGGGGAGAGGAAAGCTAAGGCCAGAAAATTGTGGGAAAAACTTGGAGTATATCAAAGAAACTTCAAATCTCATGCGTCTCCTCCCATGAAACTCACAAAGAGATCCACAAGCACCACCTCGTTAAGAACTCATAAAGAGATCTTAAAATATCACGAACTCACAAAGAGATCAAGAGATAAAATTTCATTCATCAAAAACTACTTCAAATATAATGACTAAGCCTATATATTGGCCATCCGAAATAAAAACCATAAAGACGACATTGCTCTTGAGCTACAATATGCATTAACTTCCTCATAGGGGTACAAATGGAAATCATAAAATATAAATGACATGAATAAAATAAAACATCAAAAATAAAGACTATGAATCATGGCCGTCGCTCGACGACCCCTCCGATGGTAGGTGTGTCGAAATCTCATATGGATGTCCCCATCACCCACCCTTATTGCAAAAAGTATTATCGTTTATTACAAAGCTCCAAATTTCTTATTACAAAAATTGGGGCAATATGAAACTCTTGGATTAAATTGGATCAATGTTTAATAGTCGAGGGATTAAATTTGGGCAATATGAAACTCTTGGATTAAATTAGGCCTTTACTAATGGTTGGGGGCCTTTTCTTGCAATTTTCTCTTTTTATTTATTTCCATCTTCAATGTTTTCATGCACAGTATTATAATGGAATGTAACATTAATTTTCTTCCTTTTTATACTACTATGCAATAGCTGAGCACATGAAAATTGAACAATTCTAACGTCTGAAATTTATTGTTTTGGTGAAAATATACTTGGTAATTTGCTTTACTCTCAAGAATTCAAATTCACTGAATTGGTGTTTGAGATCTTGGAGGTGAGGAATTACTTATTTTGGGTATTTCTTGGGCTTCAAAAAGTAACCTTTAGGCACATTAAATAAAAATTGAAGTATTGAATAGTGATATAAAATTGTGTTTCCTTCTAGATCTTGTGTGAGCTTGGATGCGGATTCTTAGAGTGCTTTTTAAGTCTTGATGATAACTTCCGGGATTGATTCTCCTTGTATCGACACAAGACTTTGATCTTCAATTGATGATTTATATTCTTCATCTTGTTTCTAAAGTGATTAGTGCATATTCTTGATCTAGATTTTATAAGTTTGATACATGATAGCTTCCTTATGTTAGTGTAAATTTTATTTGATGTAGAATTTTATATTTGCTTTCATTTTTTTTTCTTTTGAAATTTCAGATTCTGAGGACTTTCACATTATTATTTGTAGCAATGAAGTGTGTGTGTGTTGAGTTTCCATCAAAAAAGATTGATATGTACTTAGATTAATAGTTGAGAATATGAATTGTAGTCTTTTATGTGTTTTTTCACATGACTCATCCTAGGTTTGTATTTGTAAACTCTAGTCCTAGACATGACTCATCCTAGGTTTGTATTTGTAAACCCTAGTCCCTTGGATTCTACTTCACATGATATCAAAGCCTTTGGTTGCGTCATAATGCCGGCTAAAAGTTAGACAAAATAGTTGGATCAATAAAAAAAAATTAATAAAAGTTGCAATTTAAACAATATTGAATAAGTTGTCTAAAATAATACATCATAACTATTGTGAGGATCATAATAACTTACCGACATTCTATGAGTAGTGTAACAAAGAGGAATTTTTTGGAATGGATTGACAAATTGAAATACTTATTTTGTATTACAATCTATATAGCACGAATACTCCTATTTACGAGCCATGCTGGATCAGACACGTGTCGGATACATATACGCCTTCGATACGGCACGGATACATGTCAGATACGGCTTTGTCGTTTCCAATTAAAATATTATTTAAATTTGACCGGACACACGTATCGTGTGTCCTATTAACAAAAATGAAAAAAGGGTACCGAAACTTGGTACCGCTCGGTACTCGGTACTGCTCGGTACTGCTCGGTACCGAAACTCGGTACCGCTCGGTATTGAAACTCGGTACCGCTCGGTACCTCTCTGCAATGCTCGGTACCATACTTAGTATCAATGCTCGGTATCGAGGGGTACCAAATGGTACCAAGCAGCACCGAGAAGCTAGAGAAAGCTTTAAAACAACTCTTACAATAAAAATTTGTTTCGGGGGCGCTGCCCCAAAAACCCCCGCAGGGGCGCTGCCCCTTGACCCCGCGACCTGACCAGGTCGAACCCTGCCAGGGGGCAGCGCCCCCTTGGACCCCCGGTATATATGCGACATATCTACACTTTTACTTAAAAATTTTTTTGTTTCAAATTCATGTGATTTAATTTGTGTCGATTCTTCGTAGGATAATGAGCTCTAGTGGCGTAGGAATTGGGTCTGATGATGGTCTATCAGAGACCAATTCAATTTTTTTTGGTATTTCAAATATTACTGATGTGAAACTACGAGGAGTTTGCTTAGAAATTTAAAAGAAAAGATTAAAGTGTTGCTTCTTATGAATTTAAAACTAGCACATAAAAATTGAGTTAGGAATTTGAAAATATCAACTTGCTTAGGCCAAAGATTCGCAATAAAGATTAACCAAGCCGATTCAATCCAAGTTCTAGGAGAATTTAATATGCAAAGTACAATAACAAAACCCAACGTTTCTTAATTTTTATGTATGATTTATATATTATAATGTTGTATCCGCGTCGTATCCGTATCATGTACATTTAAGAATTGACGTATCCCTTATCCGTATCGTGTCGTATCGTGTCGCCGTATCCGTATCGGTGCAACATAGATTACAATCTATCTAATTTTGAAAGAGTTGAATGTGCTAAATCTAAAGTAGTGGGTTGTGCTCAATCTTTTGTTAAAGTAATACAACTGAACTAAATGCTAAATGGGCTAAAATATAAACATAAAGAATAACATATGTCATTTAGTGAATGATTGAACTATTACAAGAATAATTCAACATTTAAAGAACGGTGAATATGGTGTCTATGATATATTTGTGAGTTTTGTATTTAAAAATCATTTACCTCGAGATTATTTTGTTACCATTATATGCTATTAAAAGTCTTAGGTAAAAGATTAAGAAAGAACTAAGCTACAATTCATCAAAAACACCACTAAAATTGCAACTCGATCTTTTACTGTTGGGATATATTATGAGTGTTTTTCCAGGAACACCACAACTATAATTCGAGTCCCTAAAGAAAAATCATTATCTTCTCCTTTTAAGTTTGGCATCACAATGATTAATAGTGTGGCTCAACATCGGGGTCAATTAAAGAATCACTAAATGAATGAGATTTAATTACCTTGCAAAGCCAAATAAGAAAATTTCATGCAAAACAAAACTCTTGTAGCAAGAAAATAAATCATGATAAAGTCCCTACATCATCATATTCTCCTCTCAAGCTTGTCAACATACAATAACAAAATAATCATGGATAATCAAATTTGATCCTATCAAAGAAACTATAATTCATGAATGCTCTTTTGAGGATGCATGAGATGTGTAAGAACATTTACAATTGCAATATGAGTCTATATCTAATTATGTTGAATATGAATATGTACTGATGTTAGAACATGGTTATGAACTTGAACTACACTTAAAAGTCAAAATTTGAACGTATAATTGGATATAAGCATAGGGTTATATCTGAAGCTAGAATTGGAGCCCAATATTAAGCTTGAAATCATACCCGAGTTAATTCCTTTGAGAGTAATTGAGTTTTTTATTTAAACTGAAAATGGATATCTAAATAAGTGCCAAAATTCAAGCTTGAGATTGATTTTATGTGAGTTTAATTCTTAATCTAAACCACAAATATATAGTAAATTTGAAAACAAAAAATTGAATTTAAAGTCTTTAAGTAGAATTTTAATCTAAATTTGTTTGTGAATTTGAACACCCGATGGAAACTGAATATATTCTTGACTATGAATCAAATTTTCAAATAGAAATTGAATGTAGCCTTATATATAAAAGAAGACAAAGCATAGCCATTATAGAGCAAGTTTATAACTTGAAACTTGAATGTAAAGGTGAACAAGTTGCTCTTACTAAAGGTGATAAATTAATTGAACATGTTGATTAAACTTCTTATGAAAATTCTGTCGAATTTATTTATGCAAATCAAGCTAAAACTAATTTTCTTTTTTATTTTATTCTTTGATTTCCTTACTCAGAGAAAGAATTGTGGAGAAAGTGAAATTGCATAACTATTTCAACGAGTTTGTTAATGAGAGATGCCTTAATAATAATTTGTGCTTTAAAATATCATCTATCTGGATGAATATAAAATTGTATAAATCATCACCTTAATATTTAAGCCATTTGGGTTAGTTTTATTTAAAGATATTGTTTGTCCTTATAGGCATATTTGTGTGTTTTACTTGTTTTCAATTAGAACATGTTATAAATCATTATTAATATCCAATATGACTGATGTTTGATGTTAGTTTTCATAAAATTTGTCTGATTTATTTGTATTGTCTTATTTGAGGGTAGAGGTTTACAATGAAATTATGTATTAATTATGGGAACTATAAGTTTACTGCTGTTGTAAATAGGAAACAGTTGGAATTCAAACTTAGTGATAAGCTAGTGGCACATTTCAATCATAAAGGATTCCTATGAGGGCCTTTAAGAAATTAACTTCAAGACTGATGGGATTTTATAAAATCATACAATTCATTCGGATAAATACTTATAAAATAAAAAATTTGGTAAGCTTTGATATTATTTCTATTTTTTATATATTTTTTAATATATTTAATCTGACTTATTTCATGAACCTGCTACCATTAGTGTGGATCCTCATATATTTCCATCTCTTTGAGAATTTACAATAATCTTACTAGATAATTTTTCATCTTTTTAAAGAGCCTATCTTATATTCAGCGATTGCCCATCATAAATGTTGGATAGCATTGGTTTCTTATTCGTTGGGTTGACAAACTTATTTGTGGTGATTCATAGGTTACCTTGCGGAAGGCACAACAAATTTGCATACATCTGCATAGTAAATATCAAATACTTAATTTATCATGACCGAATTTTTTAAAGTTGGGATGAATGATGCAAATTTAAGTTTCATTCATTAGTAACACAAATCATATGCATTAATGTTATTTTATTTCTTAGATTTATATTTCCTAGTTCAGTTCAATTTAGAATATACTTTAAAGATGTTCCTATTGGGAATAGATTGTGTTCTCCAATGTTTTATTATCTCTTTATGCTTAGTTTATTGCTGCTATCTTTTCAATTTATAGCTCTTGGGTTGTCTAGTTCAGTTGTTTCCAATTCTTGTTTTATCAAATATGCAGTTCTCTATTTTGATGTCAGTTCTGTGTGTGCTATATTGTTCAACTCCTACTTGGCTTATGATTTGGTGCTACAGGTGATTATTGTTAATATCAAACTCTTCTTTAGATGCTGATTATTTCATTCCATGGAGTTAACCTACTTTATGCTATCGGCTAATCTATGTAGTTGGGGATTTGGCCCTTTGCTTCCATATGTGGCTAATCTTACATCAATGCACTGCAGTAATTTCTGAACTTACTTGATCCCAATCCTGCCATTGTTGCTGCTTGTGGTATTGCCTTTTGTGGTCATTTTTCTTTTCCCGGACTATTCCATTGGAAATATTTTTTGTATGATGACACTATAGCTCTAAGTGAACATTCACGTATTTCATCTGCGAATAATCTTTATATTGGGGTGGATCTAGGAACATTTACCAATAAAGGCGAAAGAAAAATGAAATGTCAACTCAGAGATCCCTTTGTCAGGAAAATTTTGATTGCTTTGATGTTAGAATGGAAGCTTGTGATGAGTTGATTCGATACGTTGCTAAAATTATATAGAGGTGCTGAAGCTCCATGTATAATCCACCACATATTCGGATCAATTCTCCACCTATCACGCAATGACTTTTGGTCACCAAAGTCCTCTAAATAACCAAAAAATTTAGCAAGCTCAATATTGACACTTCTTCTCTCCTCCTCATTTGAAAAATAATGCTTTAAACATGTTTTCCTCATATTTGAAATTTCTAAATCAATGCACTGCAGTAATTTCTGAACTTATTTGATCCCAATCCTGCCATTGTTGCTGCTTGTGGTATTGCCTTTTGTGGTCATTTTTCTTTTCCCGGACTATTCCATTGGAAATATTTTTTGTATAATGACACTATAGCTCTAAGTGAACATTCACGTATTTCATCTGCGAATAATCTTTATATTGGGGTGGATCTAGGAACATTTACCAATAAAGGCGAAAGAAAAATGAAATGTAAACTCAGAGATCCCTTTGTCAGGAAAATTTTGATTGCTTTGATGTTAGAATGGAAGCTTGTGATGAGTTGATTCAATACGTTGCTAAAATTATATGAGAACATAAGAGGAGACATTTTGAAGGCTAGGACCCTTATTACCTCTAATAGCCATAGTGAATGAACGAGGAGCAAAAGTCAAGGGAGATTCCACAGTGTTTGAAATACTACAAGTGGGAGCAGCCATATGGGAAGCATCATATTGTGGAAATTCCCGAGAAGCAGTTAGCTGAAAGATGGGATTGATATCCAGGAATGATCTGTAGTTTGAGGAAGCGAGGTGGCACGACATTGGACTTGAAATGTTAAAAAAATGGAAATCAGCGAGCAAAATCGAAGCAGCAATGGAACCTCCATCTTCAAGTCATTTTGTGGTAAAAGGTAGGTTGAGCATGTAGACTTTACATGGTGGGCTGGACATGTAAATAAAGTAGGCCTGGTTTAGGCGTATTTCATGAGTTAATTGATTTATTTTATTTCAATGCAATATATTGCAAATTCATATTTTTCAGCAAATTTTGAATTATCATTTCATACTCGGTTTTAAACAAATCTAGTGTAGTCCAGATGATCCCATAAAGATATTTTATAATACTTATGTTTTTCAATCAGTATATCTGTTGGAAGCTTGGCGAACTGCTGCCCTTCTGGTTCGGATCATCGATCGTTATTAGTGGCTGACATTCGTTGTCTTCCTGGTAGGGATTGTCTTTTTTCTACTGTTCTATTTGTCATATACTTAGTACAGTGGAATAAAATTTCAATTAGATGATTGAACCTTCCAGGAATGGAAGGTGGTCCAGTTTTTGACAGGCATGCCTCCCTTGCTGGTATTCTGACAAAGCCTTTAAGACAAAAAGGGAGTAATGCGGAAATCCAGGTAAAAAGAAATTGTTGGATATCAGCATTGTCTATTTTTTGTCAAAAAATTTTCTTTAGGCAGCAGCATGTACTTTCGACAACAGTTTGCAGTTACTTGGAATGCAATAGCTAGCATAGATACTGAGAATCTGCTGGGAACTCAGAGTATTCATGTTGGAGTAATTGGAAGAACCAAATATAATAATGATGTGGCTTCATTAGATGAATCTTGTGATCATGGATCACCTAAATATTTGATTAGGAGGCCTGTAATTTTTTCTCCTTCAACATCTTCACTTGAAAAGGCCATCTCTTCTGTAGTCCTCATTGCAGTAGGTGAGGGATCGTGGGCTTCAGGTATTGTTCTCAACAAAAGTGGTCTCATTCTTACAAATGCTCACACCTTGGAACCCTGGAGATTTGGAAGAACTTCGCAGCTTGGTATGCTTGAGAAAGCTTCCTCTCATGCTGAACTTGAAGCTTCCCTTGGCCAGAGAGAAAATTCTGCTGAAAAAGAGACAGGAACTCATCCTCTAGTAAGGTTGGGAAGTTCTACTAGTGGACATGGAAAACCCTTTTCAGGTTTTGGTTACCAAAGTTCTAGAAGAATATCTATTCGTTTGGATTTTATGGAGCAAAAGAAGTGGTATAGTGCTCAAGCAGTCTATGTCTCTAAAGGACCTTTGGATATTGCCTTGCTGAAACTTGAATCTGTTCCACCTCAACTTTCGCCAATTCAACCGCAGTTGGCCTGTCCGGCTAAAGGATCGATTGTTTATGTCATTGGTCATAGTCTTCTGGGACCCCGGTCTAGTGAGTATTTGTATTTTATTCTGCTTATCAATAGAGAAAGCATCTTTATTCAGCTTGTCCATACTGACTACTTTTTTACTACACGTGTATAATTCTACACTTTCATAATTTCAGATGTTTCCTCCTCTGTTTCGTCCGGGGTTGTTTCAAATATTGTCATGATTCCAGGGCCAATTCACACGTTCGGATCTTGCAAAGCAGAAGCAAGGAAAATTAGTTTACCAGTAATGCTACAAACAACTGCTGCTGTTCATCCAGGAGCTAGTGGTGGTGCTGTTATTAGTTCGAATGGTCACATGATTGGACTTGTAACAAGGTAAATTGTGTTGATAACTGACTTTTCTCTAAGAGGAGAAATCACAAGATCTCATGTTTGTCGATTAAGCAAGGAAACCATTTCAGTATCATAAGTTATTTCCATCTGATATCCCGTAGTGCCTCCCAGTATGTCCTAGGGATAGAAATGGATAACAATGATGCATCAAAATGGCAACAGCCTGAGGAAAGATGGTTAGAGGATATGATATTGAATAAGATGATAGTGTCTTCTATGTTTCTCAAGGGCATAGACATGCGGAGATTAGAAGGTTCTTTGGGATGGGTTGCTCGGTCATTTTTTGTTAATGTGGTGGAAGTAGTTGTTGTAGATAGCAGATGAGGCCAGTTTGTGTATACTTGGAGAAGAGAAGGTGGTATAATGACTTTAGGGGAAAGAGGAACTAGTGACGAAGTGTAGTTAGAAAAGGGGTTTGTGAAGAAGATAGTGGATTCATGAAAGGTATAGAAACAATAGACTTTTTGAGAGTGAGAGTATCCCAAAAAAATTGCACTAAATTTCCCAAGGAGAGAATTTATTGTTAGTTTGAATGGAAAGGACTAAACAAAAATAGCCAAAAACTTGAAGAGAAAGAGGAAAGCAACAATGTCCATTATATAAGATGCAGCGAGGGGTAGCATCACCAAGATCAGTTGAAGGTTGTCAATTACTAAGATAGCTTGTAGTCAACTTAACAACTTTTCAAAAGCGTTGTGGAACTTTCATATGGAACATCAAAGTCCTGGCTACTTGAAGTGTTGATATTTGTGTTCAACAATCCCTTTTTGTTGAGGCATATAGGTACCTGAGGCTATTTGAATGATTTTATTATCATCACAGAAAGGTAGAAATTGAAATTGCATAAAGTTTAAGTCGTTATTAGTGCGAAGAGTCTTAATCATAGTAGAAATTAAGCTTTAATTTATTGATAAAAGTATGAAATACATTGCAAAACCTTGACATTTGAGTAATTAAACTCAAGTGACATGAAAATGATGATTAATAAAATAACAAACTATTTAAAGCTTTAGTGGGTAAAAATATGATATGGACTATAAATATTCTAATGAACCAAATTAAAAGTGATAATGTTAAGGCTAACAAAGAAAATAAAAAAGATACCCCTTAATGTTTACCAAGTTTGCATTTAATGCATTCAAGTTTCAAATATTGAGAGTGCAGGTAGGAATTCCTGAAGATGATGAGATAGAGTATGACCCAAATGGCAATATTATTTATATAAAGTGATGGTGGAAGAAAAAGTAAATAATAGATAGTTAAATGGTAGGCTTGAGCTCGATGAAGTAATTTTAAGATAAATTAATTAAATTTTTAATAAATTTGGGAGCTTATAATACAATCTTTTATAGACAGCTGAGTGAGAGTTACTAACAACAAGGATATGTGGGAGAGAAGATATGTTAGAGGGAAAAAAAGTTACGATTTCTAGAGTTTATAATCCATGACGTACCAGAAGAAGTAGTTGCAACATAATTAGGCATGGAAACAACATTAGAAGTGAAAATATATGTCTATGAGTGATTAACAATACTGCCATACATCCTCCTGAGATTTAAGGCTTCGTTTGGGATGGCTTTTTTACTGCTTCTTAAAATAACTTTTTATTACAAATATTTTAATTTTTGTACTAAAAAGTTACTTTAAGAAGCAGTAAGAAAGTCTTCCCAAACGAAGTCTAAGTCATTGATCATGAAGAAGTATTTGAGGTGGACTTGACGATAATCACTAGAGGAATTCCTGAAGATACCCCTTAATATTTATGATATGGACTATAAATATTCTAATGAACCAAATTAAAAGTGATAATGTTAAGGCTAACAAAGAAAATAAAAAAGATACCCCTTAATGTTTACCAAGTTTGCATTTAATGCATTCAAGTTTCAAATATTGAGAGTGCAGGTAGGAATTCCTGAAGATGATGAGATAGAGTATGACCCAAATGGCAATATTATTTATATAAAGTGATGGTGGAAGAAAAAGTAAATAATAGATAGTTAAATAGTAGGCTTGAGTTCGATGAAGTAATTTTAAGATAAATTAATTAAATTTTTAATAAATTTGGGAACTTATAATACAATCTTTTATAGACAGCTGAGTGAGAGTTACTAACAACAAGGATATGTGGGAGAGAAGATATGTTAGAGGGAAAAAAAGTTACGATTTCTAGAGTTTATAATCCATGACGTACCAGAAGAAGCAGTTGCAACATAATTAGGCATGGAAACAACATTAGAAGTGAAAATATATGTCTATGAGTGATTAACAATACTGCCATACATCCTCCTGAGATTTAAGGCTTCGTTTGGGATGGCTTTTTTACTGCTTCTTAAAATAACTTTTTATTACAAATATTTTAATTTTTGTACTAAAAAGTTACTTTAAGAAGCAGTAAGAAAGTCATCCCAAACGAAGTCTAATTCATTGATCATGAAGAAGTATTTGAGGTGGACTTGACGATAATCACTAGAGAGGAGTTGGAGGCATGTTGAACGGTGCAGGGATAATCAAATTAAGTAGAAAATGCTTTTCCCCCTATGACCATGATTATTGTCTATCCTACTATCATCACTACGAGAACAACAACCATGACGCTATGCAGCAAGGAGAAATTGGTCAGACACTGGATGAGAAAAAGGCAAGAGCTTAGTGACCCAAAGAACTCAGAGAACTGTATCAACCATGATGCTATGTAGCAAGGGCGGATTGGTCAAATATTGGATGAGAGAAAGGCTAGAGCTTAGTGACAAATAACCCAGGAGAGAGCTATAGAAATGTTGAGACTGCTAGAGTTGGCTATCATCCATGATTATACATGTTGGAGGAAAGGATTCTATGTGATTACCAAACATGCGTTCACCTTCTGCGACAGCCTTTCTCACTTTCACTTGTCCTTTTTGTTTTTTGTTTTTATCTTTTATAGAAGATGAGGATTCATAAAATGGGACCTAAATAGGTAGGATAAGACTGATGTTGCTGATCTTTTTGTTTACATAGTAGCATTATTGCTTTCTTGTTATAATTTCTCCAACTAAGCTTTATTTAAAATTTCAGTATGGTTTTTTTTTTTTTTTCTCTTGCAGTAATGCAAGGCATGGCGGAGGTACCATTATACCACATTTGAATTTCAGCATACCTTGTGCGGCCTTGGAGCCTGTATTCAAGTTTTCAGGTACACAAATTTGTTACCATATTATATATATGCATACATCCATTGTAGTAAAATTTGGGAAATTTTAGGCTTGGGATGACTTTTTTTATTGGTTTTTAAAGCAAAATTTTATTTTAAAAATTGAATTTTCTGTATTAAAACTCTCTTTTAAAAAAACAAAAAAAGTCAGTTCCAAACAAAGCTTTAGTTACAAAGTATTCTGCTATAAATTTGATTAGAATAGATCCATCAAAATTATTTTGAGATGTGTAAAATATAAATTTTGATTGATTAGTCATCAACTATATTCATCTCAAAAGAAATATGATGGCCATAAGTCTCCTCCTATAAAAATCAATTTTAAGCTTCATTTGGTATGGCTTTCTTACAGCGGCTTTTTAGTATAAAATTTTTAATTTTTGTACTAAAAAGTCACTTTAATAAGCAATAAAAAAATCGTTCCAAACGAAGCCTTAATCTGATATGATTTATCTGTGCAGATACCCAGGATGCATCCATGCTCGAGATTCTTGATAAACCCAATGAACTGCTTTCTTCTGTATGGGCTTTGGTACCCACAAATTCAAAGAAACAACAGTATGATTTAGAGAGTAAGAACTATAGAGAAGGAAAAGGATCTCGGTTCTCCCAATTTCTTGCTGAGCAGAATGCAGAGATTGCTTCTTTGAAGGAGCTGAATAATTTCAAGAAACTGAATATTCCCAGCAAGATATAACAAAGCAGTTCACATGGAAATTTAGATTGAGGCTTCGTTTAGGACAACTTTCTTACTGCTTCTTAAAGCAATTTTTTAATAAAAAATTTAATTTTTTTGTACTAAAAAAATGCTTTAAGAAGCATTAAGAAAGCCGTTCCAAACAAAGCCTTAAACTTCGTTTGAGACAGCTTTTTTACTAATTAAAGTAGCTTTTAAAAAGACGCCCAGCCTTAGTGTGTTTTGTAGGTCCCATCTGATTAAAAATGAGTTAACAATCAGATAATAAAAAGTTTTGTATGATTTTGCATTATAATTAAATAATCTGCAACTAGTACTGATTCATTGTGATATTGTTGCGGATACAAAAATGCCTTTTTTATAGGCTGGCGAGTAAATACAGAAATTGTGCTGGAATTTAGAACAGAATTTCTGTAGTTTGATGTATCGTGTTAATTGTTAAGTGTTGTGATTACCACTTGATATATCAAATGTTTTTATTTGAATCATTTGATCATTTTCTTCTTGTTGGTTGGATCAGAATGTCTATACATCTTGCCTGTTATTACCGAATAGCTCAACAGTTCCTGCAGTTGGGTCTATAATTCTCAGCATAATGTGAATCAACAAGCTCATCTCAAGTACGGCAAAACAATTAATGAAGGGTCAAAATCGGGTCAATCTCGGATTCCCGGGTTAGAAACAAGTTTTCGGGTCAAAACGGGTCATTTTTTTGTCAATTTCGAGTCAACGTATCAACCGAATCTAACCCGTTTCAGATTCGGGTCAATCCAAACCTGAAATTTTCGGGTTATGTCCAATATTGACACCCCTAATGAACACAATAAATTTTTACTACTTAAATCTCCATGCGCACAAAGGAAAGCCCTGGTGATCTCGCAAGGAAAACCAACATGGGTTTAGACGCTCAAATATGGTAGTGAGAATCTGAGCAATTTAATCCAAGTACTTGTTAACAATCCAACACGGTCTGATTTATTTGTAGCTGATCCACGTAGTGAGACAAATATTTGATGTTGATGTTATTGTCATCTAAAAGAGAACACTTAGATTCAATAATAAGTTTTCCGGGACTATTCGAAAAATACATGAAAAATAAAGACGAATAATTTAGCATAATAGAATAATAAAAAAATGTTTAGGATTAAGGTTGAAGTATTAAGATAAATTCGTACACACATCACATACATAAACTTCGAATCTAAGGCTTATTGATTGATAGTCAAAGCTCCCAACCAATAGATCAAGATGAGCTACATAAATTTAAGAAAATTTGATGTGCAAGTAATCTATAAGCCACACAGGTGCACTCACCTATAAGTGTCGCAGCTTTCGATATATTGTAGACATAAAAAAACTCTATTAAACTCATAAATTCAACCATTGAAACAACTCAACATGACTTGGATTGATTCAGACAGGATCCACCAGGCTTGACTTTCACATGTTTACCCTTCTAGTTCTCTTCTCTAACTTGTGTTGGCATAATAGCACCTGGAGATGATTATTTAACACCGCCATGAGAAAACTTAGTGAAAACTCTCAACACATTTTAATGTAATATAACTGGGTAGCTCAACATGATCAAGACAAACATTCAAGATTTGCATTGTTATGGTAACATCATTAGAACATGGAGTGCATGCATTCCAAAAACAGTCAGAGTTATGACAGTCATAACTGGATCTTTCCATTCATTTTAATGTTAACATATATGGCTTTTTTGGTCCCATCATTTAATAAGGACGCAATCTTCTTCCTTATTAAAGTTGAGATATTTCAGGCAAGTTTTGTGAATCTTCAATCTACATAAAAGGCTACAGTTTTGTATTATAATTAATGAGTGAATGAATTATTGAGGAATAAAAAATATATTGACTATTGTCAAGGAAAGTATCCCTCAAATTTAAGAGAATATTTCTATAAGATAGATGGTGAGACCTACAATGCTTTATGACGCATAATGTTGGCAATTAAAGGACAAGCATAAAATTAAGTTAAGTGTTGTAGAGATGAGGATGCTCAGGTGGTTGAGGGGCCTCACTCTTAGAGACGGAATGCGAGACAAGAATTATGAAAAGGTTGAAGTGGCTCTAGTGGCAGATAAGATTAGAGAGAGTTGCCTAGATGTTTTGGTCACATAAAATGTCGGACTTCCGATGACCCGGTTAGTAGAGTAGATGTATTAGATTTGACCTACATTCAGAAATATAGAGGTAGACCTAAAAAGACTTAGGTTAAAATATTAGAAATGACATTTTTATTAGATTTAAATAAAATTTTAAATCTTAGCATAACGCAATGAAATGAAGATAAATGATTCATGTAGCCGATCCCACATAGTGGGCTTTTGTGGGATAAAAGCTTGATGTTGTTGTTGTTGTATTGTCAAAAAACTTAGGTGTGTTTCTTCATAAGCAACTTTTGATCTCCACCTCTTTATTTTTATCAATTGCTAACTCAAAGATTGAAGGAAAAAAAAAAAAGTTCATTGCAAGAAGACTAAAAATTGAATATCACATCACGGTGCTAATTACATTGTGGCTTTTAGTCAGGTTATTGTTTGTTCACTTTAAAAGGAAAAAGAAAGAGGAAATAAAAACAAAAAGAAAGAGCACAAAAAAGAAAAGAGAACTAATGAAAACATCTCCTCAAGCCAATAATTGCATAATTAAGTATCAGAACTCGGTGCTAATTTACCCAATTATAACAATAAAACTCCATGGTTTTTCTTAAATTGCTATACACATTTCATGCATTCATGTGACGATATAAAGTGTAGTACATAACTCAAGAAGCAATAAAAGATCAGTTGGTAATAAAAAGTACCTACAAGATCCAGCAATGGTGTTCACTGGTCAAGCATTATACCATCTCCATCATCATCATCTCCACCAAAGCCATCCTCCTCCTTCCTTAACCGACCACAAACATTGCACTCAATCAAACCTGATGGTGTACCTTGCGGTGATGGAGGCAAGGGAGCCATTGTCCCTCCACAGTTGTCCTGGTCACAAACATACCTCACAAAGAAATAAGCATGGGGGAATTCATCATTTCCATCACCTGCGTTCTCAACAACCTCCTCATCCATCTCCTCCAACCTTTCATCCTCCTCCTCCTCTTCCATGTCCTCCTCATCCTCATCCTTCCAATTTTTTTCCACCTCACATCTGTCACAGATGCACTGAAATCCATAATCCTCCATTAATCTCTGCTGCCTTTCCTTGTACCCCCAATTTGTGGGAAAATAGCTCAAACACACTTCTCTGCCCTCCGGAATGTCGTGAATTGCCCTAACCATGATATCAGTGTTGCCGTCCCCATCCCGATCAAGGTAATCAAAACGGCAAGCATTGGGCAAACAATCATGGTTGAAAAAGGAGGCATTTGGGTAAATCCCATATGCCCTGACCCTTCTCTCACCGGCATCCTCTGCCCTAAACGGTTCCATGAGGCCAAAAGCGTTCCTTTTATCCTTGGCGATCAACGTGGCTGTGACTTGGAGAGAGAAGCCCGTGAGCGGACTAAGGAGGGAATGGAGGAAAATTGCCTCCTGCTGGGCTGGGGTGGCGTCACCGCCATCTAGGGAAAGAAGGTGGTGGAAGTTGGCAGGGGAGGTCGAGGAGAGGCTGGAGGCGGCCAAGAGGAATTGGACCTGGGCGCGGAGCTCAGGATCGGGGAGGGGCGGGAGTGCAGCTAATGCGCGGCAAATGGAAGGGGAGTGGCATGAAGAAAGGGCACCAGAGAGGCAGCGGGTGGAGCAGAACACAACAGAGGTACAGAAAGGGCAAGGGGTTGGAGTGGAACGCACAGAGCGGAAGCAATGAGAACAATAGGGCGAGCTGGTTTCCCCTGCGGAAACGGCGGGATAGAGAAGCAGAGGGGAGTCAGAGAGGAGAATCTCACCAGGTTTGATGTGGCGAGAGGCCAAGAAGGCGCGACCACGGCCAGGTATATCGGCAAGCCTCACGAGAGGTTCCGGCGGTGGGCTTTCCACCAACGTCATGGCTTCTGATGCCACACCAGCCAACGACGACGATGAAGTTGCAAGCGAAAGCGGTGCCGCCGACGGTCTCAATGCCTCAGCATTGCTAGGGTTTTAGGTCTCAAAAACCACCGCTCTGACCTTTCAGCACTGTTCAGAGAAACATGGGCCCGGAGACGTGGGGTGGTTTATTTTCCCCTCAAATAGGACTATAGGAGTAATTGCCTATTAAATTATTCAATTTCTTCTTTTTCTTTTTCATGTCTTCCATAATAAATAATAAGGGTTTGTAACACTTAAAATCTCTCTATTTACTTATCTAACACCTAAACTTTTATAATTACCCTTCTACCACCAAAAAACCTTATCCTTCCTCAAATATAACACTCTCTTTGTCTTCGGTCAGAACCAACCCCATAACGCAAACAGGTCTTTTCCTTCTGCATCTACACAACTTCTGCAGCATTATTTCATCACCTAGCTTCAGCACCGGCCATTATAGTCATCTTCATCATCCTCTTCCAACTCCTCTCATCCATTAGCATTAGCTTCCCCGTGAATTAAGTTGGTTGAAGGATGCTGGGCGGTGAGGACAAGTTCTTCGACGAGAACGGCGGGCGAATCCTCTAGCAACGTGTGAAAGAACTCAAAATATCTTCTCTGAGCTTCCACATCTTCACCGCCGGAAAACTGGATCGAGCCACCGACGACTATAGCGAAAGCCGCATCATCGGTAAGGTAAGAAGGATGCTGGGCGGCGAGGACAAGTTCTTCGAAGAGAACGGCTGTTGAATCCTCCGGCAACGTGTGAAAGAACTCAACATATCTTCTCCGAGCTTCCGCATCTTCACAGCCGGAGAACTGGATCGAGCCACCGACGACTATAGCGAAAGCCGCATCATCGGCAAGGCAAGAAGGATGCTGGGCGGTGAGGACAAGTTCTTCAAAGAGAACGGCAGGAGAATCCTCCGACAACGTGTGAAAGAACTCAACATATCTCCTCCGAGCTTCCGCATCTTCACCGCCGGAGAACTGGATCGAGCCATCGACGGCTACAGCGAATGCCGCATCATTAGCAAGGCAAGCAACGATTGCAGCACCGTCTACAATGCCACCTTCAAGATCGCATCGTTGCTGTCAAGAAATGCTACCACATTAGGAAGTCCAACGTCGAGTGGTTCATAAATGAGCTGATCATTCTTTCCAACCTCCCCGCCAATAAACACATCGCACGCATTCTCGATAGTTTTGGGGTGGTGATGGCTGATGGCTGAGCTGTTGACGGGGGAATTGGCGTTGTCGAAGAAGAAAGGGGAGTTGCGAAAAGCTGTTTGATGGTGAGAGGGGCGGAGTGGCCGACGATGAGGGAGGTAGCAGATGAGCTGCAGAGTTTGATGAGGAGGCAGGAGAAGGAGGCCGGCGGAGAAAGTAGCTGTGCCACCTAGCAAACAACCGAAAATATAATATTTATGCTCTGTCAGTGATTTCGGGGAGGCGGTGGCGAGCAACCCAATTGGACGGGTTTTGACGGAGAGGATGACGGAATGTTTTTTTAGAAAATTAATTAAGTTCTAGGTGGTAGGTGTGTAAACAGTCAAGTTTAGGCGTTAACTAAGTAAATAAGAAATTTTGAAGTGTTATGTAAGTAAAAATCACTAAATAATATCACTTTTTAGAGAGAGGTGCTTCATATAATTTATAGGACTTATTAAGTTGTGAAAAAGGGCTTGACTATTTATTTGAGATTCAAAAGAGTTCAACTGTTCAAGGAATATTAAAAATTTTAGAAGTTCCACTCGAGATCCACTGTTAGTAAACCATCGTTGTTGGATCACTGTCTGATCATCACTACCTAAACATCGCATGATTGCTGCCATGGGACCACCACTCAATCTCAACGTCGAAACATCACTCGGTCTCCTCCATCAAACCACCGCTTATTCATTGCAATCCAACCACAATTATAAGACTATTGTTGGGGGCTCCTTTGATAGCTTGCAGATAGAAAATATAATTTGAAAAAAAAAATGGGATTTTTACATACATAACACCTGAAACTACTTAAAATATCTATTCAACACCTAAAGTTTCATATTTACTAATATACCACTTATTTCTCATTCTAAACATTAGATATAGCACTCCGTTAGGTTCCGTTCCGTAAAAACCCCTCTCCCGAACCCACTCAATTTTCCAGCGTGAAAGCTTCGGCGAAACTTCGTCGCCTCTTCTTCACTCGAGCAGGTACGAATCCCGCCCCTCCTTCGTCGCCTCTTCTTCGATCACAGTTCACATCGCGTGCCCTAGATAAATCCCGTCTCTCCTTCGTCGCCTCTTCTTCGGCGAAGCTTTGGCACTGTTAAAAAATGCAATGCTAGTCGCATGCTGTTCATCTCCTCCAATACCAAGTGCAACGCTTAGGAAATAATGTAAATGTTTTTTCACCGAGGCTTGCTGTTTTGTAGTCATTCTGTTCTTTTTTTTTTTAACTCATTTATTATTTCCATGGACAGAAATGAGTTCCATTAATTTTTGCTACATCGTCCTGAAATTTGGTGGATATTGGAGTGAGGTGCAAGATCAAACTCGAATGAAGTATGTAGGCAGAAATCAGAAAACCTTGAAGCTTCAAAGAGATGAAATCAGTTTGTTGTTGCTAAAAGAACGAGTTGAAGCACTTTGTCATTGACTACGAGGACAACTGTTTGACTTACACTATCATGTCATTGGAACATCACCAATTTCATGCAACAATTTTTTGAGCTAACTATTTTACCGAGAACAATAGTACTGCCATTGCACAGATTTACCAAGAGCAATATATTCTCATTGGAGAGATTTACAGAGAGATTTACCAACAGCAATATATTCTCATTGAATAATTAATCAACAAAGTCAAACACTGATGAGGAAGCTAATTAAAATTACATTTCAAAGTCAAACTTACATCCAAATGATTCAATACAAATCAACAATTACAGGTGGTAAGCAAATTTTTAATAGCGATTGCTACAATTACACTTAGGATTATAACCAACAATTTTTTTATCTGTAAAAGTTCATCTCTCAATGATGATATAGCAATCTCTTCAGCACAACGCGAGTCTGAATCATACGGCATATCATTTACTTCATCACACCAACGAAAGAAGTTACAATCGCCTTCTGATCTGTTCCGGGAGCATCTGTAGAATTTTCTTCCATAACTACGTGCTTTGTTGGACGTATATATTGTACACCGCAAATTACAATGACAATATATTCGATTACTTGCATTGTAATTGGTGTCGTTGACGAACTCGAAGTCATTACTGATTGGCTTAATGGCTTCAGAAGCAATTCAAAAACACCTTCATAATGAAAAATTGGCAAACTTCAGTAATGCATAGCAGTAATGATAAATAAAAGGGAAACTAGTAATTTAGAACTTTTTACAACTCCTCTGTTCCTGATAGGATGCGAAAAATCTGAAGGTGTAAAGCAGCTTAATTTGGCATCTGCATATGTTTAGTACCGTTTGCAACCACTTCAACCTTTTATACATATATAAAGATGAGATGTAAAGCAGACTAATTTAACAACAACTTACAGGTTCCTGTAGCTTCCCGACTGATTGGGGAAGAAGACTACAAAACAACAACTTATAGGAGGCGAAGTTCGACAGATTGGAGAAGAAGACAATAAAACAGCAACAAATTCATTCATATGGTGAAAAAAATTAAAATCATCCTTCGATCTTCGAACAACAAACACATTCACGAAATATAAAATACGATCTTCAAACCTTGCTGATCTTCTCTTCGAACGCGACCGAGAAGAAACGAGGCCAAGGGAAGATGCGCCTTGTGTGAAACCTTCAAACGCAACAGCAAATGCAAGGGGTTGGATTCGAGAACGAGGGGAAGAAGAAGGGTATACGCGGCGAAGGGAAGGGTTTCACGACTGAATAGAAGAGAAGCGAGGTCGGGCTTTTTACACGGAACCCAAACGGCGTGATTTAACGTATTTTTAGTGGTACATTAGTAAATATGAAACTTTAGGTGTTGAATAGGTATTTTGAGTAGTTTCAAGTGTTATGTATGTAAAAATCCCAAAAAAAAATTGGTGATTTCAATTTCATTTATGTTGTGTGAAAATAAAATTCATAATATTTTAGAAGATTTTGGAGAATTTTATAAAATTTATAATACATATTGGTATCCAACAACATTAGCCAAAGAATAAATTTAATGAAAATAATTGCTTGTAAATCCATATTTTCCAAGCTCAAACAATCAAATAAATTCTAAGTTGAAAATAATGTAATAAACCCAAAAAAAACATATATTTTATGTAAAGTACTAATAAATAAATAAGTATTTAATTATTTATTTATTTGTTGTGATTCTCATTGGATGCTATAATACAATACTTTGTGCTATACAAACTTGTTGTAATCATTTTATGCATGTACATGATGTTGATAGTTGCATAAGATTCATGTTGTTGTACCAAAACCTTTACTAAAAAGCATGTTTGATAAATTGCACTTCATTCTCATATCAAGGCATCGTTTGAGACGGTTTTCTTATTGCTTCGTAAAGTAGTTTTTTAGTACAAAAATTAAAATTTTTGTATTAAAAAGCTGCTTTAAGAAGCAGTAAGAAAGTTGTTCCAAACAAAACATAAATAACGTGCATTTTCTAAATGATGAGTGTTGCATAGACAAATACCACATTGTAAGTCATTCACCATCTCTTATTTTAAAATCTTATATTTATTTATGATGTGCTCTACTTATCAATATGTATGAGATTTTTGTATGATATAAGTTACATTATTATTTCTATCATCATGAATATTCCAACACTTCATAAGATCAATTCCAAAATGAAGTTTTTAGACCTTTATTTAAATTATTATTCTATTACATAATTTAAAAACAAAATAGTGGATAGGTGTTGCTGAATAAATAATATGAAAAAAATAAAATAAAATGAATATATCAATTTAAGGTTGTTTTCGGGTTATCGGGTCAACTCGAATCAGATCAGATTTTAAAAAAAGATCATATTTTTGAACATGAACCCAACCCATCTGATAAACATGTTAATCCAGACTCAGAATCTTCCGGGTCGGGATCGGGTCGAATTTCAAGTCGTGTCAAAATATTGACATCCCTAGGCACAAATGCAAAATACATATTCAAAATCAAAATAGAGTAGGGCAAACAATCCTATATTGTATTAAATTTAAAGTTACTAATCTTAAACTATTTAACAAAATTAGAAGAAAATTAAATCCACATTACATTAATTATTAAACTCAATATGATAAAAAAAAAACAACCAAAAAGCCAAATTCATCAAATGGACAGCAACTTGATCTATTTTACAAATTTAAATAAGTTTCCTATTTTTTAATAATCAAATAATTGAAATTTATAATTAATCTTATTTTTTAAATTTTACCCTCATTAACCTCAATATTTTCTCCACAGTAGAACCTTTAAAAGGTGAAATTTTGCATAAAAAATCATTTCTTCTGCTATATGACAGAGGTTTTCATATCCATTTGACCTTCTTCCCGTAGCGAGCAAGGTTGAGACTTTGAGATAGAGAGACATACAGCGACAGTGCCTCAGGGAGCGAGTTTTAGCGGTGGCTGATGGCGGCGGATGGAAGGCAGGGTGTGATGGTGGTGCAGCCACCGGCTACTAATCTCCTCGCGCAGCTTCAGTCGCGGTTCAAGGACGTGGAGGCCGGATTCCGATCATGGCTGGCGAAGCAACCTCTGCCGGTGGAGGCTGCAGTTGTTACCAGCACCGGCGCAGTCCAGGGTGCTGCTATCGGCGGCCTCATGGGTACCCTAACGTCCGACATGTCTTCCAGTTTCCCCTCTCCTCCGCCCCAAGCAGCTGGGCTCAGTCCCCAGGCCATGTCTTCTCTCAAGCAAGCACAGGTCTTCTATTTGTATTTCACTACATAAAAAAGTTCTATTTTGTTTTTTGACATTGTGCTGAACTGCTCGATTTAGGGTTTTAGGTGTCTGTTGAATAGATGCTATTAGCTTCGCCATGCATTTTGAAATAAGAGGCAATAGTGATGGAGTTTGTTGAAGAGGCGCTCTTTTTTTGTCTGGGCTTCTTTCATTACATGAGGGAAAATTATATTGGGTTACGCTTAAAGTTATCTTCAAAATATATGGTTAGGTTTAATACTGGCACAAGCTAAGAGGATGTTTGGATGTAAGTAGGATTCAGTAAATCTGAATTTAATAGATTTGAGGTTATTATATCTTAAAAACTCGGTGAATTCTGATATCTTTAATTTGAGTTAAAATCTAGAAAGTGTTGGGATGGAAGTATAAGGATTTTTTGGATCGAGTCCTTTGGTTCGATTTGTGATTGGCTTGATTCACACTAGATGGAAACTAATGTTTAATACAGCAATATAATTTATTGGGCTTATTAAAGTTTACTTGAGATCAATTATTCCAAACAATTGATTATTTTTTAGAACCTTATTTTAACTTAGGTGGTGTTTTACTCCTCAATCAATGTCCCAAAAAATTTGGGATTTATTAGGGTTTATGTCTCTTAGCCTAAGTAGATGGCCCCAAGCTTAGGTGGATATTTGGCCTTTTTGATTGGGCCCTTAGATTTAGGTCACAAGCTCCAATAAAATCCCATGTTTTTTAGAATATTTTTCTACTGGAGTATAATATAACTCTTAAAGTTACTAGGATTTAGGATTGAAGTGAGTTTCCTACTTTATGGTTTCACTAAGTTTATTAATTTTGTCTTAGTGGTTTAGGCTTAATTAAACTATTTATTCTAATTAGGCTATTACCTATTATTTGATTGGACTAATTAAAAGTAGTTAATTAAGTTAAAAAAAAACAACAACAAGCAGCTTTTCTTCCACTTTGTGGGGTCGGCAAAGTAGTAATAAAACATTAATTAATCTAGAGGCATCATAATCAAACACCAACTAAGCAAAGTTTTTCTTCCACTCCTTAGGAAACCTTTGGTTGAAATCCTTCATATTTCTTTGTTCTAAAAAAAGAGATAATATGTCCGTCATTTTGGTGATGATGGTCTGCATTGCCAACCCCATGTCGTCACCCATCTCATCCTCCATATGATTAGCTTCATGTTGAAGTCATCGACGACATTAGGATCCTCTTCACGCCATGACTCATTGAGCTCAAACACATTGATGGCTTTCTCTTCCTCAACCATTTCCTCAAATTCGTGAACCACATTCCCACTAGTAGCCTTTTTGGAACACAAATCCCTCCTCACATCCCTGAGTGGCAATGCATCCTCTCCTACTTCACTGAATACCTTATGCACGTCTTCCTCATCTCCTTGCTTTCAATTGTGAAATCTTGAGTGAGGGGCAATTACATGATTAGACAATGATGAGAGTCTGAGGAGTGATAATGGGATTCAGAGTTTTTTTTTTTAAATCTTGAGAGGACAAAATAGAGTTTGGCGGGTTAAGGGATTAAATGCCCTCTAATCCTCTAACAAAATAGAGTTTGCGGTAGGGAGTTGGAAGCGACATGTGGGGGTGGGGGTATTCAATATTGGAAAATATGCCATTCCTAATGCTTTCATGAGGCACATCACATGAGCCAAGTTAATTGAAAATTTGTAATGTCCTCATTATTGTTGTTCAGAAAGAATCTTTTATTGAGTTAACATTTTATCATGTATATTAATTTAGAATCTCTCAAGGCACTATGGACCAAAGTGAATGGGCTTAAAGGACATGGACCAATGTGATTCACCACTTACCGCAGGAATTGTGCGTAAGCACTAATTTGTTTATTGAAATATAGCACTTTCAAGCAAAAGCAACTTATATGTTATCTTTTCGTTGTGTGTGAAAATAGAATCTATAATTCAATTCAATTTGCTCCATTTCAAAGTGGGCCTTTAACTTGTAGAGTGTCGCATGACCTTGAGTGAAAATTTTCTGTAGTTTGTCTTTGATATAAACAATGAATTGGAGTTTTTTTTCCCTAGTTAAACACAAATTTGATATGAGAGGAATGCAACTTTTGTTGTAGACTCGATCTGAATAACACTTTGTTATTGTGAAGATTTATGGTAGTGTTGAGAGTAAGTTTAGTTGCATGGATCTTTATGTACAAATCTAGGGTATATTTTCTATTAATGGTTTGTGTTGTTTATGTTTGATATGAGCTGACAATGGTTTGCATCAGAGCCCTACATGGGGTCCTAGTTGGATACCCATTGCGTACCCACGCTCTACGTTGGCGGGCTTTGCCCACCCACACCCACCTATGGTGACTTTCCTGATGTCATACCCACCCACACTCACCCACTTTCCAGCTTATTGAATGCAGTCTGCCATAGATTAATGGCCTTGAGGTTTTTTGTCATTTTCTCTAACCGCAAACTTTCAATCTACATATCAAAATTTATCATGGTTATGACGCGGTTCAGTGTTGCACATTGCGTAGTAATGATTATTATAATATAATGCATGTATATGTTAATTAGTAATATAAATCGGTTGTCCTTTGATGTTGAGTACCCACCCATACCCACCCACGATGTCATGAGCGTACCCATACCCACCCATGCCCATTGGGTATGGGTGGGTACATGGGTGGGTGTGGGTATGGGTACCTAATGCAGGGCTCTGGTTTGCATGCCATTTTTTTTTGAAGTTGTTACTGCTGTTTGTTTTTTTCATTTCTCCTTGTTCGATCACTTTAAAAAAGTTACTGCTTTACATGGATTGCAGGCTTTTGCAGGAGGTCCCTTGGTACAAGCTCGAAATTTTGCCGTCATGACAGGTGTAAATGCAGGTATTTCTTGTGTCATGAAAAGGATAAGAGGGGTTGAGGATGTCCAAAGTAGGTAAGTTCAAACTTAATCAGAGGTATTTCTTGTTGTCTCTAATCTTTTCTTCCGTTTTAATGTTTAAGCGGGAGTTTAACTGGAGTACACTAGAGTAGTTACACCTTTTATATACATTTGTTGAAATAAATGATTCCTATTTGTTTGCTATTTGCATATTTTAAGGATGATACGTTAGCATAATTAGTTCATTCAACTCTTTTCTCTAGACAAAGTCTGCAATCATCTTTTTAGAGCCCAAGGTATCCGCTAAGATTGCACAAATTAGCATTATTAAACACACATTGACAATTAAACTGCCTAAAAAGAAGTAAAAGATAATACTCTTTCTTGCACATGTGATAATTCTAAAGTAATTTTCATGTGATTTTGCTGCTCCAAATATTATAAGATAATATGTTCAAGAAACATCCAAGCTAGCACATAACTTCATAATCTACATTTTTTGCATCATGAACAAAATAAATGGCAATCCATATATATATATATATATATATATAGATAATTTGTGACAAATGCAAGTTAATGATTCTAGTCTAATTATGCCAAAAATTTAACAGAAACGCACTACTATAAAAATTACCAAGGTAGAGTTTGATTGATTATTGTAGAAATAACTCCCACAAGCCTCAAAATAACATATATAAACATTTTTCACATATTTTGTGTCATGCAAGTTATTGATTCTAGTCTATTTATGCAAAATCTTACCAAAATTACGCTACCATACAAAATTGTCTAGATATTGTTTGATTGGGTATTCCAAAATTAACTCCCAGCAGTTTCAGAAATAACATTTATAAACATTTTGCAAAAGTTCACAGATTTTGATATTTTCAGAAACAAAGTCTAGAGTTTAGTTTATATTGAATTTTCCCATAATTTAAAATAATTTTAATAAGAGGCTTTCAAATGCAAAACTGCTATCTTCTTCTTTGTTTGAGGTGGTGAGCCTTCTTTTGGTCACAACTTACAGCAATGTAATCTGCGCACACAGCACCATTCTCATGGACTTTGCCATTGAGCTTGGCAGACAAGACTTTTGCTGACATGAGAAAGGGTTCTAATCATATACTGTTTTGGCCGGTCACAGAGCTAACTACAGTTGCCGCAAAGCTTTGCTCTAGTACAGGTGTTGCCACAAGTCATCTATGACTGCTTGTTACATACAGCGGCCTTTTTGGGGCTGTAACGAGTGCCGTTGTTGTACACTTTGAGTGACTACAACAAGTGGATTTTGCAATGGCCATCTATGAAATCATTCTCTGATTTCAGATGCTGCAATTGTATGCAACCAAGCTCAATGTCAGTGTACAATTGTCCGATCACCTTGCACTCGAGACTATGGGTGAAATGAGCTAACCTAGAAGGCTAGAACTTTTAAGCCCATTTAATTATGCTCTCCCAAAACCATGATGGATTTTGGCATCTCATTGATGATTGGATTTGATGGATTACCAAAAAGAGACAATTAGGCTCATATAATATAATGCATTTCTTCTATTAAAATTATTATATAATTTCACTTTATTTTTGGTCGAATTTAAAACATCTCAAACATGTTGTAACTAGTGCTTAATTTGTGCACTTGTTCAAGTGGAATTTCCCTGGAAATTTAACTTTCATCTCATTTTTCATAAGAACTTAGAACTGTTATCGTTTTGTTTTTAAGTGATTTTGATTTTAATCATTTATATTCTCCAAAAGGAGATAAATGAACTGTCGGAAGTAGATATTTATGTCCTTTCTTTTAAATGGCCTGTTTCAAATTGAACTAACTAGGGTTACAGGGCTATAATTGTTCCTTTGATTAATGATATTGTACTTGCAGCATGGTGGCGGCTTTTGGTTCAGGGGCAATGTTTTCTTTGGTGAGTGGAATGGGAGGCCCAAATCAGGCTGTCAATGCTGTCACATCAGGATTATTTTTTGCTCTTGTTCAAGGTGGCCTTTACAAGGTTTGGGAGCATTAACATAAAATACTTTAAAAACTGATTTTAAGCAGGCCTGTTTTGATTATCTCATTGAGGGATCTATAAAAGCTTAAAAATTAATCCGTTAAAATTCTACCCGAATATACAGGGAGAGGCCGGAGCCCTAAAAGCTCAAATTTTTGGAGCTCACATGATTGCTTTAGCTTTTTTTATAGTTTTGTGCGTGATAAGCATTTGAAAATTTAAATTTGGTTCCTATTTCCTTCTTTGGAATTTTCCAAAAGCAAGTCATGAATTCTATGACATTGTCAGATACAATAGTTTCAAGTAATCCAGGAAGATTAGCCACTTCGTTGAAATATAAATTTGTTATGTAAGATGCATTATCAAGATTAAAACATGGAAGGAAATGGGACATTTTAGAAAACAAGCAACCTCAACGAAATTAGTATAATGCTTCCTAAGTGTTTGTAGTATTCCTAAAGTAAAACTCATGCTAACATGATAACTTCTTCCCTAGATTTATATAGAAAATGATATATAAAGCCCAACACAATTCATGTCGTTTGGTAAGTTTTACATTGTTATACTAAATGCAACTTCTCGTTTCAATCTAGGCCAATAATTCCCATCATTAGTCATGGCAATAAGTTTATCTCAATTGAAATGCCTTGCAACATCACTACAATTACTTTCCATATAACAAAATCTCGTGAAGATAAATAAAAAAATGTAAAGTTGAGTTCACCTAAATGGAAAGCCATTCTTAATCATTATATTCTTATAAGTGTAGCTGAGACACTAGTTAAATTAAAATATATCTCATTAAAGTCCTTATTATTGATGTGTTCCTCTTTAACCCGACCAAAATCAGATATCTTATATTGCATGGTGTTTAAGATAGTAACTACCTCACTTAAGGCTTTGACTTATTTATTTTCAATTCCAGCGCAATATTTTAACATAAATGTATATATTCTTGTAAGAATTCAACCCTCCTTTCTTTTCAGAATTGAAGTACTTTGAATTTTGATCTTTCGAATTTTAGGATAAATTTCTTCGGAAATGAGTAATACTTCCATTGTAAAAATATTTGTACGATGGCATGATTAGTGTCAGAGAATTAGGAGAATGGATAGACTTAACGATAACATAGATTTAAATTTTTCAAAATAATTTATGAAGAATAGATTGAATACCTTGGGCAATACTTTTATTAAGATAACAAATGAAAATGAGGATTCATAAAGCTGATTAAATAGTTGGGATAATGCAAATAATGATAAAATATGTAACAAATAAATACTAAAGATTAAAGCACCCACCCTTTTTATTAAAATGTTGTATTGCGGAGTATTAATATTTAATTAAAGAATTAGCTTAAATGTTTTTCCCAGTCGTGAAGCCTCATATTTGCATTCTGTAACCCTTTTTTTTTTCTCTAGTTGTACTTTAATCGCATTGATGTCATCCCTAAGTTGTCCTACTCTTATTGATCCTGCCCTCCCATCATAAAAGACATCAACCAACCACCTTCATCGCCGCTATCGCATTTGTTGTCGTCCTACTCCATGTGCTCTATGATGTAGTCCCGCTCTTACTGCCAACTAAAATATATCAAGGATATGATTGAAGTATTAGTATTTGGTTGATGGAGGTTAGATTTAGAAGGATTTGGAAGGATATATTGTGTTACCATTAAAGTTCTACCCTTTAATACCCGTGCAGTTATATGCATTATATAGAAGCTTTGCTACTCCTTAAAAGTTTGATTAAGGTTGAGGTTGATGATCAAGAGGAGGCTGTTAATGAGGCTGAAATTATTAAAGAGCATGTTATACATTGGCTTATTGATTTGAGTGCTGAAGAGATGGTCTCTTTTTTAACAAATTGGTATATTTCAGAATAGCCATCAAACCCCAAATAACTGAGCTCAAAAGTGATGCTTACATTTTTTTTTGAACTCCTAGCTACTGCTAAGGCCAATATTTGGCCAATAGTTTGTCATTCGAATTCTCGGGCCTTGACAAATTGGCTTTTTGTGCTTTCATTTGGTAGCTCTACTGGAAGCTTTTGAAAGCTTTCATTGCTTCTTAGAAGGCTCTCACCTAGAGAGAGATTGACGTGAAAAGTACTAAAATTACTTGAAAAACATTGAATATTCTATCATAATAAAAGGACAAAGTAAATATATATATCAAAGTTAAAGAGCATATAGAAGACATATATGTAAGATTTAGGCTTCATTTGGGATGGCTTTCTTAATGCTTCTTAAAGCAGCTTTTTAGTACAACAAATAAAATTTTTATACTAAAAAGCTGTTTTAAGAAGCAGTAAGAAAGCCATCTAAAACGAATCAAAGAAGAGAAGTTACCTAGTCTTGAGTGGTTTGGGTTAAAAAAAGGTTGAGGGTGCTTCTATAAGATTATTGAATTTTACACTTCCTCATAATTTTGGTGTTTTAGAGTGAGATAATATATGGTGGGAAATAGAACTTCAAGCTATATTACCTATTACTTCAAACAGAAAACTTTTGAGGAATAACCATCTTCGCATTTTTAAACCGGACAAGTTACAAGTCAAAGTCTACAGACTATCCAAACTGTGTAGTTTAAAAGATTTCAAACCTTTGTTGGATTATACTGCAAAGTTCTCTTGCTGAATATATCAGCAACGCTGATTTTATGCAGAAAGAACATTCTGAAAGTGCTTATTGTCGATTATTATGCAGGTTGGCCAGAAATTTTCACAGCCACCTGCTGATGATATTTACTACAGACGAACCAGAAATATGTTGACTAGTCTTGGCCTAGCGAACTATGAGAAGAACTTCAAGAAAGGCCTGCTCACAGATACCACTCTTCCTCTTCTCACAGACAGGCAACTTCTAGCTTCTCTAGCTTCATACCTTCCGTAATTTACTGTAACCTTGTTATTGATTAGCTTTTACTTTTTTGAATCTTCTGCTCCAGTGCTCTTAGAGATGTCAAGATTCCTCCTGGTCCAAGGCTTCTCATTCTTGATCACATCCATAGGTGTGTAGTGAAATTATCATAGCTTAGATTAAGGGAGAAATGCAATTTTTTCTTCAAATTTGTTTTCTTTATTTGTATCTTCTTCTACTATTTCAGGGATCCTGAGTTGAAGAAAGGAAGATGATGAAGTTGGAAGTAACACAACCAACAATGCACTGGAACAGTTATTTAGAACTGAAAGTCTTTGGCACAGAAATACTTTGTTTTCTTATATTGTTTAAATTATCACCATCTATGAATTGCTTCAAGACTTGTATTGTTTTAGGCTTTTCCGGAGGGTATCCGGAGATCAATAAAAATGTGTCACGTCATCCCATTGTTGGGTACCCAACTCGGTGCCGCTGGGTACCCAATGCTTAATCTGACGGTTCTCTCGTCCAGTGTCCACACGGAATAATAGTTCCTAGCTCCTAAAATTGATAGAATTTTGGTGTCAAAATTTTTTGGTATAGGGTTTTCTGACTCAAATTTTATAATGATATGAATTTTAGATTTTATTTGGAATGATTTTTTTGTGTTTTAAGACAATTTTTTAGTATAAAAATTTTTAAATTAAAAGTTTTATATCAAAAAGTTGTTTCGGAAACAGTGAGAAAGTCTTCGCTTCATAAACATTTATTATTCTAAAATTCCTCAGTGTAATTTTTTCTATTAGATCAAATGTGCTCAATTAATAATTTTAAATTCTTCACATTACCTCCTTTCATTAGTTCAAGAAGGCTTTGTTTATGATTAATTTGTTTCATGACAAGCATATTAGGAAAAAAAAGATAAATAAATTAAATTAAATTATACAATTATCTTAAAATTATTCCATACAATTTTCAAAATTCGTGCTAAGGTTGTTACCCTAATGCTTTTCAACTGGCAATCAAATCATTATGGTTGTTATTCATTTAATGGTCATAGATGTGCATGACCCATTCTTTTATGTGCACATCATTGAATCTTCCCTTGTAATATGCCATTTGAGTATGAAAATTCTCTACAATGCTTATGGCCAATCTTTCCTACACATGGCATGTACTCCCATTTCATTCATATTAGCAGTCATTATTTATTACCATAATAACATGCAATTTACATCATAACATCATGTAGCAGGAAGCATGGCATGAATATAAGCATGCCATCATCATTTATGTGCATTATGCATGTTGCATAAGGCACATGCATCCTATGTTAGCATGCTGTATATTGCAAGTCACATACGAAAAACAAGTAGGAATCATGTGGTACCACCTCCACACCACCTCTTTATAAAGGAATCACAGCCATGCATGCTTAGTCACATGTAGATCTTCATGAGAACATGATCAAAACACATCACCACATCATCATATACATGATTACACATGATAAACAGGATGAAAATATGAACGCCGCACGTAATAATTTGCCCCTGCTCACACTATTATATATGCATATAGTTATAAAGTGTACGATAGTACACTGAGATGGCTAAAAATTTTCAAAATGATTAAGAACTCACTTGAATGTATATTCTGATTAACACATCAAGTAGAAACGCAGTATGGCAGCACATACCATTGAAATAAAGCTCATTAAAAATCAGTACAATAAGCAACAAGCTGGCTGGCTCTTGCATCCAACTTTTTGTTTCTGACGAGATAAGAACAAACCTGCCCAAGATCATTTCACAGCCCATTGCAGGAAATAAGGGCCTCATATCAGTATATATATATATGAAAACCTTGAACATCACTCAGGCCATATACCATTGTCCCACAAATACCAAGCAGAAACTGCCATAGTTTGTTGCCTTATGTGAAAACCAAGCAGTTTAATGCAAATTTATGGGATATTCACAGGAAAAGAACAAAGAGACATTAAGGATCACATGTATGGTGGCGGCGGCGGCATACGGGTAGGCGGTGGCATCCGCTGATGGTTATAACCATTTTCCGATCGGCTCTGAGCAACTCGATCATTGGTGGTGCCTCCTCTTTGAAGAAAGCTTCCGGACTGAGGAGGCTGGTTTGGGTTGAAGGGACCCCACCACCGCGATTCCCCATCGAGTGGGATCCATGGGAGTGGGGCGAACCCTTCTCTCCCCCATCCATAGTACCAATCAAAATGCCTACCAGAGTCTTGGAAACTCCGGTTTGCGGAGGTTGAGACAGAGAAACCATAGAAACCACCTATGTCTGTAGAGGTTGAGGTTGAGGTTGAGATTAGAGTTACTCCCCTTGGCCTTGGCCTCCTGATTGGGGGAAAAGGGGAACTGTGTGGGGGCGGCGAGGAAGATACTGATTGCTGATAGATATGACTTCCATTGCCTCTAGCATGGGTCCTTACCTCCCCCAGTACAGGTGGTGCCATGGATCCAGCTACTAGATTACTCCCACTCCGCGTTGAAATTGACCTTCAAGATTTAAAAGAGAATTACATTAGATCATCCACGCAGAGGTTGCATTAAGGCTTTGTTTGGGACGGCTTTCTTATTGCTTCTTAAAGCAGCTTTCGTTTAAAAAAATTTAAGAAACAGTAAAAAAGCTGTCCCAAACGAAGCATAAATCTTGGAGGGAATTGCTTACCCATGTGGAAGGGGATGGGCATGCACAAAAGATCCGAGTCTTTGCGGGTTGTTCGTATCATTCCTCGGTAGCCGTAGACCATATTGGGATGTAGGCGGCTCAGAATTAGTGGCCAATGGAACTGGAAGTGGGGGTGGCTGATGCTGCCAGTTGTGATTTGGGGGATCCGTTGAAGAAAAACTATGAGGGTTGAGCATTTCAGCTTGTGGTTGTCCTCCCAGACCAGTTGGATGCCGGTGGAAATGAGAATTTTCAAGAACAGAATCAGAAGAACTCAAAGGAGCGGTATGCATCGGGTGGTGAGCAAAACCATGCAGAGCCTGGTAAGGGCAAACATGGGAGCTACCAGAAGCGCTTGAGTGGTCCCCAAATGAGCTACTGCCCAAAGACTCGTGATCTTTGGTGAAGTATAGATTTAAATAAGAAATGAAAGCAAAAATTAGAAACACTTATAAACAAGTAGAAAGCAACGAGCAAGTACACAGAATCAAGAAAGGTAAAGCACTTACATGAACTTGGCTGTGACTCCATCTCCCTGCAAGGGAACAAAACAAACAATGAAATTCATGATGCTAGCAAGAAAGGTTATGGTGAAACCATCCTTGTAGACCATATTTAGCAATAAAAATGGAAAATTGCAAGAATAAAAGTAATTTATCACAAAATTTAGATTGCAAAATAAAATGTTTCGAATGTCAAAGAAACAACATTCATATACAGAATACCCAGGGAATCATGACCGGGGAAAAAAGCTTCAACTTCATCATGAATGTCCAATAATAAATAGTTTGAGATTTTTAGAACTAAAAAAGTATCTGATGGGGACATCAGAGCTTGGAGGATTTATCACCATAGAGACCGGAGATCTACAGCTTTTATTGAGTCTTTATATTTTTAATTTTCATATATTGCAGGAGATTTATGTGGTGTTATTTATTTTATTACAGTTGTACCCTCTCTTGAGGGAGCTTTTATATTGTTTGGCCAAGAGCCTTTTTGTCTTTTATTCCTTTCATGTTTTGGTGCCTATATATTGGCCCATTGTTCTCTTGTAAGGATGATGAATGTATTTTTATTCCTTTCTTGAAAAGTTTATCCTTCAAATTTTTAAGATTCCATTTAATATATTTTTTATCAAAGAACTAATAAATTGGCATCTTTCTAGTATATGAAATTTCATTAAATATATTTGTCAACCAAACAACCTCAACATCTCTCACAATTCTCCAAATCTCAGAAGGTGTATCATTTAGACACAAAACTTTGGCATTAAATATTCTTCAACGCTAACTCAACTTCAATTTGTTGGATAAATTGATGATGTAGTTCATCACTATATTCTTCATGCTCATCTAAACAGATTTCTTCTTTAAATTTTTATTTAATAACTTTTAAAAATAGCATTTTCATCCATCTTGACATCTTCATTTTTAACAAAATTATGTTATCTTTGCTTCTAAACTTGGTCAAAAGATCAAGATATCTTTTCATGACTATTTTACATTACTCTCTATCCTTCTTAATATTGATATAAATCAACAACAACAACAACAACATCAAGCCTTTATAAAAAAAATTAAGCTAAGCAAAGATGCACTTGTAAATGCAAAAAATATATATACATACTATATTTATGTAGGTTGGTGGCATACTATATTTATATATACATTTAAAAAATATTGATACCAATCTGTGCCTCCCCAATGATAGAAGTTATCAAGATAAAGAAATAATTAATATTATATTCCAAGTTTCTGTGGGCTCCGAAAATTCGGCCCCGGCCTCCCCGCCGCTTTTTTTCTTTTTATTTGAGCGAGGGGAGTTTTAACGGATAAGTTCCGGGGTAAATTTTGGAAGGCAGATGAGTTTGTAGATAAGACACTGCCCAGAGATTTCGCCCTCATTTTGTGAGGACTTTATAATATGAGTTTTGGTTTCCTATAGGCGCAAGCCCCTATAGTTAATTACCCCTCCCGATCACGAGAGAGAACTTTCGATTAAGGCTAGTCGTCAATCAGATACGTATAGAATACGTGTTATTTGGCATATAGTAGCAAACAATAGGTTTAGGAATTTTGGAGAACTGGATTTGGATTTGGGAAATTTGGAAAGTAATTGAAAAGTTTGATAATTTGGGCATAATTTGATATTTAAATAGATTGCACTTGCACTTAACGGATGGTGGGAGAATGATGATAGACCCGATCAAATCATGGTTCCGTCCGTCCCGGGCCATCGTGGTCCATGGTCACTTAGTCAGAGAGGTAGTCGACCCAACGACAGAAGATCCTGCGGCAGCCATGGGTTGCTTCGTCCAAGGGGACTTATAACCGGTTGGATGCTTGTTCTAAGGGGACAAATTTAAATCCCACCTTAGCTTACAGAGGGCTTTGTGCCCTATCGATCATATCCTATTGATTCATATCTCAAGAATTTGATGCCAATAAGGAGCGTATTGGCTCTGCCATAACTGATATTTTGTGGTGCCATTTGGCGAAAAAACCACTCTGTTCAGAGGGCCCCGGGTCATAACCGTTTATCCTACGGTACCATTTGGTGGCAGACCGCCAGTTAGAGGACACGTACCACGTCCTTACTGGCAGGAGAAATTTTGAGAATGGATCCTAGTAATATTTTTGACTAGGCATTTAGCTCTTTTGTGGGCTGAGGTAAATTTTGATTTTTCCACCCCGATAAAATGTTGCGGAGGGTGGATGGATTTTGCTTTAAGTGATTAATGGGTTGAATTACAAATTTAAATATTTTTGGATTTTGGGATTTTGAGATTTTTTTGGATTTTTGGGTATTTGGGATTTTTTTTGGGATTTTTGGGAGGAAATTGAAAGTGTTTGGATTGGACTGTGGATATTTGGGAAACATTTAAAAATATTTGGGAACCCCTCCGGTTGAAATCTGCATTCAACACGGCCATCATCGGGGAGTTTAAGGTTATTTCCATTTAAAGCTTGAACCTTGTCGACTCTGTCTGGCTGTCGACAGAGGATTATATTTCGTAGGCTTTATGCCCTTGAGAGTAAATTCTCTTGATTTTAGGCTTTGAAGACCTAATATGAATGTATTAAAACAAATATTCCTGTCGCCACTGCCACATATTTGTTTGTTTGTTCGAACCTTGTTTACTCTTATTGATCTGTATAAGAGGATCAGGTTTGAACTTGAATTCAATTGTTGACCCGCGCATCATCCCTAAACGTCACGTGTGTACCAATAACACGCTCGCCGGGGCCCATGCAGGTTCTTTGATTTCTTTTACCCCCTTTCAGTGTACCTATGTGTATACAAATTACAGTGCACGTGCGGGGGTACTTTGAAAGTATTTGTAGACACCTTCTGTCCGCTTGCATAGAAATTGTGGATTCGGTGGCGTGGCTTCGTAGTTTGTGGACGCCTTCTGTCTGCTTGTATGAATGTTACAGATCCGATGGCGTGGCTTTGTAGTTTGTGGACGCCTTCTGTCTGCTTGTACGAATGTTGCAGATCCGGTGGCGTGGCATAGCAGCTTCTGAATAAAATTATTCACAGCTTCTGGATTAAGTTGTTAACTGCTTTGTACAGGTAGACTGTCGTACATTACTCGTTGCCTTCTGCGGGTGGATCGTAGTGTACCAACTAATCTCCTGCCTTGTACTTATAGATGCTAGTAGATAGCTTGTAGGAACTCATATTCTTTATGCCTTCTGTTGTGATTTTGGTCTTTACGATACATCCATTATTATTGGAGGTAGATGTATTCATCCTTAGGCTGAAGTTGACTACAGGATACTGCATTTACTATAATCTTTATGCATCTACCCATAAGTAGCATGTGGCATGTACATTTGTCTTTGTAGAGAGCCGATATGTGTTGCAGATCTTTCATCCTTGCTTATAGAAAGCTAATATATTTGATTAATGATGAGTGGTATTCGTTGTATTTTCCTGATAGTCATTACAAACTTTTCCTTCTACTCGTAGGCTAGATGTTGTTTGTATGGCCGATCTCCTACGACAACTCGTAGGACTTCACATGTGCCACAGGTGTGTTGTCTTCTGCTTGCAGGTTATGTGTTCACCGACTTGTAAGTTGAAGTTAACATTATGAACACCATTGTGTTCATTGCATATCTTGATTATCACTCACAAATGACCCATTGTATAACAATATACCTTTTGTTATGCCACTATATGATTTGTTAGTGAATTTGTTATCACTTTATGTCAACTTGCATTGATTGTGGTAGGACAACATTCCAACTTGCACTTGTTTATGAATTGCTTGGAATTTTATAAATGATGTGGGTCCATTGATCTTCGTTGTCGCTTAAAGCCATCCATGAGCGTTCATAGGTTTCTTATGATTGCTTGTAAATGGAACGTTGTATGTGTAGTAGGTCTTTTGTTGTTCGGTTGAGTCTCTTGTCATCATCCACTTGAACTCAAACTTAAGCTCATTGTACTTTCTTGAGTTTGGATTCTCTTGCATATGATTCAAGTTCTCATGATTGTTCAAGTTCGATCCTTCTTGATTAGTTGCTCATTCAAGTTTGATTTGAGTTCATGCTCCTTTAGTTCTCTTATGGATTCGAGTCCAAGTCTTTGGTAATCAAAGTACAAACTCTTTGCTTGAGTTCAACTATTCAAGTCAAGCTTGAATGAAGTTCTTTTGGTTGAGCTTTGATTTAAGTCCTCCTTGGCCAAATTATGAGTCCTCATTATTGTTCAAGTTATGAGGTTCAAAATGAGTTATTGTTAAAGTTCAAATGATAGTCCAAGTTCGAATGTTCAAGTCATGATTCACTTCAATTTCATTTAATTAAATTTGATTTTATGATCAAGTTATATTCTCATTTCAATTTTATTTTAATTAAGTTTAAAATTAGTCATTTGTATTTTGTCCACAAGTTCAAGTCCAAGCACAAGTCCAAGTCCAAGTTTCAGTCCGAGTTCAAGTTCAATCTGTCCAAATTTTGGACAAGTCCTTGAATCTTCAGTGAAAATTTCGGCAGCCTCCTGGCGTCTCCCCCGTTTAGGGGAAAAACTAAGAGGCAACCTGCCCCTCGACGCTACGTGAGCGCTTCAGGTAGGTGTCAAAAATGACACCGCGGTCGCAAATGAAATTTTTTTTATCCCCGCCTGCTACGTGAGCATTTAAGGGTTTTTATGTTTGTTGATTATAAGAAGAAAACAGGCGTTAGAAAAAACACAGATTTCCCCCCTCTGCACCACGTGGGCGTTCGGGGGTACTTATATGAAAATAAAGAACACATTTTTTTATCCCCTTCGCCGCAAGCTCCGCACCAGTTTCCCGCCCTATAACGCTACTTGAGCGCCTCGGGGGTTTGCCGGCTCGTTGCTAGCATTGAAGAGGGATCCTTATCTCGTCGCAAGCATCGTACCGGTTTCCCGCCCTCAACGCTACGTGAGCGCCTTGGGGGTTTGCCGGCCCGTCGCAAGCATCGAGAAAAGAACCAT